ATCTAGGTAACTTTGCTTAGGGACTTTACCAGAAGTATTGTATTTATAAGATGCAGTATTAGTAAACTGGGCATTTAAACCAGAAGAACTATATATAATGGGGCGATTCTACGATTGCATGCTGTGAATTTAGCTCTCTGTTCTGACAATTTTCTTTTAGTTTCATTTCAGATGGTTATAAAATTATCAGTTTCAGGTTTGATTTCAGTTATAGTCAGGCGGCTTCTTTTCAGTTAGCATATAGTCCCCAATAAATCTAGAGGTAATTGACTCCTGAGAGTTGGATAAGAGCCATAATATCTGATCAGACCATGTTTTTGGAACTTTGGACACCACAATTTATGAATGACTGTAGAATGATGCCACGTCATTAGAGAAAATGATACAATGACACTCCACAAATATTCTATTTTGATCAGTAATACTTGACATTAGATAACCTTAATGTTTTACTGCAATTCAATGATATTTAATAGTCCAACTACTTGAAACTAGGCCAGTAATGATGATTATGTTATTTTTATTTGAACTTGAATTTTTCTGCTGTAAACAATAACAAAGCTTAGCCTAGTTCAAAGCAATCGATCAATATGAACTACTTCCAGTAATTGTTGTTCATTGTATAATAAAACAATAATTTTGTTTTTGTTGATAATGAATTATCAGATATGTAAAATGTCTACTGATTTAGTCTAGAATTCTAGAAGAGAAACAAATAAGATAAAAAAACAAGATCATCTTGTGATTTCTCATATCATCAAAATATAATTTGTAACCAGTTTCTTAAAAGTTTTACGGTCCTAAATTTCTTTAGAAGTTCAAGTTAAAATGATAAATATACTGGTAGATGCCCCTCCATTCTCCTTTCTAGGTCTATTGAGGCTCTTTCAAATATTTTAGTTGCTGTTTCAATACTAAATACAGTGTATAGTATACAGTATTACGATTCCTTCACCATATTACAACCGCCTACTTAGATATAAACCTTAAGAGTGAAATTGAAAGATGAAATCTAAGTAAATAGGGAAACTTGTTAGATGATATGAGGTCAGAAAAATGCCAGCAATATTACTGACTAAATTAACTATATATTACTTAGTTGACATCGGAATCATCACCCTCGTGCCAGACAGAAGTAATCCATGTGCAATGAAACATCAGTTATACAGGAAACTAGAATAAGCTTGCTAATTGTGAAGTTGTTTTCATCATTGTGATCAATAGTGGCACGCTTGATGGCACGTGGCTTGATTTTATTGCAACTATGTCAGACTTGCCTATATCTCTACACCAATATTAAAACTAGATCAGGTCTTGAAGAGTTCAACAAAGAAATATTGATTTATCTTTGTTTTTCAAATTGTGATTTTCTATTTTAATAAATCAGATGAGACATAGGAATGCAAAGACATATATAAATACATTATTTAATCCAGATCATTGATATTGCAATCTTGTAAGGGCATAAACAGTATTCATGTTTCACAGGGCATAAAGACAAAATATTCATAGGACATATTATTTAGGTTCATGATATGTTCAATGTACATGTACTCACTGAATCTAGGTTAACAGTTAAACACTGATTTTTGTACTATCTACTATTTTGGGGTATCACGGAGAGACTTGCTGATTTTATGTGAGGCCTGGATGATCTTTCAACCCATGTAGTGTTAACATCTGGAGCAGGGGAATCGTATACATAATGAATATTTAGCCAAACTGGATCTGCACATGATCATTTGTTTTGCACCTCCTCAAACTGTGGGTGCATATAAATAACATAATTAATGGTGTCAAGAAGGCAGAGATATTATTTATTGCAGCATTTTTGAAGAAAGGCTTTCAAGGTTAATTAGTTTGCTCCGTCCTCCTCTTTCATTTGTCATAACTTTCAGCATTTCTTTATTATGGAAGTATGTATCAGTCAAATATACATATATTTATATTGTGACTAATTAACTAAAGAACCATTGTAATACTGGCAGTTCTGGTTGACCCTTTTCCATATAAATGGAAAATAGATAGCATCATGGGTATTGGTAGGGCTATGGTAGAGCTAGAAAACATGTAAATGTATTGCCAGAGTCACTTAATTTCTTAATTTAAGAAGTAATTCCATTTGGATCAACTTAAAACACCATTGGAATATAACTATATGATCTTATTGACATGTGGATTGTGATTTCACATTAAGATTATGATCCTTGTAAGAGTAAATAAACTTTTAAAGTTTTTCAGCATTGTGTCAATGGGGATTTAGCCCGACCTTTTTTAGACAACTAGACAATCATCAGAATTTGAATCAAGGTAAATAATGATGCAAATGAAAGTTGTTTTGATAGAAAATTACACACAAAATTCAAATATGCCATCAAATAGAAGAAAATGTTATATCTCCTAAAATCTTATTAAAAACAAGACTTTAACGAGATTTCAAAGCTATATGGAAAAAGGACCATTAACCTCCTTTTAGACTGCTATAGGAGCCAGACTCTAATCTACATCCTTGACTTGTTCATGTAGTCTGCATGTACCTTTCAAGAAATTACAAGTATGAGATAGGCGGAAACCCATTCTTGTTAGATAGCAAAAACTTTCCTCATTGATACATTTGGAAAAATCAGGAAGTTCAAGTTGGTTGATGAAATCAGGATGTACACGATGAAACCAATGCTGGCAAGATGATTTTATAAATATGATGAAATCTATGGTTTTGCTTGGAAATGTAGATAGGACATTGTTTTATTGATGAATTCATGCTAAATTTGTGTTAACTTGTTGATGTTTCTTTACCTTTATGTGTTATGATGTTATTGTTTCTATATCATTCGATATATCATTCATCTGGATGGTAATGTGGAATTAGTCATGATATTTTTCTTCAACTCAAGTCAAACACAAGTTACAAAAAGATAAGCTTTCCCAGTAGAGTCAGATGAAGGTGAGATGTGAATCATTTTAACCTTAGCTAACTTAGACTAAGTTAGATTTTGTTTTATGAGACCTAAGTTAACATTTAAGTAAGATTCTAGTCAGGAAGTAAAAACGTGTATTTTCTCATGAATATATAGAACTAACAATAGACCTAAAAAAGCACTCTGTTCTTTGAAACAAAAAGTAGTTATTTGATATGAACCGCCAAACAGGATTTAGCCAGTACACATGTAGTTAAATTGTTTTCTCTCTTGATTGTCTGAATGTGATCTGGTTGAGTCACTAAGTTTAAATGACGAGAGCTTGTTACAATCATTCAAATATAGAAACTGAATCTTTATGCAACATTGTTGCTTTTGCTTCATAACTTTCCCTAATTTTAATGTTTTTAACATTATAAAACAGCATAACAAATGGCTTAACATATTTGCATGCTTCTGACATGTTCTAGGGTAACTTGAGGTTAAGCAAACATGGTACACTATAGCAATATTTTTGTGACTGCACAAGGCGGTTGTCTGATTGAGACCAGAATGTATCTTTTGTCAGGTGCTTGATTAGTAACATGTAAGCTAATTGCTTTTACAGAGAACAATGCCAGTAACAATAACAGTAAATACTCCATCTAGGCCCCAGCGCCCCACCACCCTCATGTTGGGTACCTCACCACAGCGCCCTACAACTCTCATGCTGGGGGTACCCTCGGCAAAGAAAACCAAGGTAACCTTTGGCAGGCTTGGTGGGTGGATGGAGCATTGTCGTATAGTTATTATAGAAATGGTGGATGTTTAGATAATCTGCAGCTTTGGTGAAGGTGGATGTAAAAACCTGGTTTATATTTATGTATTCCTTGATATTTCATGTAGACACGGCAAATCAAAGGTGGATGGTGACTTGTTAAACTTGTTATAGCTTTTATAAGAACATGTTAGACAACCTCAGCTGTTATTAATATAGGCTGCTGATGTATAAGTTGCATTTGCAAACTTGCTATCAGAATACTTTCTCTGATGAGATCATGTTTAGATCATAATTCTTGGGAAATTGACAGTTTGTTTAGCAACACTGATGTTTATGTACTTTGACTCATTAACCCATTGGGCTTATGTTATATACATGTATTTTTACTATGATGTCTGTTATATACTCCTACTATTGCTTGAGGGACATGGTCAGTTGATGGATTAGTCATACGTTCTGTTACATCTAGCCTTGCCCTGAGAAGTATGACTAATCAATCAATAATATTTTATCTCAAATATTGTAGATATTGCAGTTTAGACATATACCAAGCTAGACTAAACATATAACATACCAGTAACATATCATGTTGTAACATGCACCCTTTCACTAAAATGCACTTTAGAAAATATATAAATATACCTGGACTAACCCCTCCCTTCCTATCATTCCCTTATACTAAATCCTTATTTCTGCAGAGCAATGCGGTAGTCATGCCTCAGGTGACATTGAACCATAGTCGCTGCCCACTACGACCCTCTGCATTAGGCTTGGATATGGCAAGCTCTAGGCCTAAGGTACTAACACTAGATAATTAATATGCATGGCTTAACAATAGAATAAGTAACAATAACAACTAATGTTTGCTATAACCCAATAAAGTCAGTTTCAATCATGGTCCTCAGTGCACATTTACCTGATATTTGTCATTCCTGAAATTGCTTATTAAAACAAAAATATTCCATCATTTATTTTTGATGATAACACGTTGTAAGCACCTGTGGCTGATTCATAAAGGTGGATGGTACAACCTTAGTGAACTTCAATTTATATTCTCTGTTTATCATAATTAAAATCACAGAACTTATTTAATTGTTGCTATTATGTCATAAAATAATGTCTAGGCCCGTATGACATGTGCATGAATGAAATATATTAGACATAGAGTAAATCGAAACAAGTTTTCAATAGTCTTTTGTGCTTAACCTACTTCAATACCCTATTTAATACCCAAGACAGACTAAGGCATACTGGTATTTAACTCATTTTTGCACTAACAATCTTATGCTCATGTATTGATAATTTACTTTCTGTGTTTTCAGAGTGAGTTGGACCGTAGATTAAGAATGTCGCCATCCCGTCCAGAGACCATCAAAGAGTCGCCTGAGGAGGGGAAAGGTATGAATATTCTTCGTGACAGCACCAATAATGAACAGACACAGAGGCCACCACGTCGTAAAAAGAAGAAGAGGCCTTCAGAAAGCAGAGAACTAACTTTTAATGGTGAGTTGGCTGTTTTGATTAGTCATGGCTTTCACCTTCTCCCATGTTTACTTGATTCAATGTAGGATTTTCATTTATATGTTGTAATCTCAATTGCTTTAATATGTAGATAAAGATATTTCATTTCTCTTTATCAAAGACACACTTGATACTACTGACTGTGACTTGAAGCAAGACTATATGTAAAGCTCTCATATAACTCAGACTCTCCAGTTTTGTATAGAGTTAAGACCACCATGCATCATTTGAGTTTGTTATCAAGGACATTGTCTCTTTTGTTTCAGATCTGTACAGATGTACAGGCGAGGTGCTTGGAGAGGGAGCCCAGACTGCAGTATGCACATACACCAAGCTATCCAATGGCAAAGATTATGCAGTCAAGGTAAATGCATCAAAGTTAGAATCTTACATCATTTACACAATTTGAACAGGAATTGTGAATGTTTTATTAACCTAATATTGGCAGTCTTTATTTCAACGTTCACTCTGAATAGACTCATTGACAGTCACATTGGAAAAGTAAAGAAGTCAGTTTAATGTGTTAATTATCCAATTTATATTGTGTGACATATGACACTCCTTTTGTGTGTTTTTTGTGTGAGAATAGATATCCTTGAAGTAAAAATAACAAAAAGGATGCATTATGAAAGTGTCAGACATGTTAAAGCATGATTTATTGTAACATTACAAAGCAAAGTTATATCAATCAATATCCTATATTACTGAATCACCTTTATGGAGTGATTTATTGACCATGTAATTACCGTTACATTTACATGGCAAAATTCAGATTAAAAAATGGACTAATATTGAAATTTCTATGAATTTGAACTTTCCCCAGATCAATCATCATTTCAATAAAATTTTGAAATCTGAAACTTTTATTTTATATTTTTTCCATTTGTAGAATTTATTTCATTTCTTTTTGTAGATTATAGACAAGAGTATAGGACGTAGTAGAAGCAAGGTCTTCAAGGAGGTGGAGATTTTTAACCAGTGCCAAAGTCATGAGAACATTCTCAACCTTGAAGAATTCTTTGAGGAAGAAAACCGGTTTTATTTGATATTTGAAAAAATGGATGGAGGTATGTTACAAGTGCTTATATTTTGCATACACATTTGAAAATGTTTCACTTATAATCTATTATTCATCGTCAAAAAGATTTTGTTTTGTAATTTTATGACAATACATAACTATTCATACATAGATATTGTCTGTGTCATAGCGATAATTGTTAAGTTGTTTACATGAAAACAATTCTTTATGACTGTTTCAGGTACTTTGCTAGAGGCTATTGAACGTAGAGGCCACTTAACAGAGCAAGAAGCCAGCATGGTCATACGTCAGATAGCCAGTGCTTTAGACTTCCTCCACAAGAAAGGCATTTCCCATAGAGATCTGAAACCAGAAAATATTTTATGTCAAAAAAGAGATGAGGTAAGTTCTTGAGCCTGTCTTCAAATATAAATGGAGGAAAATTAATGTGCACTGCTGACATTATTTTAGATAAGGCTTTTGTAAATGCATTTGGTGATTTGAATCATGTTTTAGCCACCAAGTTTGATATTGTACTTAAAGAAAACATCAAAAGTTAATTGTAGCGAGTAATAAAAAATCAATAAAACTAATGATAGGGGTCTATGCACATACATGCATTCACAAAAACTCATTTTTGCATTGAAATCCTTTCTTTTCCAGCTTATTCCAATAAAAATATGTGATTTTGACTTGGGTAGTGGGATCATCAAAAGTAGTCATGAGACCACCCCATGTACCACCCCTGAGCTGTTAACCCCTGTGGGGTCAGCTGAGTTTATGGCCCCTGAAGTGGTCGACGTCTGGGTAGATGAAGCTTCAAGATATGATAAAAAATGTGACATTTGGAGCCTAGGAATTATAGTGTAAGTTTCCTTTACATAAATGAGATGTTGTATTGCAACTATTAACAATTATCCAGGTAAAGATCTAGATGAATAAAAAAGATTGCTTAATAATAGTCTAGTTTTAGTTTTGATAAGATGACCATTTTCATGATCAAAGCAGAATTTAATATTGCGATAAGAACCAAATAACTGATTCATAAATCGAACTGAAAATTTAAACCGTCTGACCCCTAAAGTGATGTATTGTTTGATTTGCTGTTGTTCATGTGTCATAATTGTGTCTTGCAGATATATTATGCTGTGTGGCTATCCCCCATTTGTTGGCTATTGTAAGGGGAATTGTGGCTGGGACAATGGAGAATACTGTGAGGCTTGTCAGGTAGGTTCTATTCAACTATTGATTGAGAGACTTCTTAATTAAACGTTAATTGACTGATATGGGGAATGTGCATTAAATGGATATTTTTTTTGACAAACTTACTAACAGGGTGGATTTTTGTTTTATTAAATTAATTTTTTTAACAGCTAAATACTATGTGTACATTAATCCAATTTAGCACAAAATTACTTTGACCTAGACTTAGGCAGAATTTATGTAATTCAGTATGGTACATCATTGACATTAGGTAATCATAATTAATAAGAATAGCTTTCACAAGTCAACTTGACAAGATTAATGTGAACATATTGCATCTCATTATACAATGTGTCATACACAATTACATACATTACTGAATGTAAAGAATCTGGCATTCATCTTCATGATCTGCATGAAACATCTTGTCAGGAATGTCAACTAAATTTTATATTTTTGTTGCAGAAAATGCTGTTCACCAGTATACAGGAGGGCCACTACAGTTTCCCTGAGCCAGAGTGGACAGATATCTCTGATGGTGCTAAAGACCTTGTGCGCCATCTGCTGGTTCGTGACCCTCACACTCGGTACAATGCCTCCCAGGTTCTGCTTCACCCCTGGGTCACAAACAATGGGAATAAGACACTCCTCCCTACACCTGGTGCTCTAAAAAGGTAATGGTTTATTCTGAAACTTTGGTCAGTTGTTTCTATGAAACAAATCATTATCTTTGATAGGTAGTTCTAAGATATCATTTAATCAAAACACTAATGAAACTGTAATGCAATATTTATTTCAATAATGTGATCATTGTAGTATGAAGTTTGAAATTCATTCATATTATTAATTTTTGTGGATGGTGGTTGGTGGTCGCTTTTTGGCTACTGTAACAAATAGTAGATGGTGACATTTTGCATGTTATTGCCTTGTTATTATTATTATAAATTGTGATTGTTTCTTCCTTTCAGAAATAATAGTACAAAAGACATTGAGGCATTTGCCGAAAATGCTGTGGCTGTAAATCGTATGATCTTACAGCACCTATCCATCTCTGAGCCAGTAGCCATCCCCAATCCTCCACGCTTCTGCCTAGGAGGTGGTAGCACCGGTGATGATGACGAACTCAGTGATTACTTTAAGGAGATGAGCAGCTCCGATGACAGCAAGAATGATGAAGATTCACCCCCACCATTCGGCCTGTCTCCACCGGGCATGTCAAGACTTGCCCAACGTCGTAGTATGAACCGCCACAACAGTGGTAGCTACGAGGATATCTCAGGACAGAGCTATGATGACTCCACCTTCCATCCCTTCAACCAAACTGGCTCCCCAAACACAATCGTTAAATCTATCACACAGTCATAGCTCTTTTAACAGTTATTACCTGTATTTCATCTAACTTGAGAAATTTGACTCTATTTTGCATCTTACTAAGAGACAGTGTAGTATTTGAGGACTGTGATCTGTAAAGTTTGACAGTACATAGGTACAGAATTGAGAAACTGAACTATTTGACGATCCAGAGAGGACGATGTGTCATATTATCATTTGCTCATCATTAAGAGAAAAAAATCTCAAAAACTTTAAAACATAAAAAATATTTTTATCGTTTTCAAGTTATAGCCTTAGGTAGTGAAAACCAGTTGGAACACAAAAACTGCCAAGGCAATGAAACTGAAATCAAAATATCCCCGTCACGAAGGCAGCAGTTATGTGTGAATAGATGGAAACCATAATGGATAATGTCACACACACTAAAAACAATAAGGGGTACTAGCAGTCAGGGCAATGCCAAAATACGAAACAGTTTGTAAGATATATATGCATATATGTTAACTATATCTGTACAATGTTAGTTATGCCATATATATATTGTACCACAATGTGGTACCATGTTCCAAAATGTTATATATTTTTAAAAAGGAGGACATTTTTGCCTATTTTTATTTTCACATATTAAAAAGTTTAAAGAATAAGCTCAGAATATCTTCAAATAGGCAACTTTTGTGGAGTCTGACAACCATACATGATTTAAAGATAGCGAGTTATATTGGGCTTATTTTTTACACAACTAGAACATATTTTTTATTTTAAAACACCTGTGGGGTTTTAGTTAATTGACTTCACGAGGTCTTTTTAATTTTATTGAGGTGAACCGTCATTCAAATAAAGCATCACAGGTGCTTAGTCATCGAGTAGTGCGTCAGTGTCAAGTTTGGGACATGTGTCAGAAGGAATAAGTACATGTAGAAAACAATGAACAATTTCAGTACTGAGGCATACAGCAGGCCTTTGGAAGCATTTTGAAAATAATTGATTTTCACCTTGTGCATGTATTAATAATAATAAGTACATTTTTTATTAATTTAGAAAATAATATTACACAATATGGAATATTATGACTGTCTCATTGGCTTGTATCACCAAAGTCCCATACATACACAATAGACATTATGTTCAGCAGTTGTTAAATAATTGTAACTGAAATTTTGAAGATCTTATTAGGGGTAAAATAATGAGTATAACCAACTAGACTGTTTGCTATTATGTGCAGTATTATACAGTATGTCTTAAAACCATTCCGGAATTGAAATGATGTTGAGTTTAACATTTCCTTAGTTCATTTATATCAACCTCTCGATTATTGAAAACTAAATGTTATTTCCCGTTTATAATGTCTTCCGTTAAACGCATGTTACAGCTGTAGTGAAGTGTCTTTATGTAAACTAAAATATTGTGCCTTCCTATTGGTTAATTTGGTTTATATTTAGAGTAATACTTAGTCTAAATTGCATGTTTATTATGAAATCAAATGTTAAAACAGGGTTGTGTATTTGAAAATGTTTACTTTTGGAACCATCCAAATAGTCTTTGCTCATTCATTTAAGAACATATTGTTCAGAATTCCTAGCTATTTCAAGTACCACAAAATCTATGAATCATTTGAACAACTTATTACTTCCAAATGCAGTGAATTTTGTTCAGGAAATATAGGGGCAAACCCCTCCTTTAAGTCTCTAGATGGTCATGCAATTCCATGCTTTCGTTGTGTGATTTTAACGCTATTTCTTGCTTATTTCTCATATGGAATACGTTCGTTAAAGTAAGGCCATCTAGATCTTGGAGAGTTGGGGGTTATGGATCCTTGAACTCAGGTAAAATAAACTAGGCCTATCTCATATTTGTGCAATACCAATACTTTTGAATAGAATGCAAAATTTGTGTTGATTACAGAAAACGCACACTTCTTAAGTATTGAACATAACTACGTATGTATGTTTGTATATATTCCAAATTATGTATGTTTATGAGAAGGAAACATTAAATGATTCTGTATCTCCTTAGAGTGGGGAACCCTTACTACAAATGCTCATAATTATCTGATCTACATGGTCAGTGATTCCTAGCAAAATTGACGTGATACATAACTATAAAACTATGTTATTTTATGAATTTATACATTGATAGCCACATAATTTCTAACATTGTAATCATTATTGTGATTTAATAGTCCTTTTACCAATACTTTTAAGGTCATCAAAAATAATTTTCTATTTTTGGCCGGGATTGTGACATGAAATAATTATGACAAATACTGTTTTTTTCTAATTCAAACCTGGTATCATTTACCTATCATCATTTTGTCATTCATCATTTAATTCAACTAAAACTGGCACTGGGCAATGTTTGTTATCATTGTAAATATCTCTAACGTTATTTCTTTTTTTCATTCTGTACATACATGTAATATGGCTGTGTAAGGATCTAACTAATGAAAAGTCACAATCTCAACCATAAATTATGTTTGATGTGAAGCCATTGGCTAAATTTGAAAACAACATGAAATCACCTTTTCCTATGTTCAATTTTTGTTCCATACTGTACAGTACTAAGTACAATACTGCTGTTATTTCATAGATTCTTCTAAAGGGATATGGATGTCAATATATGTAAACTTGACTTCTCAGATTGATCAATTATCTTGTAGGAAGACTTAGCTTGGGTTAAAGAAGCCAAGGTTTGTCATAATTTTCATTATATTTTGCAGGTAATTGCTAAATCTGAGAATCTAGTATTGTTTCTTAACTTGAATGTGTTTAACAAATTCCAAATGACTCCATTTACCTGCTGAATACCAATTTTGAGTAAGAGGACATGCATTGTTGACACTGGTAGAAAAACATAGTTCATAATCCATTTTGGAATTTATCAACAGAAAGGGTTTGGGGGTACAGCCAAAATGGCAATAGCTATGTATTTCCACACCAGTCACCATTTGAACATAATCCTGAGTGGAAGTGCAATGTGTTTGTCTAACCAAAGTGGAGGTTAATGTATTTAAGGTGTTGTCTCATACGGTTTACATTAAATTTGAATGGATATGTTAATTGTTAAGGCTATGAAATGGATAATGTGTAGATTGTAATGTTAAACTTCTGAGACAACCTCTTAAATTAATATACATGGGTTTATGTAATAGCCAGAGCTGCATTACTGGAAACTTCTTCATATGTTTGAAAATGTTATTGTATTTAAGCTTGCAACATTGTTTTCTAAATTTTCATAATGATGAATCTCCAGTAATAGCTTTCTGGTTATTTCATATTTTGCATAATTTGTAAAAATTATTGTAATATGATATTTGATAACTTAGCAGAAAAGGTTTTCAATTGTTCTTCGAGAAATATTCAATTGTATCATAATTTTGTAAAAAAGAGATGGAAGGAAAATGATCAAATCACACAATGGAGATGCTTATTTTTAGACATTGGTAAATATTTTTAGTACTTTTTGATCAGGAGTCCTAAATAGATGTATGGATGGATTGATGGATAACAATGGATGCCACTGTTGATTTGGTTCACCAAACTTTTAGTGTTTCTAAATTGTTACATCCTCATTGTGTGATGGAACAGTTGAAGATGCCTTTACAACTTGACTTGTCAAAATCTGACTTGAACTGAATATGCTTAACAAAGTTTTGTATTTTATTACGTTGAAATAAATGATTTTAGGGATGAAATGAAATATCTCTTTGTTCTTTTGTCCTACCAAATGAAGTTTTCATGAGACAAAGAGAAGCTGTCAATTTTAGAACCTATGATACACTTATCATTTGACGAATGTGTGGTTCCATTATACATGTATAACTGCCTTCAAGCAATGATTCTAGAAGTGAACGCATCTGGCAAAATTGTTAATTGTGTTAAACCAAATTGTCTTAAGCACCAGAAGCATACTTATAACAAAAACCTGAACTGATGCGGCCTGATGATCGCCAAGATAATAGCCCTGATGCAAACCCCAGTGAGAATAGGGTATGGGAAGGTCTCCAGGAGATAGTATGAAGGCACCAAATCTAGAAAATTACTCAACTAAAGCTGATAATTAAGACAGGTTTAAAAAAAACTTGACTTACATTTCATTGATACTGCTATATCAGCAAGGCGACTAAAACTAAAATGTATCATGAAATAGGGTGGCGGACCAATTGAACTCCTCTGTTAGATCAAATATAATCCAAGTTGAAGGACTTGTTACATTACATTATTACTAAGAACCCCTGGCACTATATAACTGCAAAATTTGGGGTATGTAGGTTGGAAAATAAAAAACTTACTATTATCCATTATTCAAAATTTTACAGGACAATGATTTGACATTGAAAAAAATTGAAAAAAAGCAACTTGGAATGGATTCAGCAGAGCAATTTTAATAGCACAATATATTGCTGTCCCGTTACAGTGAACATTTAAATGATGGATAATAAATTATGAAAATAAAAATGAAAATAAAATCATTTTTGTAGCCTTGCCTTATAATGTCTTTATTAAACACGCTATGTTAACAAGAATCTAGCATGTATTCTCTAAGTTCACATCTAGCGCTATTACCATCTACTACAATTACCCAAATGCGAGTAAGTAGTTACCAGTTTCACCACCAGGTGGCTGATTCGGGTCAATTAACATGGCAGGTATATAAGAAAGTTCCCTTAAACTTGAATATTATCAATTTAAGTGGCTCAATTTTCATATAACCCTTATGTGTCTGATACTTATACTAATGAAAATATGTCCAGTAAAGCAAAATATTATCTGTCCACTAAAAGAAAAGATATTTCATTTTTTGTGATTTTATAGCATGGGGTCTATGGGGAATCTCCCCGAGCTAGAAGTCACATTTTCAAAGAAAATTAATTTTTCAAATTTGATAAACACTTTTTAAAACCACATTTCTAGATGTAGTTTTACATGTAGATTTCAAATATGATATTACTTTGACTGAATTTTGAATTTTTAATGACGTAAATCAAGCTTATTTCTACTCGCATCTGGGTTATTGCAATATATAACACATTTTTATATTTATGAACGTAAAATAACATTTATTTTTTAAAAACATATTAAATACATTTAACCATAGTCACTGACTGTAACATAGGGACCTTCACTTACACGTCTGTTACCTGAGTTCTCAATGACCTTTCTGAGAATACGTCCTGAATGTATTCTCTTTTTGGGAGTATGATAATGTACCCGTTTTCCCACACTAGAGACACTTGGGCTTCTTGAACTACTGAGATTACTCCTAACGTCAAATGAGAGTCTACTTGATGTCTCAGTTTGTTCTGGTAGATTGAACGATCTTTGGTCAGCTTTAGATTTATCAATCAAAATAGATGGCCTTCTCGCGCGATTCTCACTTTGGGGATCTGGAATTTTGCAACCGTAATGCGGGCTTGAGTATGTATACCTAGCCTTGGCTTTCTGGGCTTCTAGTTCCATTTTCTTGCTAACATGATCAGTGAGGATAGAAGACAACTTAACACGTTGTTCCCCAGTCACTTGTTTTCGTTCTCTTGCTATAGTTCTACGCTGTTCCCTGACATGGGAGTTAAAAGATATGAAGGGGGTGGTTACTATAGTCTCGTCAATGTCGTTTGGTCCTCTTGCTTTAACTGATGACATGTTCAGCTTGGCCACATTGTCTGATAACCTGCAATGAAACATCATAACCTTCATTAATAATAAGCAAGTAACATTGGAAATAACAAATTTAAAATCCCTATAAACATATACACAACCACATACAGTTTCTGTTTCATAGTTTTGCAAAGACAAATTACAATGACATAAATCAATACGACTAAATCATCATGAAATTATGTTATCATAGCTCTAATCAAAATTTTCATTCGAAAAATGTTTTGCAAAATTGTGCCACCATACAATATTATACTCATATCGAATATGCACGTAAGAAAAAGCACTTAAAATCAAAGTCAACGTTCCAAAGTTTTTGCAGAGGCTTGCAACCATTCACAGTCAAACGGAAGAACCAACTTCCCGGTCTTATTCTCTGCAGTCGGGCTCAAGATACCATCCAGTATGTACACTCTGAATGGAGGAACAGTGTGGGTGATGTATGGAGTTCAAATGAGGAGGATTCCATCCCACAAGTAAATATTTTTCAAAAATCGAAATGTTAAACAGAGGAATTTCTAATGAATTACATGCATTTGCAAAAGATGGAGTGTCATTTGTAATTTCCATATACCATATAAGTTAAGTGATGATATGATCGATAATGGCAAAAAAGATCGATAGTGCCACTTTGGTAGACTCGTACAGGACTACAAATAGCTCACCTCTCAAGCTGTTCCTTAGCATTCTCAATAGAACTTGCTTCAAAAAGCGGGGCTAGACTGTTAATCTGTTCTCGACTTGACTCGTCTTCCCTTTCTTTCAAGAACCTATGTACTCCAACATCAACAGGAGGGCAACTTTTTGGTCTGCGTCTTTGGTTATTTGTGGTGTTTTTGCCATTTTGTAGATTTGTATCTCTTGGTCCACGTCGGGTAATCTTTAAAATCGAATCAATATGCAATACATGTAAACCAGATACTTGTAATTCGACGAACAAACATAGACGAAATGATGAACCTTACAGATCCTCGAATAAAACTATAAATGAACTGCGTACCCTAGTTTTGAACATACTCTTGATGTATAATTCATATTATGTGTATTAACAAATTGTTATCAGCAAAAATAACACAAAGAAACAGATTGCATAGTTGCTCTACTTTCTAGAGTTCTAACTTAGAATTTACGACAACATCATCTTGTTCTCGTGTATTTTCTTTTGGTGCCCTTTGTATTTTACTTACATTCGACATCTGACGCACAGCCTGGTTTTTGCAATCCCATGCTTTAGCTGCAAGCAAAGCATTCAAACATTTATATTCCTTTCAAATTATACTCTCAGGGATTTCCAAGATTGTTGTTCAAGATCATTTTCTGAATTGTTCCCAGGCGTTCCCTGGGAATGTCAAGGAAACTAGCTTTTCTCAGAAGTATGGAAATTTTAAATTGGGCTTTAGATGTAGAGCTATGCAGTTATTGAATGATATGTAGTGCAATAGGGATATATTGTCCTCGAGAAATTCTGTATTGGGACGAGACGACTAGATCGACTATCAATACAGAATATCGAGAGCACAATATATCCTGTATTGCATTTCAATTCCTTCTAACGTTTTTATCATGTGATCTTACGCCAATGCATTTTACTTAAGATAATCCTTAGGAAATATTCTGTATGCTCTGTATTGCTACTGAGATTGCCCCCTCCGTACCCATATTTTTTCGTATTTTTTGTAAAATGAAGCCCTCTGATTGGTCAGTTCTTGTGCTGTACCAATCTGTATTACTACTAAGATTGTTTCCTTTGATCACCTCCGGAGCAATACAGAAAATATTGTCACAGAGGGGACAATCTCAGTAGAAATACAGAGCATACAGAACATTTCTGAGGGATTATCTCTTAGGTAAAATGTATGCTACCAAATGTATTGGCCTCGTCTCGTTCCAATTCAAAACTTCTCGAGCAGAATATATCCTGTATTGCACTTCAAATCATTCAATAACTTATATATTCGTATGATCTGTAAAATGAAGCCTTCTGATTGGTCAGTTCTTGTGCTGTACCAATCTGTATTGCTATTGATATTGTCCCCATTGATCATCTCCGTCACAATACAGAAGATATTGGTACGGAGGGGACATTCTCAGTAGCAATACAGATGATCACACGATAAAAACGTTATAGAATGATTTGAAGTGCAATACAAGATATATTCTGCTCTCGATATTTTGTATTGGCACTCGACTTCGTCTCGTTCCAATACGGAATTTCTCGAGCAGAATATATCCTGTATTGCACTTCAAATCATTCAATAACTTATATAAGTAATGTACCTTATTTTAATAAATTTTCCTCTTCAATGTTTTTTTGCAATGGCAGAAATTGTTTGAATATCTACATAGCCCGTGTAAAATCATTTGGAAGTTGTTCAAGTCGTACTAAACCTAATTTAAAGATATGAGGGTGTTATATTCCTTGAAATTTATTTACTTTCGGTCTTTTATTTTCAAAGTTCGTTAGAAATCTTGTCTTTGCATCTTCATCATATGCCTCAGCCATGTCAGCTGGAGGTTGAATGTGTAATCACTTCTTAAATATAAAAATACATTTACCTAGTGCCACGGGGGGCTTCTCTTGAGACAACTGCGGCAGATCCAACTGAAAAACAGGAAATAATCTTAATCCTTTGGCATTGATAGGTTTAATATTTTTTTTGAACGTTGGAAAGATTAGAACTTTAAGAATATAGCCAAAAAGACCATATGATTTACCATCACCACATTGTCCCCTCTGTAAAACAAAAGTTCTCCTAATACAGATGAACGTTGCTTAGCCGTGTATTGAAGAACGTAGGAATCACTATTCATGATGAGGCTGTATCCTGTCGACTAAATCTACTTCGAATCATTAATATTGTACATGTGTTTTGTTTTGCTTCTCGAACATCACACTTTATGGCCAATTTTATTATCCCGTCCTGATTATGGCCCCTCGGGTCATTTAAATGCAGTGAAATGTCAATTTATTGAGACAGTTAATGCTACCGTTTTTACTAAGCTTGACATTGAACTTCAGTCCTGTCATTCTTTTTTGTGATTCGTTGTGCTTCTATGTTCCCTTTCTAATCAGCCAATTCAAACACAAAATGTTTGTGTTACACTTGTTATGTACACACGATACCTTATCAATGCTATAAGACATATAACTATGTGATAATCTCCTGTGACCTCTTCGTTCTTGAAACTCTTTAAAATCTCAAGACACTTAAAGAAAAGGCCGTAAAGAAAATCTCTTCTAAGTTCTGCTACTACCTTTTTATCACGTTAACTTGCCAATTGTCACCAATACTACCGGATACCATTGTAATACATCGTTTGTAGTTGCGTTTGTCGTCTGTATGATAATAGCATTTATCCGATCACTATGCGTTTCATAAATGTAAGACAAACATTCTCCTAATAGTAAACCATTGATCACGAATAAACGGATCAATTGAGGTATCGCCAGTCTTTGTACATATAGCCTGTACTATATTCTAACGTTCTTGGTTACCACACATTTGTATTTGTTTAATAGAAAGTTATGTTTGTACAACGTTATATATTCTCCAATTACTTCCTTTATGTGTCCTGTATTACCGGTTAGTGTAACAGCTTTATCACAGATTGTAACAACTTCATCACATGTTTCATCACCATTGGTGTCACACGTTTCAGTGTCGTGCTTGTACCATTTACAGCAGGTTTACATCCTTCTTAGTCTTATACAACCGTCGTTTCAAACTTCATTATTCTACTATTGTAGCTTAGGCAGGACACAAAGCCAAGTTAAGCACTATTAATCCACTCTGCACTATATTTCTTCGATATAATAATATAATAAATCTCCCTGATTTGTCAATCAATACGAAAAGAGTGCAACTCTTTATGTACAGGCTTTAAATGCATTTATTTGAGGCGACTTCTCCATTTATCTGATACCTACATAATGTAATTGCATTTTCTGCGAGTTGTGCGCTAGACTATAATATTTGCATACAATTGAGCGTCTCGGAGACAGTAAGAGTGGCTGTGAAGGAGTGGCATGTAAATGATATCGTAAGGGTATTGTTTAAAAAGGCAAATATAACAAATATTTGCCGTAGTACTATAAAATGGTGTAAATTCCTAAATCAACTTCTAATTTAGTTTTATTCAGATCCGGGATTCAGATCCAGTTCAGATCCTATTATGGGCAAATGATCCAAATGGAGATCATCCCATGGACAGTTATTCTCAGCATAAGAAATGCCCAAAATGGCGTTCCCGAGGCACATATGGCCATACGTCAATGGTTTACAATGTCAATCGTTGAATCTATCATTTATTTTAGAAAATCAAGTCAGATGTAAATAACTTTTAGCTTTCACTATCTTGAAACGGTCAACTGACTACGATCTATGGTCAACCGCTAATTGGAAAAGAGTAGAGTTAGAGAATATAGGATCTGTAATTGAAAAGTCGTGATCGTAGCTTCCGCTTCATAACTATCATCCAAGTGGTCAAAACACACACGAGGATACAAAACAAACAAGCATTAACACGTAAAATGTCACCACCTGCTATTTGTTACAGATGCCGAACACCAACCGCCGAACATCGTCCACAAAAAAGTTGGAGACTATAACAAAATGTCACCACTTGAGGTGGTGGCTTAAAAATGAAGAATATCACAACAAAAGTAATACTAATGAACCAAGAAAACTCTGTTTATGTTGGAAATGATACAGAAGATAGAAGACTGGAACCCTGAAATATGAGAATTTAACATTTTTGAGTCGCAGAATAAGATAAAGTAAGGTAAATCAATATATGATATTATTATTACACGTATTTTTAAAAAGATTATAAACGAGGGGGGGGGGGGTTGTTATCTAAATTGACCAATTTGGGGAGAAACACATTTTTCGGTGCTATTCCAATATAGGCCATATAATATACACTTTGAAAAAGTGGCTTCAAGCTGGGAGGCTTTATTAAAATAAGATAGATTAATTGATAGATACTAAAGTCGCCATTTTCATGAACCAAAGTTGCAAATTGAAAAATATAAATCGAAAAATTTGCTTAGTGAAAATGCCATCCGTTAAGCTATAATGTCCTGTTTAAGAACCTCTATCTCGTCCATGGTATGACTCCCGAATGTGAAGAATCCGTAACACACAGCGCAACAACATTTGAAAAATATATTTAAGGAGATGCATATGTCTTGATTCTTTTTAAATGTCTTTCATCACAAGGGGTCAAAAAACGTAAATATTTTGATTCGAACGTATACATTTTATAAGACACAGACCGTTACTTTAAGCATGCGGACAAAAATAGATTATCATTTATAAAAATGATACAGTGGGACAGTGACTTAAGGCGAAATGTTAAATTTCTAGCATGATCCAGCAATGAGAGTGACCAAATACTAGAATTAAAACCACGAGAAAATGGCTGATTTCATACATTTACAATAAGCAAAACTGATGAAATATGTGTAAATTCAAGAGTTTTATGCAGCATCACATGGCATCGTTTATCGAATCAATGAATGTGTTCGACCACTTAATTTCTATGCAGATCGAATGAGAAATGTTGTTGTAACTATTTTAAAGTTTAATGTGCTTGTGATATTTGATCTACAAATGACACAATATGCTGGATAAAAACATACGTTTTCGAATTACCTTCGGTCATTTATAGGTAATTACGTATCGCAAACCCTGTAACTTAGGTAAAATACTGCTTAGTGTAATGACAAACTAGAAAAACAGCAACTCCACGGAGTAGCAAATCCCACCGAACAAAACATATTTTGATTATTAGTGGCCATCTTGAAAATTCCTTCTTGAGCAGAGCTTGTTTGTCACTATGCATCAACATATAAAATGTAAACCATATCCGTAAATTAGCATTTGAGTTATCAAAGATTAAAACAAATATTTTGAAAGTTGTGATTTCGAATGTAATCTCCTACTCAATGGAATTTGTTGATATTTGTGGAATTTTTTCTTTCAGAATACACATCGCTGGATCACAGAACCTCGCTTTGTTCGAGATGCACAAAAGTGTATTGTTAGTACTTGACGTCGTTCGGATATTTGGATGAGATTGACGTTTTCGGTAATCTCCCACCACTGTAACTTCCAACTTAATTTTTGAAAGCCAAATATAATAGTCACGACTTGATATTTAAGTCACACGTTGATGCATACATCATGTGTGTACATTAACTGTCGAATACATGCCGACTTACATACATAAATATCCACAGTTAAACTCAAATCATCAATTCTCGAAACGGTTTATCATATAGCCTGGCGAGTTTAATGTTTCATTTTAATTTATAATTATGGTATCGGATTTGAGTATGATATAAGTCGAGGCTTAAACAAAGCAATGAAATTGCATGAAACCCTTTGTGAAAATTCGAATGATTTTTCAAGAATCCCCTTCAAAGTGTTACCAAAGTGCTCCCCGGGAGTGGAAATTTCGTCTTGTGCAATCAAAATAATAGCGAGTGGTTTGAATTTTTGTTCGAGTTTATAGCTTACATCTATAAATTTAAAAATATATCGCCTCATTGAGAGGTACATGCAGATTTTGGCGACCTATTATTATAAAAGGCTAAATATTATGCAAAAACAGGAGTTGACACGCTTACATTTGGAATTGAAATTTCCGACATAATTGTCGACTCATGTTTAAAAGTCATGAAAACAAGGTTGAACATAAAACATTGACCCAATTACTGTCTATTTAGCATGGGATCACTAAGGGAAATATTATTAATGACTTAAATCGTTAACGGTTAAGTTGTATTCCAAGAAACTTAACAATTTAGAAATGCAAAATGTTCAATTTTGTTTTCCAATGATAAAAAATGGCACCTGTAGAGAACAACGTTTACAAAATTATTTAAAACGGAGACATTTACTTATGAAACATTCGTTGGCATGTGCCAGGGAGTAAATAAGAAGAATATGCTTTTGATTCTATATCTTGTTCCCAAAGGAATTTGTTAAGGAGCGGTATATCTAACGTACTTTTATCATCCCGAACTCAAACATTTCGAATACTTATTTCGAGAACGCTTTGTTGAGAATGGATTCGAGATGTACTCAAAATTATTACGTTAAAATATGTATTATCATCTCAATAACCACCTCACGAAGTCTTGAATATCACACTTATGGACGTATAGAGCTGCAATAGATAATGACGTTATCAAACGCTTCATTAGTTATACGTTATACGGGGATAATAAATATGCTATAAGTGAATTACGGAATCTCTCTATTATTGAAGATGAATTAATGACAACAGGGATTCAAATTTTGTCAACCTCATTTTATAAAAGAATTTATAATCTGAAAGTTTGAACCTTAAGATAATAAATGAAGTGGGTAGTAACAAATTACACGTGAAACAGAGTTGAACTACGGTCATTATGAGAAAGACGACTTGCACGCGTCAGACATTTACGTCACCACCTTCGAAAATGAGGTCAGGTCTCAAAGCATAGAATCTCTATGGAACAAGAAAATATAAGAAATCGAATCTTTACAAATCGGATGCAGTGCTTTTAAAATATAATGTGCAATTAATCGTTGTACAAATTAATAATATTGAAATGTAAAAATTCAATTCTAAACAAATTATTTCTATTCAAGATTATATTAGTCTATTAGTGCATTTAGGGTAAACCGCATTCCCAATAATAATCATTAGTGAAAGGATTGGGCTGGTACGATAAAAACGACTTTCTTACTAACCACTTGAAAATTGTTCCAGTATAAAAAACCTCTTACAATCGGATATAATGACAGGTTGAACCCGTGTGAAAATATCACTTCCCAAACCATAACGTGGCATCAACTTACGAAACACCCTATGCTAAGATACAAATTTGCCTTGATTCAAATACAGGGTGTGCGGGAACACACTACAGGGTAAAATATCCGGAGGCATCCACTATATTGATGCATTCTGAGTTTTCCGTGTGTATTATTATAGCCAAGACCCAAGAGTCGTATTTGTAATACAAATCTGTTTCAAAATTGAAATGTTCTGTCGTCATCAAATCACATATACCATTATCAACAAGATTATTTCAAAGAGCTTGCGTTTAATCGAATCGCATTGGTGACACATTTATTGATTGAATGGATTAATGATTATACATAGAGAATGCCTATTCTGCACTTGTGGCAAATCTTAATAATAAATGAATCTTAATTTATTTTTTTGTATTTTCTAGATTAATCTGAATCACATGGTAGGTGGGTGTGGGACTACTCTCAAAGTAGAATGGTAAATGAAACAATGGTAGAAAAATGATAACGTATTGCGTAATTATATGATAAATTCAACTTTAGGTGGTCTTAGTATGTTTTAAGTTGCCTTATGTTGTCAACGTTTATGAATAAAGTCATGTACAAGGTTTTATCGTACTCCATATATTTTCTTAAAATCATCTAACAAGCTCTTTTTCTCATTCAATTTTTCATTCAACTATAAAATCCAGACGTTAGCCATGGAAGGTCTTCTACTTACAGAAATTATTTATTATTAAAAATAATTGTATAAAATATTTTATAGATATTACATAAAACATTAATTGCACAAGACTATTTAATATTTATGCAACACAGGTAATTCATTGTCGTGACTCTAGTTTAGGACGGTGGGGTACATAAAGGTATATACTTATCAAAGAGTTATATCAAACATGAGTCCTGATTAAATAGACTTTGGGTGTGCAGGGATGTTGTTTAAACATGAGGATCCCGAACTGGTTGGATTCCACACATAGAATAACGAAATACCTGTAGACACGATTTGACATACACAATTCTTTACACGCTGCTCGGAATTTCTAAAGTACAAATAAAATTGTTGGACTGTTTTATGCTGTTTAAGTTTAAACCTCGTGTCAACTTTCTGGATCTTCTCAGCCAACGGTAAGGGTGAGAGGTTTTTACATTGTTAGATGGAATTTAGGAAAAATAATGATTGTCGACTGGTTACGTAAATGAATCAAATATTATTCCGTTGCATCAATCAGGACGTGTTCCGCGAAAATTTTGAATTTTATAAATATATCATTCATAGAACTTATCTGAGATAAATATTTGTTATTATAGCTACCTACGAGCGGGAAATTGTGCTTTTCTCGCAACTTTTTCTCTCCATATAGGCCATATAGCAGAGTATCACTCTTATATGTATTTTGAAAGGAATGAACAAAGGGCAATAAAATAAGCATTATAACACCCTAAATCAAATCAGATTCATAATAACCATAAATATAGAACACAAGTGATGCAACGTAATATTTGTCTGAGATATGATTGACATAATTTTTACTCCACAATACGAGCATCTTGGAGCTATAACGAAGGGAAAGAATGAAAAGGAAATATAATCAAAATCAAACCGTGATGAGTCAAAGGGCGTGTAAACAGCTACTTTAACGATACATACAACCCAAAAAGTCAATGTGACTAATCCGGCCGTTTCTCAAACGAGTCTAAGATGTTGTTTAATGAATTATTTGACATCATCAATGTTCTATAGAATTGAGTGCATTCCAAACGCCCTTCCCATATTTTTTACGCAAACCATTCACGCAGCTTGAAATAAAATATTGAATTGCTGAGCATGAATGTCGCTGTGCATGTAATATACTGAAACTTGTTCTATAATATCAAACAAAAAAGTTTATTTAATCAAATACATTATTCTTTTCAATTTCAAATAGTACATTACTTTTATGAAACTATGTTACTCCAACTCTTTTAAATACATCTATTCTGACTAAATGCAGCCGGGTCAACAGAGGTAAATACGTAGGTCACTAAAAAACAACTGTCAATTCACCCAAAGAGTACACACTATAACTATTGTAAGAACGATATCGGGGCGTTACCTGTTGAAGCAGAGAGAGGGTTAAGGTGTGGAATATAAACTCCAATTTTTATCTCTTTCAGTGGTAATTAACCTCTTATAGACTGGAGCATTTCGACTAACTAGAACTAAAAAGGATATTTTGGGATTAAGGTGGACTTTCGTTGGATTAATTGAGAAGATTATACAAAAATCTTAATTGTAAAACCGGAAGTACAATTTCTACACATGGGAAGCCAGAGAAGGTGACCAAAGACGATGAATCGATGGTTGGTGCTCTTGACCTCCCTTGTGGTCATCCTGCAGGTGAGCTATTACATAATCTAATTCTACATCATTTCATGCTGTAATTTGTGTAATATTTGTGTAATTTGAGGTTTTGAAAGTGCCTCATTTAATATGTTATACAATGGTTGAGATCTTTGCATTTGTGTTTCGTAATGTCACATTTTTGGCATAAAGGTTAATGATGGGACGCTTATGAACAATATGTTTTGCTATTGTTTTTCACATAACAAATATATATCATTATTTCACGATTCGTAGAGGATATATGATAATGGTAGTGATAGCCCTACTTAAAAAAGTAGATAAGACGTTTCCAGCTTTATAAATAACCAATGGAAAATTCACAGAACTAAAGTTCTAAAAGTATTGGGTTTGAGAGGGCTGAAGAGAACACGCCCAAAGAGGATTATTGGACATCAGCTCTACATTTGATTAGAGGTGCCATGCTTGTTCATGTTAAGTACCCGTTATACAAATATTTTATGCGTGTAAATTTAGCAAAAAACAAGTTTTCTCAAAATGTATTTTAAGTTGTATGGGCTATATTGTCAATATTGAAAACATATTTGGAATAATAATTTTACAACATAAGCAGATACACGGAGTGGTGTATTCCATGGTAATGGTGACATAGCTACTATGCGTCCTAACTGTGTATCGTACACTATACAGCATTAAGTATACACCCTAAAAAAATGCCGGTATATAAAACATTTTTGTATTCTCTTTTGATTCAACTTGATTTATGCGCACAACTTAGTGAATAGAAAAGAGCTTAATACTGACATACCTACACCCAGTGGTACACTTACAAAACCTACAAATGTATTCTTCTGATTGGGTCCAATGACACGATGTTAAAAGCTGAGCTGTTTTCGTCCTGATTAATCTTAATTACAACTGCTCACATCATTCCAGGCTTATAATTGAATTTAATAAATTGAAATAATCTACAAATGCTGATTTTGACTTAGGTCTTGTAGTTTGCGTTTTGACATAAGAAACAAACCACTGCTTGGGGGCCCACGTCTTGGAGCATGTTTTGTAAGATAGGCTAGTTGTAGTTTTTGACTCAGCCAGCAGATTATCATCAAACTTGCACAACAAAATCATCATTGAATGAACCAAATAATTCTGAAATTTCAAGGCAGAATAATCAAGATTGACCACCAAGTGAATCAATTTTACTTCGGTCCTTTTTTGGACACCCTGTACCCTATGGAATAGAATCATAACGCCAATGATCCATAATCTCAGTATAACTGAAACCCATAAAAGACATTTATTCATTTTTCTTTCTCATTTGTTTTTTCTTATTTATTTATTTTCTAATTCATTCATTTATCTATTTAATCTCATCATGTTCCTCGATACCATGAATTGATCAATTTAAATGAACGAAGCATCGTCCAGTCATTTCTGAGGAATGATTGACAGACTGGTCTAGTAATTTCGTGATATCCTACTTGTAATTTAAATCTAGACTCTATATAAATTCTGAAATAAGAGCAGATATTTGTATCAACTCGTATTTTCTAAATACATGGCTCCAAATTTCAAAACTTCTTGTTTAACATTCGTGGTAAAGTTCTGGAAGCAGGGGATATGTCCCTTGTCAGTGCCTTAAAAATTGGTAACAATCGTTCATTTTCTTTCAAATGCCCTATTCATTACAATTTCAATTGCCGTAAAAGAACGGCAATTGAAATCTCGTGATGTTGGAGGCAAACGTAAGTTCCAGTCCGACAATCAATTAGAGATTCTAGCAATAAGATCCAACCGTTTTCCCGGTTTATCAATGGGCGCCGGCTTACTACACTAACATCCTTTTGAGTGTAATGGACATGGGTGTTTTAAATCAATGGAGAAAGTCGTTTTTCTTCGTGATATTCAGCCCGAATCTATCAATACGTCGATCATTAATTTCGAAATAATTTAGCATATTTAATCATACCAATGGCTTTAATTCTGAAACATATACCTTTTCTTTCTATAACAACATTCCCCTTGTAGTTCTAGAAGTTATGATATATACGATGGATTGTTTTGATCACCGTCCTTTGCAAGTGATATTCTGCCACTTTATGACCAATGTCATTATAACTAGTTTTTAAAAATGTTTCTTTTTGACGTTTTAGGGGGCACAGGTAGAGGGAACAGGAACTATAGAGTTGAATCTGACATCTATCACAATCCCTTCACCAACGGCTGGGAACATTGTGTTGCGCATATGTGCAACGACAGACAGGTAAGAGACCAGATTAAATGTTTCAATGTTCGGGTTTGTTTGATTTTCTTTTCACACATTGATCGAAGGAATGTCTTGAGTAATCACTATCCTCAAAATAAAATCATTTCAGCAAATTGTGTACACAAATTGTTTAACTTAGAACATACAAGAGGCGGAATTTCACGTGTAATATTGATTAATGTGCTATTTTGTTTAAATTAGGCTGTTGAAAAGCACCCAAAATGTAATTCTAAACATCGCATCTTTTCGTGCGATTGCGATTGAAGAAATTACTCAAATGTATACCATGAATGTGAAAAATAAAAAGTAAAGTTGCCATGCACATTTGCTCCTTAAGGTCGTACTCAAGTATTTCCCGCCCCTTCATTGTAATACTTTCTATTTAAACCCTTCACTGCGACGCAAGTAGGATTGACGTAGATCATCGCAATAAAATGGTTCGCTTCGCTCAACAAATCCTACTGAAAGGCGATTTTCAATGTGAATTCCATGAGTAAGAATCCCCTTGGCAAATCCATTGTAGTTCTGATAACACTTTCCGCGTTAACTCTGGTGAACAACGTAGCCTTATTTAAATTCTCCATTCAGAAAAAAATGTTTCGGCAAATGAACCGGAAATGGAAAAATATCAGTCCCCTTTGAAACCCATACTGAAATTGATTTTTTTTGTGATAATTTTCGTTTTTCGAACTTTTGAACTAAAATAGAGGAAATAAAGACAAGCTCTTTCAAGACCATGGTTATATGTGGTGGTTATGATGACAATGAACGACCCATTGATCTCAATTCATTCATCACCAACGTTTAAAATCAGAACGTAAAGTAAAATTGTAAATCCTCTGAAAGCCTTTTTTCTCATTTTCACTAAATTTGATAATGTTTTTGTCGTGTCGATGAAATGTAAATGACCGTGCACAGTTTAACTAAAGCTATAGAAAACGAACAAAGAAAGAACACTATTTGACCTCATACGTTCCTGAAATACTTTAATATTTGATCGTTTCTTCCACGACAAATTTTAATTAACTGGTTTATTAAAAGCCTTAAAAGTTGTACCTCAATTATTTTTAATACAAAAATTCACGCCATGTGATTATGTGTTTTGTCAACTACAAAACCATATTCTCCATCAAAACATTTCCTTTTATAACGACCGTACACTCTAATATACTATAGAGGAGAACTGTTTTTCATATGTTACCCATATTTTTTGTCAATGTATTATTGAACTTTTCAAACCTGTCAATTATGAACAGTTTGAAACAGGCTTTACAATGGTATAACAAATTAACATATAGAAAATGATGTCTTAGCCATAGAGAAAAAAGGAAATGAATTGTATAACAGCAAATTGTATTTTATGATGTTATTACATTAGCGAATATGTGAGTGTTTTTAACCATTATTAACTTTTTAAAATTTCATCTAATTTCTTTTTTTACCAGTTATTCACAATATTTACACAATGTGCCCACAATAGTTTTGTAATACTACAGGGTGGGCCAAAAAATTGGAACATTTGTTCCATCCATTTTTGTTTGTCACGTATCTTCAATATACTTTAGGAAATTGAAAAACAATTCATTGTCAACAGCTTGTGTATATGAATACACAAGCTCAACATTCAATTTCTCAACTATATACAAAATATTGAAAATGTTATGATTGATAAAGGATGGTGTACTTTACAGAGGGTAGGCCATGTATTTTGCCCGGTATTTTTTAAAGTACTCTGAGGGGTTTCTAGCCTCTTCCCAATGGGTTGGTTGCAACACCAGTACCATTTCTCTTATTGTTCTAAAACGATCATTGATATCACTCGGTATAATAGCACAGAGCATAATTATAGGTTGATCAAGATATCATCAAGTCACAGTGACTATGATCATATCCTTTAGGCATTCATATCACCGACGATCATTAACGATTGTTTCATTTGACAACATTACTCCGCGCCCAACCTAAGATGAATGGTAAGATGAGTATCAGATTCTCATACTGTAGGATTACAGTTTTCACCAAGAGCACACGGGATGTAAATTGGAGTGTAAATTGGTTGTAGTCAAAATTAATGGAGTGTTCATGGATACGGCAGATGCTAAAATAACATTTAAAAGTATTTTTCCTAATCATCAAACAAAACATTCAGAGGTACAGTATATACCTGGTATACTTTGTCATAATTAACATTAACAAATTATGGTCAAAAGGTTTGATAAAATATCGTCATAAATATGAGAAATCCAATATACAGCAATGTGTTTCAATAAGGGGGTATTGTGAGGAACAAAATGTAATACATTATTTTTTAATAATAACATAGTCATTTTCCTACTGATAATGTACATTCAGCTGCATTATATGCATTCAAATGTTAGCTTGTACTTGGTAAGTAACAATAAAGGCTAAGCCAAAATTGCGCACTTATGTAACCTTTAAAAATGTATGACGTAGATAAGTATTTAACATTGAATTTTTCAAAATTTGATTTGAATTTCAAAATTTTCTAGTTAAGATTAGGTATTTTGCCACCTAGGCTAGAGACAGGCAGAAAGGTATTACATAATAGGGCTCCATATGGAGCCTATCGTCGACGTGTGGAAGAAAGATTATGTACACTATGTAAGGATAACTCAGTTGAAACAGAATCCATTGCAATAGATATGATGATCTGAGAAAAACATTCGAATTCTTTGATGAGGTAAATTTAACCGATTTGGATAATGAAGGTTGCAAAATTGAATTTCTTTTTAGGCAACATACCTGTAAAATTGTTAAATTTATTCAGATGGCTTTGTGTGGCAATTCATTTACAACATGTGAAATTGATTTTCGTGCATTAATTTTGTATTTCTTATCGTTAACAGTAGTTAATAAGCCCACGGTGGGCTGGGTAAAATTGTTATTAATTTTTTTTATATTTATTGAATTGTAAGACTGACAACTATAAATAAATAAATAAATAAACTTGACTCTCAGTATATAGATTTTGATAGTAATTGAAAATTTGATAAAGTATCATGTACCTAGTTTTATAGATGGTGTATAATTATGACAAAATAATAGAGGGCTGATGTTTTACCCCGAAATAAATACATTGTAAGCTTCCTAATGGTATTTTATTGCATATTTTCAGTTCTAAGTCCGTAGCGACAGACTGCGCTACTCATGAAGGAGATGAACAAATCGAGGTTAATATAGGGGTTGCTCCTTTCACATTCGACGACAACCCTTATTCACTCCCATTCGACGTATGGAAGGTGAGATAAAAATTTATGAAATGTATTTTATTTATGTATGTCCCCGATTGAAGATAGTATATGAGACGTCCGTTATATGACACACTTAATTATAAAAAACAAAGAATTAACTCCTGACAGATTAAGAAGCCTAGGAGTCATCTTCCAACACTCATTGGACTGAACCTCGTTCAACAGGTCCAAGCTGGACATCTGGTTACACCTGGAAAATCACACATGGTTGACAAAGCTCTCACTCAATTTTTTTCACTCAATTTTACTTGATTTCACTTTTTAGGGTATGACTAGGTTTTTCATATCAGTGATAAATAACGGCACGTTGCTAGATACGCTGACGTTTAACTTGATCAAAAACAATACATACGCAAGTGGAGACTCGGGGATTTCGGAGATAAGTCGAATTCTACAGGGCACACTGACAAATCAAACTAGGTAAGTTTGATCACGTCATAATGTTTCTAGACTCATGTTATGTAGGAAACATAGACGAGGAAATACAATAACTCATTAAAGAGCCAGGACTAGAGAAATTTAAGGGTCAGAAATGGAAAACTAGTTAATTTGAATATTTTTTATTACAGCCTTACATTAATAGCATGGCCGATTTGTAACCCAGACTACTACAGTGGTAACTGCTCCGTCTATTGTAAAGTCCAAGATACATGTGACGGTCACTACACATGCGAAGTCAACACCGGAAATGTGGTATGCAGTGCCAATTGGGCGGGAGATACTTGCACTGAGAGGCCCATAGGATACAGTGAATGTCCCATGAAATATGACGATGCCATCATTCCCGGATCAGGTTAGACACATAGATAATATAGACATAATTAGCTACATCTTTATCTTTTTTTCAGCAGTCATTTCAGACAGTGGTACTCTTAAACATATCACCGGGAACATATCCCAGGCATTGCCATAGGAGTATGGAGTCCCATTGTACATCCACGCGTCCATTTTAATTATGAAGTCGCCATCTACAGAAGACAAAGTCAGTATGCAGTAATGATCTGGAGAGAAGAAAGAATATATCATGATTAACTGCATACTGACTGTGACGGAAGACTAAAGAGAAGCATGACAACCCCATGTTCTTGATGAATCAGATTAATGAACTGATAACTACTATTTCAGATATACTAATCTATTTTAGATTTTAGGTCACCAGTAGTAGTTTGTAGGTCAAGGAAAAAAGTTAACAGGCATTTATGTGAAGCCTATATCAGTATATGCACATTTATTGCTGAAAATCGTTGACTTCAAGAGTCAATAAAGTCCTGAGGATACTGTAGATGGTGTTCTGGATTGAGAAAATGATTTTGCTGGGGACAAGAAGCTGGTAATAATATATTGATAGAAATTGGAAGTTAGAAGAGATGAGAGGCTTTTGATGGGTTGATAGGCTGCTGATAACTGACTTGAGATGAACTGATGATATCTGCCTGGGGGTGAGATGATATCTGGTTGGAGATCATAATAAGCTACTGATACATTATGTAACAGAGTGAGGATGTATTGATGATAACTGACTGGATGAATTGGTGATAAATGAATGAGGGAGATGAGATACAAATGATAACAAGTCGCCATAAATGAGAGACCGATGATATCTGGTTATTAGTCATAGATTCATGGTAGCAAGTGGTTATTTGAAAGTCAGCTGAAGGGGAATATACTGATGTCATCGAACTGTTGATGAGAGACCGATGATATCTGGGGAAAATTCTGTGTAGAGATGAGAAACTGACAGTAACTAAATGACTGGAGATGATGTACCCAAGATGAATTATGATTGCCATTAACAAGGTGACTGATGAAATTCAGGAGATGAGATCTTCATCACAACTCAATGACCTGATTTCAACTGTTTAATGATGGCCAGCCCAGAACTGATCAAAGATGAAAAGACTACGAGTATTTTATAACAGTATCCATCCTACTTGGAATTGCACTTTGCAATATATTTTTTAATTTGACAGTTTTGTAAATGTAGAAAAACACAATGATTTGACAAATGAAACATTGTAATGAATTGCTCATTATATACAGCAAGGCTAGCGCCAAGTAGGATCATAAGGTAGGTAATTAAGCCATAAGCATGGGGGTACCTAATGTTTGGTATGGTTGATGAGTAATGTAATGTTAATGTTATGATGAAGTAGAAAGCATGAACCTGTGACAGCTTATGACTTGTAAGGGAAATGATGATGGAGAGTGTGCATACATGCATGAATGTTTGTTTGTGTGATGAACATTACAAGCACTTCCATCTTTTGGCCAAAGCCTAACACATGTAACACCTAGTCGGTCAATATTCAACAACCAGCTTCATGTCATATACATGTATCATTGTTTAGTACTTACATACAGTAGCAACCAGGCTTTGTTATCATTTGTAAGTTATCATTTGTGTGTTGTCATGGCAACTACATATCATTCATTGTTAAAATCAGTGACACACTGTTCAGTCTAGCAAACATTTCTAGGAATTCCTTCAACTTGATACAATCATGTTAGAGTGCACTAAAACTACCAGAAAGACATTCGTTTTCCCAACCCAGGTCCAAATTATTATTTTCAGGAGGCCAGCATATCAGGTTGGCCCTCCAGGATGTCTGCCATGTAGGAATAAGGAATATTTGCTAGACTGTTTTCTAACTCATTGCTTTTGATTTACATTGCTTCTGTTCATCCCTTTCCCTGGTCTTAAAGAATGCAAGTGTGTACTGCAATCCTGCATCAAGAGCAGTGCATTTGTATAAGGAAGTGCATGCAAAAATACAATTGGAGGTGTAAGTTAAAAGGATGGTATGGCAGAATGCAAATAACTCAATAAATAGGTTTAATTGCTAAAAGATTATAAAGAATTCAGGTAATCAAAATAATCCAATAGGTCTTCTCCAACACATTCCTGATGGATACAGTCCTAGGGGATCTATTCAGTGTGCTATATCCAAAAGATTTAGGATTCTCATCATAATGTCTTTCAGAACAGTGATATAGTCCTCATCTCAAAAGGAGGTACCATTGGCTTGATCCTTTTGATCACAATTCTAGATCTGTACATGCTCTTGTATATTTCCATTGATATCCTGTCCCTTAGCTTTGAAATGATGTTCAAATAATGCAGGAATAAGTCACTTTAAATACATTTTCTCATCTATTTTAGGGTTTCTTGGGACATGGGTAGGATCGTTTGACTGTAATAGTGTTGAATACAGTACCAGGATGGATATATCTGATCTAGGAGCCCTAGGTACTCAACCAAAGGGAGTGCTAAAGTTTTGGAACACTGAGGCTATGGTCAATGGTTCACAAGAAATTATGGGCACTTTAAGTATGCAAGGCTCATTCACATTGATTGGATTACAGTGGATCAATAAACCAGATGATCAGACAGTTCTTTTTGTGTTGGGTGATGGGAAATTTGATGACGCAGAACAAACAATATCACTGGAATTTAAAGCACTAGGCTTTTGCACCAGTGAAATTACTACCCTTTATAGGCCAAAGAGTGAGTACACATTTACATATTATGAAATACATGGACATGCATACACCCTATTTTCTATGAAACTACTGCAGTATTAAAGCTGATTTTATTTTTCCTCACACGGGTTTATCCAAGTGACTGTCACTTAATACATTTCCTGTTTTTAGGGTTCACTAGGTCTGGCTCTGAATAGAGTTATAAAAATACATTATGCCATTTATCCTGTGTCATTATTTCATGGAAATTTAAAAGTATGAGTGCATGTACTAACATGTTCACATAAGGCAAGAAGGCAGAGCTCAAGTATATTAGCATGATGGGTTAGTACATGCATGAATGCTTTTCAATTCAATAAAGAATAATACAGGGTTCTTTGTAGCAATTCAAATATACTAGGCCTATTACAATACTGTAAAACAATATTTCTGTTCAGTTGACCTTGACATAATGAACATGATTAGCTGAGGCAGACTTGGCATATTATTATCTATTTTATGAAACATTGCTCGTTGCATTATTTTTGAGTTCATCTACATATATTTGTAATTCAGACACTACCAAGGAGTGTCAAAATGGGGGAGTTTGTGTAAGGAATGGCACTGGGGAGGAAGAGTTCTACTGCTGCTGCAACACGAGTAAGTCTAGCATATTCTTCTTATATTATCACTTGAAAATGATCACATGTATTGATAAAACTGCCCTCTATTCCCAGTTTATGTGCAGAACTTTGCCTTATTTTTGGATGCATCTTCACTTATACCACTCTTGCTGCATTTTTATAAATTGTTTCAATCGGCAAGTACAGATTAAATCTTCTTCTTTGCTGTAATATTTATTTTCTAAAATAAACTAATCTGGCAGTAGATGCTATTATCAAAGGCTCTACAGCAGATTGTTTTTCATGCAGCCTATAAAAGTACTTTAGTTATGTTTAAGTCAAGAATGACATTCACCTTGTAGATTTCACAGGACCATATTGTGAGACCAGGCTTTATTGTGATTCGGACACTTGTCTCAATGGAGGGTCTTGTACTGAGGGAGATGAAACCTTCAACTGTACATGCACTGAGGAATACACTGGAGACAGGTGCCAGGAATTCATACATCCATGCACATTAGAGCCTTGTGTCAATGGGACATGTGTAGAGAATGGTACAGATTATTTCTGCAATTGTACTGATGGTTTTGAGGGTGACAATTGTGAAATAGAAACGGATGAATGTGATTTGGAACCTTGTGAGAACAATTCAACATGTACAGATCTGTTGAATGATTATAGCTGTGAATGTTCTGATGGATTTAATGGCTCCAACTGTGAAAACAACATTGATGACTGTTTGAATTCCACATGTCAGAACAATGCCACATGTGTGGATGGGATCAATTCATACACATGTGAATGTCCTGAAGGCTTCAATGGCACATTTTGTGAATCCCTCATATGTGGAGAAGGTACTTATGGTCCAGATTGTTCCATAGAGTGTTATGATACTGATGACTGCTCTGGGCATTACATATGCTCTGATACTGGCTCTAAAGATTGTATGGATGGCTGGGGAGGAGACAACTGCCAGGAAAGAACTGGGGAACCATTTGAATGCCTAGATTATATCAATACAACGAATCAAGGTATGGCACACTTGTGTTCATGAATAAAACAAGCATAAGCAAGCTTTGTAGATTGTATATATATGTTAATGCTTTCAGTTAGGAATGGTAACCAACAATACTCAAAATTTAGATTTAATACACTGTTTAACCAAACCAGCAGCAGTTGCATGTTGACAAATATATCACAAATGAAAATAATGCATGTTAGATGTTAGCATACAGTTATAGAGATACATCTATTTTAACATGTTCAAAATAACATGTTATCATACAGCCTCATACATAAATTGGCTGAATATATCATATGGCAATGGATCTTATTTTGAGCTGAAACATAGGAAATGGATGTATCTTTATATGCCATAATAAATCATATGACAGCTCTTAAATGTATGTAAACATATTCAGTAACTTCTCCACCTGCAAAGTAGTAGTATATGTTTAAATAGTAATAGTATAGTAACAGTATATGTTTGCATGAAATGTATGTAAAATGTATGTAAATCCACTACATTACCACTGCTTATTAACTCAATCCTCAAGAAATAGATTATATGATAGTAACATATATGTCCATAACATGAAGATGTGGGTGAGCATGATTGGATGGTATGGGGGGGGGGGGCTATAGGTTATGGTCAAGGCATGGAAATGGATCCTGCATGATACCCAAACTTGCATGGAGTGGCAGCAGAATATGGCAGAGTTATTGGGAGTTTGCTGGCGTACATGTCTATTAAGGTAAGAATTTTTATATCACAATATATAAAATATCTATTAATTTCATCAAAGAAAGTTTTGCATGTAATTTCAACAAGCGTGTAAATGATTTACAATTCCACTGTCATCATCTTTTGTTTATTACTAAGTAATTTGTTATTACAACATTTAGACAACATTTTCATTCTTCATGAACAATCTTCATAATGATTTTAATAGTTTATGCACTCCTATACTCTTATGTCCCATCTACTGAAATTGAAAGAATCTTAGCACACACATATTTCCTCCTATTTTATCTTTTCTGCCACCCATTTATTAATGGAAGTAAAACAATGTTAGCTTTGCTTCTTACCATTCAACAGTAATGCATGGGAGCATAGAGGATAGAGCAAATGATGCATATGTGATGCTCATATAACAAAATAAAAATAAATAATTAAATTAGTAGTAAAAAGTAGTGATTTTTCTCAATTTGGTTATGAAATGCTTTTTTATCCATGCCATTTTAAGTACTTTATTTTAAGTTTCTTTCTTTCTGCACTTCACCAAATTATTTGTTTAGTATTAGTTACACATTCGAAAACACAACTATTGCTTTTACTTGATCATTACTTAACTCAGACACTAAGTCTTTATCAAATTCAAAAATGTGTCTCTAACAGGGGCCAGGTCAAAATATCAACATACTTTATTCACAAAAGCAATTTACCAAAATATTAGATCCTTCCCTCTTTATTAAAACTTATGAACTTTCACATGAAATTATGTTGTTGTATTATGAAATTCAATGGAGTGTTTTTACTTTTAGATTATCAAATGATGTTGAAATATTGACCTGGATCCAATTTTGAAATACTTGTTATAGATTGCCTCATGAATTGGTTTCCTTCCCTTTCATAGTTGAAGCAGAAAGTTTTAGTGGAATCGAAGGTGCTTGGGTATCTAACCAGGTTTGTCCACAGAGGAACTTTACCATTCAACTCTTTATAACTGATAGTGACAAAACCAAAACTGAGTCCAGCATAACTGCTCGTGCAGATATACTCACATCTGGTGGTGAAGTCCTTGAATCAATTTCCCTGACTGGAAGAAAGGAACCCAGAGTTGCAGGTATTAACATACTTCTTGTTTCTCCACGGCCTTTGGACCTTGAGGAAGGAAGCACTTCACCATTAATCTTCTTCGGTGATGTTAATAACAGTACTGGAGTGTCCACTATCACTGTAATTGGATTTGAGGATTGCGAAAGAGGATTGGTCGAGTTCAGACATGCTGAAACAGTAACAGTTGGTAAGATTTATATGGAATGGAATAAAATTCTTTTGATGCATATGAATTTGAAGAGGGACGAATTGAATATAATTTAGACATAATATTATTTTTTTACACAATGAACTAATTATTTATTTTAAAACATTTCAGTTGAAACTGACATAACACCATTATGTTCCAACAATGGTACATGTATTAGAACTGGCGAGAAGCCTGAAGATTTCTACTGTTGCTGTCCACAAGGTAATGCATTGCTATACTATCTAATATTAGGAATCAAACTGGCAATATTTCTGTATTTTATATATTCTAGTGGATGGCACTATTCTCGAGATGACAACATTTACAAAAACATGTTATATCAATAGAACAAACATTTTTGAATATGATGATGCTAATTTAAATAATGAGTGTTATTATTCACTAGGTTGGGAAGGTGAAACTTGTGACAATGAGTCGGTCAGACTTATGTGTATCAAGAATGAATGCGCCAATAACTCAACCTGCATCGATGCAGACAATACTACAGATGGTTATATTTGTGAATGTCAAGAGGGATTCAGTGGACAATATTGTGAAAATAAAACTAGTACATCACTATGTGAACCTAATTTATGTGAAAACAATTCAACATGTCAGGAAAATGAGAATGATTTTGAATGCGAATGTAGTGAAGGATTCGATGGTAAATTATGTGAGCTTAGAATTTCACCTTGTGAATCAAGTCCATGTGTTGGAAAGGCAAAGTGTGTGGAAACAATTGACTCTATTGGTCACACATGTGTGTGCCCTAGTGACCATTATGGAAATGACTGCACATTCTGTAAACCCAAAGATGATTGCGAGGGACATTTTACATGCAATGTAGATAATGGTGAAAAAGTTTGTATTGAGAATTGGAATGGAGGAAACTGCAACGTATGGATTGGTGATCCATATACCTGCCTAGATCCAGTAAACATTTCACATGGTGAGATATCACTTTGGGGTCTATAGTTTATTAAATGCTATAATGTGCTGAATTCAAAACCATTTTATTATGATTTTGTAATGATTTCTCATACTGATGGTTCAAATATATTTTTGTTTAGATCTTGGAGGATTCTGGAATGGTAACATGGTTTGTGACAAGGATGGGACACTGAATTTTACATTAGAAGTCAATGTAACCTCTTCAATGGGTGTAACTGATGGAACATTTATGTTGCATTTTATCAATAGCTCTGACTTAGCAGAATATACGTTGAAGGGGACTTATTCACAGAATGATCGAAGTTTTACTTTAATGAACATTAAAGAAGTTAATACTGAGTTATTTCCATTAATCATCATCGGAATACTTGGTGACCTTCATCCAGATGGCCTTAGTATAAATGGAACATTACGAACTATACCTCAAGAAAAGTGTACATTAAGTGGAACTAGAAGGCTAGGTATACAACATTAAACTTTTTACCCAAATCAAAAACCATCTACAGAATTGAAGTCTCATTCATTTTTCATTGTAAGAAGCTCAGAAATCACTAATGATAAACAAACCCTTTATTCTAGATTTCAAGAAAGCATGTGTGAACAATTCAACTTGTGTGCGAACAGGGCCAAGCATTGATGAGTTCTACTGTTGTTGTCAACCAGGTAAAGTAAATAACAAAGTGCAGTGTATATATACGTAACATATTAGCTGGTAATGAAATAGAGCATAATAACATCTAAGAAAAATATAAAAAATTGTTTCTGCATTTGTTTTTTGCTAGCAAATAAAAAGTATGATCAAAATATAATGTTACAATCATTATACTATTGCAATACTTTGTTCAGTTTTTGAATGTTTTGATATTCATATGATATGATAAATGAATTAAGATTCCTTCTTACATAATTTTAGGATTTGAGGGAGACAGATGTAAAAGAGAAATAGATGAATGCACAAGTAATCCATGTCTGAACAATGGAAGTTGTAAAGATCTTGTTAATAGCTATGAATGTGAATGTTTGTTGGACTTCAGTGGCATCGATTGTGAGGTAAAAAACAGTGTTTTGATGGTTTTAAGTGTATGTTCAAAGCTTTTCTCCATTTTGTTCGAGTATCCATGACTAGACTATTTTAGTATTTTTGCCTGTTCGAGTAAATATATAAGCACTAGTGCCAAAGGGAAAGGACCAAAAGTTGTAATGGAACTTAGCAAGAAAAAGCAAACTCTAAGTGCATACCAGTCAAGAAAAACAAACCCCATACAGCCCAAAACCATGATCTAACGTGAAAAGAAACAATGTCTAATACCCCCTTTCCCCCCACCATTCAAGAATCAATATCACAATCCAAGACCAGAAGACCAAGGGACATTTCATTCATACTGAAGTCATTACAATACATGTTGAAGAAGAAATTAGAAATAGCCAATACTCACAACCTCAAAAACTGTTGTAGATACAAGTACTCATACAAGATAGAGCATTAGTCTCAAATGATGTGGGATAGATAAAATCCAGTCTCCAAGTCCATAGGCGTTTCAAAGGGTCAACATCCATTCACAAAAGCCGTCGCCATAATCCATAAAACACAATAATTCACAATGGTCATCAGGAGAAAACTATGGCTGGTTTCGATCCCTATTTCTCAACCATTAATGCCATAGCCAGGATCCACCTCAAAAGGTGCAAAATGAAAATATTGTGAGTTCATTGCCAATGTCTTAAGCAATTCCCACATCCTTCAGCATCTCAAGTGGTAAAACTTGAAACTTCGAAATTAATGATTTGTATTTTTCAGCAAAGCCCAGAAAGAATTTCTTAAGGTTTATAGAATTATAACCTTGACCTAACAGTTTGATCACTAAAGTATTGTGTCTTGACTTAAAATCTAAATATTTAGAGCATGCCCTGCCATATCTAATAAGCTGGGATACATAGACCCCATATGCTGGATTTAATGGAATATTACTGTCTAAATGGGGAAAATTCACAATATCAAAGTTGAAATCATCTCGTTTATCATACAACTTAATATATATACTGTTGTCTTGTTCAATGTTAATGAGAAGGTCAAGATAAGGCGCATTTTAAAGGCCTTCTTTTCTTGTCTGATTGATTGTAAATATGGTCTTGTGATTTTGGATTGTAAAAATGGAATCTGAGAATGGTGGGTGTTTTCAGACAGTTCTGTGATTATGGGTTTTGTCTTTAAATTACTTCTCATCTAAAACTTGTATATGATGAAAAATGGGAGAATGATAAAACTAGAATTATAAGATTAAAGAGTACCATTTGAGGTTTGAGTAGAACTTATTAAACAACCTAGAATAAGCATCCTCATTTAAACTAATGATTTGTTCTGGTGAATCTTTGAATGCTCCAACACCATTTTATTTCAGATACAAAAATTACCAGGCGAACAGAATACAACAGTTTGTGAGCCAAATAGTTGTAAAAATAATGCAAGTTGTGAGGAATCCAATGCAACATTGGATGGCTACATTTGTGAATGCCCAGATGGATTCAGTGGACAGTATTGTGAAAATGCAGACAACCAAACCTGTGATTTCAACCTTTGTGAAAATAATTCAACATGTGTGGAATCCAATACAACATCTGATGGCTACATTTGTGAATGCCTAGATGGATTTACTGGAGAATATTGTGAAAATGCAGATAATGAAACATGTGATTTCAACCTGTGTGAAAATAACTCAACATGCGAAGAGTCAAATACAACATCTGATGGCTACATTTGTGAATGCCCAGATAAATTCAGTGGACAGTATTGTGAAAATGCAGACAACCACACCTGTGTTTTCAACCTTTGTGAAAATAACTCAACTTGTGAGGAATCGAATGCAACGTCAGATGGCTACATTTGTGAATGCCCAGATGGATATAGTGGACAGTTTTGTGAAAATGCAGACAATGTAACCTGTGATTTCAACCTTTGTGAAAATAATTCAACATGTGTAGAAACCAATACAACATATGATCGCTACATTTGTAAATGCCAAAATGGATTCAGTGGGCAGTATTGTGAAAATGCAGACAATGTAACCTGTGATTTCAACCTTTGTGAAAATAATTCAACATGTGTACAAACCAATACAACATCTGATGGCTACATTTGTGAATGTTCAGATGGATTCAGTGGACAGTATTGTGAAAATGTAGACAACCAAACATGTGATTTCAACCTATGTGAAAATAACTCAACATGTGTGGTGTCCAATATAACATCTAATGGCTACATTTGTGAATGTTTAGATGGATTCAGTGGACAGTATTGTGAAAATGTAGACAACCAAACATGTGATTTCAACCTATGTGAAAATAACTCAACATGTGTGGTGTCCAATACAACATCTAATGGCTACATTTGTGAATGTTTAGATGGATTCAGTGGACAGTATTGTGAAAATGTAGACAACCAAACATGTGATTTCAACCTATGTGAAAATAACTCAACATGTGTGGTGTCCAATACAACATCTAATGGCTACATTTGTGAATGCCCAGATGGATTTATTGGACAATATTGTGAAAATGCAGACAACCAAACCTGTGATTTCAACCTTTGTGAAAATAACTCAACATGTGTGGAGTCCAATACAACATCTGATGGCTACATTTGTGAATGCCTGGATGGATATCATGGAACATATTGTGAAACTGTAACTGGTTCATCACCCTGTGAATCAAATCCATGTGATGATATGGCAACATGTATGGAAGCAAATGACTCACTTGGTTACACATGTTTATGTCCTTCCGACCATTATGGAGATGAATGTACATACTGTAAACCCAAAGATGATTGTGAGGGACATTTTACATGTGACGTGGACAGTGGCGAGAAACTTTGTATTGAGAATTGGAATGGAGTAGACTGTAATATATGGATTGGTGATCCATATACATGTGTCGATCCAGTAGGAAACATTCCATTTGGTAAGTCATTGTTCATTTGTTAAGTCATTTGATAAATGTATGCCCTCAAGGAGCACCTTTGTATTCTGTAACTTTTTATTGTTCAAAATTTCTCCATCTGCTTGAGTGGTCATCAAACTTATTAATGATTCATCAACTATACTATAATATCTATCATGTTTTGTCACCATTGAATTCATATACATATCCTAATTTGAATTATTTACCATTGCAAAACAGATATTATGTTCCTATCATATTCAGTTTTAAATCAATGAACATGTAAATTTGACAATACTTAAACTAAGAATTGTTTTTCTGTAATTTCAGCTTATACTTTGTGTTCTATAATGTTTGTAATTTAACAGTTGATGTAAAATGTAATGCATGGAACTGGGTAACATGTTAGTCAATTGAATTCCAGAACAGGGGAAAGGATATGGTCCACTTGTGAAATATTTTCACGTTCTCCAAATTTTGAAATGTTGCTGTTTTTGTCATAAACTCTAAAATATTTAGGATTAACTTGAAATGGAAGCTAAATTATTATCACTGTCACTCCCACCACTGAACCTGGAATAAATTGACTGTATCAAAGCATTACTAAAAATGTGTATTTCTAACTATGCCTGCTGGTCATGGTTTGCTTTAATAATTCAAATAATTCTTCTAGGATAAAGTAAAAAATTAATATTATATTTCAACTTAATTAAATGGTTAAAAACATATTAATATATCTAGCACTTACATGTACTTAAAACTTTACATTTTTGGAATCATATACTTTATATTTAGATCTTAGAGGATTCTGGGATGGCAATGTGTTATGTGACTCATACCTACCATTTAAGTACACATTGGAGGTAAATGTGACCTCAGTAGTTGACAAACCAGAAGGAACATTTCAGATGAAATTCATAAATGACACTGACTTGGCAGAATATACAATTAGGGGGACATATTCTCAAGTAGACAGGAGTTTTGCTCTAATGGTTACTGGAGGAATTGACACCGAGAAGATCCTATTCTACACAGTTGGAATAACTGGTAATCTTCTTCAAGATGACTGCAGTATAAATGGGGCTTTTTATACAAGTACCATAGGCAAATGCAAATTAAATGGAACAAGAAGACTAGGTACAGTAAAGTTTCATACCTTTTGATGTTTTCATCTCATCAATCAAACTACTAGAATTGGAATTTTTCATTAGTTTTAAAGAACCTATAAGCACCCTTGGGTCCTTTACCTCATTTAATCCTAGCCTTCTGGAGCATGGCCATTAGTTGAACGTGTGTTTCTAATAATAAATTATACGGTTTTGTTTTAGAGACAGTAGTGGCCTGTCAGAACAATGCAACATGTGTAAGAACTGGGCAGAATATTGATGACTTCTACTGTTGCTGTCAAGAAGGTATGATACATAATATGTTTTTAACCATTTCAATTTAATACACCCATGGTCCTGTGCTCACACAGTATAGAATCTTCAAAGGAATGTATTAATCCTGATTTTTAAACAAAATTATTGTATTTGATTTGAAGTCTCGAACTTTGAGAAACTTAGATAGCCCCGTTTGTGACCTAGTTTGAGGACCTTTGACCTTGAACATTTTACTTATTCAGAGCTCAGTAGTTCTTTTGTGATTAAGGTGACCAAAATTTACATCCAAATAATTAATTTGAAAAATCAACTGTTTGACCTTTCGAAGGTGACTGAAGGTCAAATCTCAAAACTAAGGTCAGATTTAACTCCTGGCAACTTGTAGACGATCTTTTTGACGTCAAATATCCCAAAAACAGTAAAAATTTGATGCTGACATATATTGAGAAATATGTAGGGAATGCTTAAATCTAGTAATGATGTAATTCATTGCAAGTAATTAACAAGTATGAGAAAGTTCCCTGAAAATGACAAAGTCCTACTTTTTGTCAAATTTTATGGAGTAAACACCAAAAACTGTAATTTTAAGAGCTTTGAAATCTTCAGAGAACATAAGTTGCATATACAGCAACTACTACAAGTTATTTGAAAGTTCTACTTCAACAAAGTGTCTAGTATTTACAGAAAATTTGACTTTTTGCTCTGAAAATGACAAAGTCCTACTTTTTTATGCATAAAATGAATGTGGATATGACAAAATCCGAATAGCAGTTTTAATTTCTGCGGCCAATGTTGACGGACGGATGGACCAACGGATGTCTTGTTTATATGCTGTTCATGTCACCATCATTCAGTCCAGCTTGAAAATCTGTTTGTAGTTGCTGTTGTTTCCTTTTTACTTCTTCTGTCTTCTTAGTTTCTTGTTCTTTGTTTCTGTTGTTGTTACTTTCTTGTCTTCTTTAGTTTCTTCTTTCTTGGTCTTCTTTCTCCCTATTACTTTTCCTCTTTGTCTTGTTTGGTGTCGGGTCTGATGACTTGTGACTACACGTCGGTGGATTAAAGCTTTTTCTACCGGTAACACTCCCCTTCCCCTTTGTCTTTATCGATGTTTGTTTTTTGTTGATGTTTTTCTTCTATAGTTTACCCTCATTTCGGAGACTGATATCTAGATTCTGTTTGTTCTTGTTGTTTTTCCTTATTTCCTTATTTGTCTTAGAATTCTGACCATATCTTTAATATTTGACTTTTTGGCTTTTTGTATTTTATCTGTATCCATTTATTTTTAGTAATTGTCTTTTTGATATATGCTGACAGTGTTTCTTTCTTATATCCTTGCGATATTAATTTTTTCCCCAAGGACTTGATTCTTTTGGAAGCAATTTTTTCATCACTGCAGACTCTTGATATTCTTATTATCTGTGACACATAGACTCCATATGACTGTTTTCTTGGAATCTTTCCTGAAAGGTCTGGATAGGAAACTATGTTGAAATTAAAATTCTCTCTCTTATCATATATTTGTGTAGTAATTTTCTTGTGTTCTATTTTAAGTTTCATGTCGAGAAATGTTGCTTCATTGTTGTTTGCATTTTCTTTGTTCAGTTTGAGTTCAGGAGGGTATATATTTTCCTTGTCATTTTCTAATTTTTCATCATTATTGATACTGCAAAGGACGGACGGACCAACAGACGGACGGATGCCTGGTCAATCCCATAGGCTCACTGTGTGAGCCAAAAATACACAAGGGGCGTAGCCTACTTTCAGTCAGGAGGGTACGATCGCCAATTCTTTTCAGTCAGGGGGGTATGATCGTGGCATAAAGAAGACAAAACATTATGTTTTTAAGATTTCTTTTGATTTTACAAAAATTGATGCAACTTCCTTCAAAATTGAGCTAGGAGCTTCAAATAAAAAAAATGCATTTTAAAGCTATTTTCTTCTATCTAATGGTTCTATGTTTATTGGTTATAGGGGGGTGTGTGGTCCCACCCATCGCATGTTGTCATTTGAACTCTACTAACTGAATCCTAATGGAATCTGGTACAGGTTTCTCAGATCACCTGTGCTGAGTTACATGTATAGAGAACAACTGTTCGGTTGAGATTATCGTTTCCAACATAATATCAGTAATCTTTGAATATATTGTTATATTTGTTTCATGTTACCATGGTAACATCACTGAGTTATCATGTATTATGGAATGGAACTCTGCTCTACTCCAGTTGGGGAATATTTCATACATCAAGAAATTTAGTGACTTTCTTTTTCTTTTTCTTTTTTCAGTGATATCTAATAGTATTTAGCATACTATCTAACTAAATCTAGCTTGAACAAGACAACTACTGACATCCTTTAAGTCATAAGATAAGAGATCTTGTAGATCAGTTGTCATATGGATGACTTAAAAGATGTCAGTACCGAGAGGTTTTGGATACAGGGTTCATCCCAAGGGAGATATACATATTTCGAACAGAATAAACCCTATATCCAAAACTGACCATCACATATAACAGGTGTATTTCATACCTATTGAGATTTTACATACATTCTTCCATATTAAAGTCCAAAATTCAAAAACATACTTAAGGCAAGCATTTTCTCAGTCTTGAAAAATATTAAGTTTGTGAGAAATTCACACTCCTGCTGGAGCAGATCAACGAATTGATATCAAAATTTAAAATATACAACATAAGTTTGAAATGTTTCTTTATTGAGTTTGATTTTCAGACTGAGATGAATATGGCCTGTATCCATCCAGTCCTTGACCTTGTTGATTGATCCCTAGATACACTAAATTTCTGTCCATTATGTACCGAGAACCTCAGTATGTATGGAATATAAGAAGCTATACAATGATTGCAAGATATTCAAAAATTAGGGGGCTGCATAAATTCTGGGTCACTCTGTACAGCAATAAATGTAAATCTTTGTTTACTGGTAATCATAACTTTCTTGGAATCAGGGATGCTCTATTTTTTTATCAGGATTTATGGGAGACCGATGTCAAACAGAAATTGATGAATGTGCAAGTGGTCCTTGTCAGAATAATGGAACCTGTAAAGATCTATTGAAAAGTTATGAATGTGATTGTTTGAATGGATTCATTGGAGTAAATTGCCAAGTAAGAATGACTAAAAATAAAAAATATTAGATAATTGTTGATACATTGTTGTCTTTGTGTCAGCAATGATGCTATTTCAGCCTTTTCATTAAACTATAATGGAAAGTATAGTAAGAGTAAAATAACAGAAAATAATGCATTATAATTATGATAAATTCATAAGCATTAATGACTAATAATTTATTATACTTTATGTCCAAAAGTCTTTTGTCTCATTTCACAAAATCAAGAATTTGAAAACCATTTACTTTTTTCTAGTTACAAGTCAATGAATCTCAAGCTGTATGTGACTTAAACAACTGTCAGAATAATTCAACTTGTGTGGAATCCAACAGTGCACTTGAAGGCTACATTTGTGAATGCCCAGATGGATTTAGTGGACAGTATTGTGAAAATGCAGACAACCAAACCTGTGATTTCAACTTGTGTGATAATAACTCAACATGTGTGGAATCCAATACAACGTATGATGGCTATATTTGTGAATGTTTAGATGGATTCAGTGGACAGTATTGTGAAAATGCAGACAACCAAACCTGTGATTTCAACATTTGTGAAAATAACTCAACATGTGTGGAGTCCAATACAACATCTGATGGCTACATTTGTGAATGCCCAGATGGATTCAGTGGACAGTATTGTGAAAATGCAGACAACCAAACCTGTGATTTCAACATTTGTGACAATAACTCAACATGTGTAGAAACCAATACATCAGATGGCTACATTTGTGAATGCCCAGATGGATTCAGTGGACAGTATTGTGAAAATGCAGACAATGTAACCTGTGATTTCAACCTTTGTGAAAATAACTCAACATGTGTGGAGTCCAATACAACATCTGATGGCTACATTTGTGAATGCCCAGATGGATTCAGTGGACAGTATTGTGAAAATGCAGACAACCAAACCTGTGATTTCAACATTTGTGAAAATAACTCAACATGTGTAGAGACCAATACATCTGATGGCTACATTTGTGAATGCCCAGATGGATTCAGTGGACAGTATTGTGAAAATGCAGACAATGTAACCTGTGATTTCAACCTTTGTGAAAATAACTCAACATGTGTGGAGTCCAATACAACATCTGATGACTACATTTGTGAATGCCCAGATGGATTTAGTGGACAGTATTGTGAAAATGCAGACAACCAAACCTGTGATTTCAACTTTTGTGAAAATAACTCAACATGTGTGGAATCCAATACAACATCTGATGGCTACATTTGTGAATGCCCAGATGGATTCAGTGGACAATATTGTGAAAATGCAGACAACCAAACATGTGATTTCAACCTTTGTGAAAATAACTCAACATGTGTGGAATCCAATACAACATCTGATGGCTACATTTGTGAATGCCCAGATGGATTCAGTGGACAGTATTGTGAAAATGCAGACAATGTAACCTGTGATTTCAACCTCTGTGAAAATAACTCAACATGTGTGGAATCCAATACAACATCTGATGGCTACATTTGTGAATGCCAAGATGGATTCAGTGGGCAGTATTGTGAAAATGCAGACAATGTAACCTGTGATTTCAACCTATGTGAAAATAACTCAACATGTGTGGAATCCAATACAACATCTGATGGCTACATTTGTGAATGCCTAGATGGATTTAGTGGACATTATTGTGAAAATGCAGACAATGTAACCTGTGATTTCAACCTATGTGAAAATAACTCAACATGTGTGGAATCCAATACAACATCTGATGGCTACATTTGTGAATGCCCAGATGGATTCAGTGGACAGTATTGTGAAAATGCAGACAATGTAACCTGTGATTTCAACCTTTGTGAAAATAACTCAACATGTGTGGAATCCAATACAACATCTGATGGCTACATTTGTGAATGCCCAGATGGATTCAGTGGACAGTATTGTGAAAATGCAGACAATGTAACCTGTGATTTCAACCTTTGTGAAAATAACTCAACATGTGTAGAGACCAAGACATCTGATGGCTACATTTGTGAATGCTCAGATGGATTTAGTGGACAGTATTGTGAAAATGCAGACAACCAAACCTGTGATTTCAACATTTGTGAAAATAACTCAACATGTGTGGAGTCCAATACAACATCTGATGGCTACATTTGTGAATGCCCAGATGGATTTAGTGGACAATATTGTGAAAATGCAGACAACCAAACATGTGATTTCAACCTTTGTGACAATAACTCAACATGTGTGGAGTCCAATACAACATCTGATGGCTACATTTGTGAATGTTTAGATGGATTCAGTGGACAGTATTGTGAAAATGCAGACAACCAAACCTGTGATTTCAACCTTTGTGACAATAACTCAACATGTGTGGAGTCCAATACAACATCTGATGGCTACATTTGTGAATGTTTAGATGGATTTAGTGGACAGTATTGTGAAAATGCAGACAATCAAACCTGTGATTTCAACCTGTGTGAAAATAACTCAACATGTGTGGAATCCAATACAACATCTGATGGCTACATTTGTGAATGTGCAGATGGATTTAGTGGACAATATTGTGAAAATGCAGACAACCAAACCTGTGATTTCAACATTTGTGAAAATAACTCAACATGTGTAGAGACCAATACATCTGATGGCTACATTTGTGAATGCCCAGATGGATTCAGTGGACAGTATTGTGAAAATGCAGACAATGTAACCTGTGATTTCAACCTTTGTGACAATAACTCAACATGTGTGGAGTCCAATACAACATCTGATGGCTACATTTGTGAATGCCCAGATGGATTCAGTGGACAGTATTGTGAAAATGCAGACAACCAAACCTGTGATTTCAACCTGTGTGAAAATAACTCAACATGTGTTGAAAATAACACAATATTTGATGGCTACATTTGTGAATGTGAGGATGGTTTTTTTGGACAATATTGTAACAAGACAGACAACGAAACATTAGCATGTGAATTTAACATGTGTGAAAACAACTCCACATGTGTGGAATCAAATGCTACATCTGATGGATACATCTGTGAATGTCTCAAAGACTTTAGTGGACCATACTGTAACATGGCATTAGTTTGTGATCCTAATCCTTGTGTTGATAATGCTGTGTGTGTTGTGGATAATGATTCCATCACAGGATACAATTGCAGCTGTTTAGAAAATCATTATGGTGAAGCTTGCAACTTCTGTTTAGAAAGTGATGACTGCACTGGTCACTATACTTGTAATTTTTCCGATGGAAGTAAGATATGCATGAGCAACTGGAATGGAACAGATTGTAACATTTGGACTGGGCAGGCATACACGTGTCTTCATTTTACAGGCTCTACAAAGACAGATGGTGGGTTTAAATTAAGTCATTTGTCAACTGAATTATTTGGACCAAACATTTCTCAAACATTATAAAGGCCATATTCAGATAGTCATATATTGTTTAGTTTAATATCTTCTATATTGCAGTACTAGAAATGACTATCTGAAGTTGACTGCACTTATAACAATTGCCATTTGTTAAATTGTTGCTATACATATGTATCTTCAGATGTCAGAGGACTTTGGGATGGTACAATTACATGCCCATCTGGGGGTCCATTTGTTTTCACATTGGGTCTTCTTAGTCCAAGAGCTACCAGGGTAGAAGGGTATTTCCAGTTGATGTATTTAAATGGAACAAACATTACATCTTTTGGAGTGAATGGAACATATTCACTATCCAGGATGTCATTTACTTTAATTCCCGTATATGGTTCTTCAATAATATTGCCTATTAATGGTATCATTGGCCAAATAGATGATGATGCAGACAATATGAGTGCTGAAATATATTCAAGGGGATCCAGATGCAAACTTGATGGTTCTAGAAGAACAGGTTAAAACATATTTTATAATGACCTCTACTTGGTATCATAATTTCCCATATAAGTTTTTGTTGCATACTTCGATGCTCTGTAGAAAAATATCTATCAGAATTTGGCTTGTGAAATTTGTGGCACTTGACTTTCTTTATTTAGAGATTTCAATAATATTGACTAAGTATGAGTTGTTTGAAAACATTTAAAGTATACCACATTTCCCTAAAATAATCTATTTCCACAGCTTAAAACAGCACATCAACATTTTACATAAAAACTTTATAACCATGTAAAATGCATGATTTGTTTATCTATATTGTATAGTGAAATAAAGTGACTCACACGTTTTTATTTACCATTATTGTTGAACATTTCAGCATTTATTGATGCATGCCAGAATAATGCTTCATGTGTTAGAACTGGGGAAAATATTGATGACTTCTACTGCTGCTGTGAGCCAGGTAATGTTTACTATGTAGTTTAATAGTTTAAGACTTTTCTGTAAAGTAATCTTGTGAAATATGAGTGGAGGGATCTTAATCAATGCATCTTTACTAAAAAGAAATCTGCTTCATAAGATAATTAAAACATCTGCTTTATAATCTCTGTTCAAGAGACAATTTCCCAAATTGTTCTTGCCAAAAAGATATATTACTGGCACTTGGTTATTTCAATTATAAAATGTTCAAAGTGAGGAGTTATTTAATAAAATATGTTTTGTTTGGTTGGATTCGCTACACCGTGGAGTTGCTGTTTTTCTTGTCCTTTTGATGTATTGAAAATTTACAAAAGGTAATATATTGCGGTCTTATTGAAAGCAATATTTATGATATGTTAATATTATAACCTGAGATTTATGTATTGTCAGGGATGAGCAAGGAAATGATCCTAGATTACAATGTGACCTCAAATCATTGCATTTGTAGGATTTAAAGGGGAGAGATGCCAAATAGAAATTAATGAATGTGACAGTATGCCCTGTCAGAATGGTGGCAATTGTACTGACTTGATCAACTCCTACCAGTGTGAATGCCTACCTGGTTTTAAAGGGGTTAACTGTGAGGCAAGCTATTTCATTATAAGTACACAATATACTGTACGGTAAATTGTCATAAACTATTAAAAACTATTTATAAAAAGGCAGGGAGTAGGAAAGTGTGTGACAGCAAATAACTAGATGGAATGTTGATTAACTTATTTTTAATGCTAGACGCATTTCTCATTTCAGGTAAGCTCTCCATGTTGGAGTAGTCCATGTGAAAACAATGGGACATGTAAAGTTAACAGTACTGCTAATAATGGATTCAAATGCACTTGTTTGAACGGGTTTTCTGGAGAAACCTGTGAATTTGAGCCATGTGATAGTAATATATGTGAAAATAATTCAACATGTAAAACAGACATGACAGCTGATGATGGGTATATTTGCTTGTGTCTTGAAAGCTTCAATGGGACTTACTGTGAGATTGCACCACCTCAATGTTTATCAAACCCTTGTTCTAATATGGCAACATGTTTTGAGAGAAATACTTTGAAAGGATATGAGTGTATATGTCCTGTGGACCACTATGGGGAATTATGCACATTCTGCCTCCCCACAGATGACTGCACTGGTCATTATACTTGTGATGTCAGAAATGGATTGAAACTTTGTCTTGAGAACTGGAATGGTTCTGAATGCAACCAATGGACTGGAGAACAGTATGAATGCCTTGAAATCACACCAATTTATACTGGTATTTATCAATTAAACATTTTTGTTATAATTTTTCTAAAAAGATAATTAAAAATAATTATTTTGAAAATTAACCTAAAATTATTAACATTATTAATTATCCCACTGAACAAAGTTTGTAGGGATACAGAGAAACCATCCATCAATCCATTCATTAGTGTTTCCAAGGAATAACTCAAAATACCAGCTGATTGATTTGGTTCAGAATTTATACATTTATGGGTGTAGAACTTCGGCTTGAGAAGGAATTTTCAATATGGCAGCTCAATTCAAAATGGCCACCATTTTTGTGTAAAAAATTTAATCAGTTAATGAATTTGCAATGCTGATGCCAAGGGACAAAATAACTATGCTCAAGAAGATATTTTAAAGATGAATTTCAGAATAGCCGCCATTTATCGTGAAAAATGTAACTTTGATAAATAAATACATCTATGGTGCAAATTATGGAATTTGGTCCAAATTTTAGAGACTAATATCTTCTTGGCAAATGAATCTATTTCATAAAAACCTTTTGTTATAAAATGTAGTCTTTGGTAACTGAAATATCATTTGGTCCAAATTTTATACAATGATGCTTTATAGTCATAAGATCTCTGCTCCACAAAGAATTTAATATATGGCATCATGTAACATCAGGGGTGTAGATTTTACCAAAAGAGACAATATTATTCTACTATTTCCTGGTTACTATCATGTCCAAATGATGAGGTATTTAATTAAATATGTTTTGTTTGGTGGGAATCACCACTCAGTAGAGTTGCATTGTGTATTTATACTAAACTTTTCTTAATTATTATGATTTATATGATTTTGAAATTTTCAGATTCTACATTTATACACACTGTAGATATGTAGTTACAGATTTTGCATGAATTCACATTTAGAATTAGAATGCTTGTAGTTGAATGCACACCTACATAGATAAAATAGCAAACTGTTCATCACATCACTTAATGAGTTCTCCATACCAATGTTTTGTTATTATTAATATTTATTCGAAGCAAAAATTAATAAAATTATTCAAAGCAATATAAATACATGTAGCGCTGCCTAGCACTATGTTGTTATATATATTGTTTTATCATATAAGACTATATATGTATGGTAAGGTTGATCTATGCTATCGGGAATTGAATTTGAGTTTATAAAGTACAATTAAATGCATCATTTCATCATATGAAGATCCTCAACATAGAATCTAAAACAAAAATATGAAACTAATATAATGACCTATCTCTGCAATTATTGCTAAACACAGTTCATGTGATTATCTAATACTATGATTTATAAAATATTGATCATGTAAGACTTTGCAAGACAATGTAACATTTTTGTGTGTTTAATGTGTTCAACAACTTATAATATGTCCAAAAACACATTCATTTTAGATCTGAAAGGATTATGGGATGGCACTATAGAATGCAGTGGTGAACCAGCATTTATATTCACACTCATTGTAAATGTTACATCAGAAACCAGCAACCCTGAGGGTACATTTGAGCTAAACTACCACAATGGCACAGATTTAAAAGACTACACAGTCAGTGGAACATATTCCCAAACAGCTAAAGAATTCACACTTATCACTTCAAGCAACACACCCGATGACTTGGTATCAGCTATAGGAATATTTGGAGAAGTATTGAATAGTGGTAACAACATGACTGGAAATTTTGTTACTCTTGCTGTTGGAACATGTTCCCTTAATGGACACAGGAGAAGAGGTAAGGCCTGATCCCACCCAACAAAACATGTTTTGAGAAATAGTGGCCATATAAAAATTTAAACCAAATCCATTCACTGGTATTTGAGTTATCAAAGATTACGTTTTTTTATGAAACATGGTGGCCATTTTGAAATTCAGCTGCCACCTTTAAAATTTTTTCTTGAGCAGAGCTCCTATGTCCCTAGGTATCAGCATATCAAATGTGATCCAAATTCGTCAACTGGTACTTGAGTTATCAAATATTACAATATTTTTTATGAAAAATGGCAGAGATTTCGATAAATTGCGGGCATCTTGAAAAAAAATTCCCGAGCCCTTAATCTCTAGGTATCAGTATATAAAATTTGAACTAAATATGTCCACTGGTATTTGAGTTATCAACGATTTTTTAATGAAAAATGGCGGCCATTTTGAAATTCAGCTGACACCTTTGAAATTTCTTCTGAACAGATCTCTTTCTTCCACGGACATCAGCATATAAAATTGGAACCAAATCCATCCACTGGTATTTGAGTATCAACGATTACGCTTTTACAAAAAATGGGCGCCATTTCAAAGTTCAGCATTCTTTTGAAAATGTCTTCTTGAGCAAGGCTCCTTTGTCCCTAGGCAACAGCATATAAAATTTGAACCAAATCTGTCGACTATTATCTGAGTTATCAAAAATTACGTTCTTTTATGAAAAATGATGGCCATTTTGAAATTTAACTGCCATCTTAAAAATCCCTTCTCGAGCAAAGCTCCTATGTCCCTAGTCATCAGTGTGTAAAATTTGAACCAAATCCATTCACTGGTATTTGAGTTATCAAAGATTACAGGTTTTTACAAAAAATGGCCGCCATTTTAAAATTTAGTGGCCATCTTGAAAATTCCTTCTTGAGCAGAGGTCCTACACCCATGAAACATAAGCCTATAAAACCAGTATTTGAGTAATTGCCCGGACAGACGAATGGACGGAAGGATAGATGGACGGACAGACGAAGGGAGGGATGGATGGACAGACGAACGGATGGACGGACGGCTTTCCTATATACTTCGTTCGCTTGGATAATAATAGGAACTTACTTATTTTGATAGTTATTAATATTTTGTGCATTTCTGTGAACCAGCATTTACCTTCTATTTGGCTATAGGAATTATTAGTATGATAGTTTATTTTATAGGCTCAACACCAAAAACTGTATTTACTCTTTTTTAGAATCTGTAAATGCATGTAAAAATAATGCCACATGTGTGAAAAATGGAACTGAGGATGAGGACTTCTATTGCTGTTGCTCTCCAGGTGAGGAAGCATATAAGGGTAACAATGATATTGGATAAACTCACAAGGCCAACAAAAACATCCTCATCTAAAACAATGTTTACCATTGTTTTGGTAAGCAAGTAAAATAAAATTCTGTACTAACCAGTGTACTAATAATAAAAAGCATTGATTGTATGTCCTTCTTTCTTAGGTTTTGAAGGGTTAAGATGTGACCAAGAGGTAACTTACACAACAACAGCTGAAGCTACGACAACTGAATTAACTACGGTTAGTGCCACAGCATTGGTAATGCCAAAATGTCACCACCTGCAAATGGTTTGAAATGTGTAAAAATTTGGATCTGAATAATCAATTTGAAAAATCAACTTGTTTGACCTTTCAAATGTCACTGAAGGTCAACCAAAGGTCAAATCTCAAATCTAGAGTCAGATTTCAACCTCTAAGAACTCCAGGATAATTTTGAAAAAGTTGTAAAAGGAAGTTGAAAAATACCTTTTTGACTTTTTTTTTACCTTGAGAAAGTCATTGAAGGTCAAATTTCAAGTCAAATTTGAACTTCTAGATGATTTTGAAAAAAATAATTTGGTCAATTTGAAGTAAGTTGAAAAAGCCCTTTTTTGACCTAAAGAAGGCCACTGAAGGTCAAATCTCAAATCTAAAGTCAGATTTGAACTTCTGAGAGCTTGTAGATGATTTTGAGATGGTCAATTTGATGCACATTGAAAAAGACCCTTTTTGACCTTAGGAAACAGTACTTGTTAACTAATTGGAAGTTGTAGGATTTTGATATAGCGGAATCAATTGGTGAATGATCTTGCGTTTTCATACTAAAGTTTGTTTTTGAGTTTTTTCTTATAGCTTTATGTATTTAAAGATATTTAAGAGACAGGGCCCTTTTTCTAAAGCCCTTTTTAGAAAAATAATTGAGATTACACAGGATACCTGTTATTTCTGCTTTTTAACACAATTTTAATAGAAAATTCAAATTCCAAACTCCTTATCTCACTATAATTCACCATGGAGAATGGGAATTGAGGAACCAAACTTGGCACAAAGTTAGATCCTATGATAAACTCTACTCTTAGGGGTTTGATTTTTTGTGATATCATATATTTGCCTAGCAACCTTATAGCAACCTCCTTAAATAACATATTTTACAATATAAATCCACTTAATATATGCTAGAATGCTATGAGACCATTACAAAACAGTATTCTTATCCTAAAATACAACAATTTTAACATATTTACAGAAGTGATATCACCATGTTACATAGCAACAACATGGCAACAGGTTACAATGCCCATTTTGACATTTGCAGACCATATAATATTATATGTTCACTGCTTTTGGATCTCTTCCACATTATTTCTTCACATATAGTAAATGTATTGATGCAGTTATGTCTGACCATTTTCCCTAGCAACGGCTTGAAATAAAGGTTAAATTTGCCTAGCAACGACCTAGCAACATCTTAAAATAGCAATGTTTCTCGTAAGAATTTCACTATATATCGACTATATGTACTTGAAGAAAATCAATATATTTGTCTTTTGTAATTTATAAAGCTTTATAGTTGCTCAATTAAAAATCTTTAGCCTCTTGTGTAAAGCATGATGGGACATTTCTTGTCTTATGTATATCAAATTGCAATTCATGTTTCAGTTCTGAGATTAAGTAAACACGAAATATTCATCACATTGATACTTGATACTTGATATAGGCTGGGTGAAGGACAAACTGGATCCACTATATACCACTGCCCCCATGTGCTTCTTGTCAAAAGGGCACCTGTAAGATCATTACATAAGTTCCATTGCTTGAAAACTGTCACCTTGCTATGATGGTAAAATCCAGATGTGGTATCAGTTCCAGTAAGGGCGTGGAACATTGCCAGCGTAGTGCTCAAGCAAATTCATAAATTGGAATGTAGTGTTAGTTTTGCCGTTTGAAAATGCTACATAGCTCTCAATCTGTAGCTCAGAGGCACAGGCTATCACAACATTACTGTCCACCGATCTTACCATAAATGTCCTGCAACCTTTTCCGACACCATGAGACACATCCAAAAACATATGAGTATCTGCCTCTTCCTGGTAGCAGGGACTCTTATGGCATAGGATTACTGATGCACTCTCCTTCAATGGTTGAGTCAAAGATTCTATCATCTGCCATATGTCTTGTAACAGTTGCTAGTAGTGCAAAGAACTCTATCTTGTTGTCATTGTTTCTGAGAAATCCTATCCTAACACCAAACTACCAAGCAATTGGCAAGACTTTCTTGAAAGATAGAGCTCTTTGCACAATTCCTACATCCTTCAGTATCTCAAGTGGTAAAACTTGAAACTTTGAAATTAATGACTTGTATGTTTCAGCAAAGCCCAGATAGGATTTTAAGCTTTTAACAAGTATAACCTTGACCTAACGATTTAATCAGTAAAATATGGTGTCTTGATTTAAAATCTATATACTAGTATTTTGAACACACCCTGCTGGGATACCCCATATGCTGGGTTCAGTGGAATATTACTATCCAAATGTGGAAAATTAACAATGTCATGAGGCAGATACATATGATGTTTTTGCATGTGTCTCATGGTCTCGGAAAAGGTTGCAGGACATTTATGATAAGATCAGTAGACAGTAATGTTCTTGTGATAGCCTTAGCCTGTGCCTCTGAGCTACAGATTGAGCATGTGTGCTGCCAATATTCCACACCCATACTGGAACTGATACCACATCTGGACTTTACCATCATAGCAAGGTGACAGTTTTCAAGCAATGGAACTTATGTAATGATCCAACAGGTGTCCTTTTGACTCTAGCAGATCGCCCATCAACTGTAACAACAGAAGTTATGGGCACAATTGAGAGGTTCATTATCCTGGTTTACCAGCCTACAAACAGTGAGACAAATCTCAATACCATGTGTAGGCACATGTTCACTCATGACAGATTGATCCCGATAGAGTACCTCCAACATGCGATGCAGCACTCTTATCATGTCATGCAAGCAGCTCTCCATGGAGCACATGTATGGGGGCAATGGTATATAGTGGATCCAGTTCTTCCTTCACCAAACCTGGGGATGGTTTGGGAGCGTATCAGGATTGTGCGTACCCAGATGGACAATACTGTCGCAAGCATCCAAGGCATGTAAAGTCATAATTAAATGTGGATGCACCAAATGTGACTGCAAAGGGAACTGCAAATGCCATGGTGCATTCTACTGCACCAAAACTATGCAACTGCAAAGGAAATTGTAGCAATTAACCCAAATAAAGTATATTATCTTAGGGGTATCAATGCTGAAAATGTAACAAGGATAAATATGATGAATATTTTGTGTTTACTTTATCTCAGAACTGAAACATGAATTGCAGGACTTTTGCAATTTGATAAAGTGTGCAGAAACAAAGCTTTATAAATTAAAAGACATACATATTAATTTTTTTCAAGTAAAAAATAGTGGATATATAGTGAGATTTTAATGACATTGCTATTTTAAGCTGTTGCTAGGTCATTGCTAGGCAAATTTAACCATTATTTCAAGCCATTGCTAGGAAGTTGCTAGGGAAAATAGTCAGGCATAACTGCATCATTTATGCTTAAATACAATTTCTGTATGTTAAGAAATAATGTGGAAGGGATCCAAAAGCATACAAGTGAGTATATAATAGAATATGGTGTGCAAATGTCAAAATGGGCATTGTAACCTGTTGCCATGTTGTTGCTATGCAACATGGTGATGTCACTTCTGTAAATATGTTTGAATTGTTGTATTTTAGGAAGAGAAGACTTTTTGTAATTGTCTTATAGCATCCTAGCATTTATTAAGTGGATTTATATTGTAAAATATGTTATTTTAGATGGTTGCTATGTGGTTGCTAGGCAAATATATGATTTCACAAAAGATCAAACCCCTCAGATTAGAGCTTATCTTAGGGTCCAACTTTGTGCCAAGTTTGGTTGCTCAACTTCAATTCTCCATTGGTGAATTATAGTGAGATAAGGAGTTTGAAATTTGAATTTTCTGTTAACATTGTGTTAAAAAGCAGTAATAATGGGTATCCTCTGTAATCTCAATTATTTTTCTAAAAAGGGCTTTAGAAAAAGGGCCCTGTCTCTAAAATGTCTTGAAATACATAGAACAATAAGAAAAAACTCCAAAACGAACTTTAGTATGAAAACGCAAGGTCCCTATGGGGGCCTTGCACCAATTGATTCCACTAATACAGATGCCAACCATTAACCAAGAATTTGTTACAGATGTCAACTGGCAGATGCTGAACACCGTCCACAAAAAAGTTGGATACTATAACAATATGTCACCACTTCTGGTGGTGACATAAAGATGAAAACACAATAAAAAATTAATATTACAATACATCATGGACCACTCTATAAATGTCATAGACTTAAAACCAAGGAAGTAGGAAAGTATGTGACAGCAAATAAATAAATAAATAGAATGTTGATTTAATTTTCAATGGTATTCAGACACATTTCTCATTTCAGGTAAGCTCTCCATGTTGGAGTAGTCCATGTGAAAACAATGGGACATGTGCAGAAAACAGTTCTGCTAGAAATGGATTCAAATGCACTTGTTTGAACGGGTTTTCTGGAGAAACATGTGAATTTGAGCCATGTGATAGTAATATATGTGAAAATAATTCAACATGTGAAACAGACATAGCAGCTGATGATGGTTATACTTGTTCGTGTATTAATGGCTTCAATGGTACTTACTGTGAGAATGAGCCATGTGAAAGTAATATATGTGAAAATAATTCAACATGTGAAACAGACATAGCAGCTGATGATGGTTATACTTGCTCGTGTCCTAATGGCTTCAGTGGGACTTACTGTGAGATTGAACCATGTGATAATAATTTATGTGACAACAATTCAACGTGTGAAACAGACATAGCAGCTGATGATGGTTATACTTGCTCGTGTCCTAATGGCTTCAGTGGGACTTACTGTGAGATTGAACCATGTGATAATAATTTATGTGACAACAATTCAACGTGTGAAACAGACATAGCAGCTGATGATGGTTATACTTGCTCGTGTCCTAATGGCTTCAGTGGGACTTACTGTGAGATTGAACCATGTGATAATAATTTATGTGACAACAATTCAACCTGTGAAACAGACATAGCAGCTGATGATGGTTATACTTGCTTGTGTCCTAATGGCTTCAATGGGACTTACTGTGAGATTGAACCATGTGATAATAATTTATGTGACAACAATTCAACGTGTGAAACAGACATAGCAGCTGATGATGGTTATACTTGCTTGTGTCCTAATGGCTTCAGTGGGACTTACTGTGAGATTGAACCATGTGATAATAATTTATGTGACAACAATTCAACGTGTGAAACAGACATAGCAGCTGATGATGGTTATACTTGCTTGTGTCCTAATGGCTTCAGTGGGACTTACTGTGAGATTGAACCATGTGATAATAATTTATGTGACAACAATTCAACCTGTGAAACAGACATAGCAGCTGATGATGGTTATACTTGCTTGTGTCCTAATGGCTTCAATGGGACTTACTGTGAGATTGAACCACCTCCATGTTTATCAAACCCTTGTGCTAATATGGCAACATGTTTTGAGAGAAATTCTTCGAAAGGATATGAGTGTATATGTCCTGAGAATCACTTTGGGGAATTATGCACATTCTGCCTCCCTACAGATGACTGCACTGGTCATTATACATGTGATGTCAGAAATGGATTGAAACTTTGCCTTGAGAACTGGAATGGTACTGAATGCAACCAATGGACTGGAGAACAGTATGAATGCTATGAAAACACACCTACAAATTATACTGGTATTTATCAATTAAACAATTAAACAATCGTTATATTTTACTTAAAATATATTTGAAATAATTATAATTTTGAAGTTAGCCTAGAGTACATATTGCATTGTGTATTCATACTTTTTACTAGTTTTAAACTTAAATTATTATGATTAACATGATTTTGAAATTTTCAAATTCTAGGTATAGCTGACATAAATTTCAGATATTTAGTTAATACAGATCTTTGATGAATTCAGTCACATTTACAATTATAATGCTTGCATGGTGTTCCAAGCAAATTGGGCCGACAGAAATTGTCAGAGCCTGAATGCCAAGACTATCCTGAAAGTCAACATGGTTGTAAGAACTGTGTAAGAAAAGATATATGTCATGGAAAAAATATTTGTACAACCGAAAGCATACGACAAATTATTGGTAAACATTGGTGGCCAATTTGTAGGTATTCATATAAATATTCACCAAGAACCCGTCGTACACTTTTGATTTTACAACGTGATGAGAATGGGGTGTGCTGATGTGTTTTTATCAACAACTTATAACAGGCCGAGAACACATTTATTTTAGATCTAAAAGGGTTATGGGATGGTACTATAGAATGCAATGGTGAGCCAGATCTTAAATTCACACTCATTGTGAATGTTACCTCAAAGGCCAGCAACCCTACAGGTACATTTGAGTTAAACTACCACAATGGCACAGACCTAAAAGACTATACAGTCAGTGGAACATATTCCCAAACAGCCAAAGAATTCACACTTATCACTACTAGCAACACACCCGATAACTTGGTAGCGGCAATGGGAATATTTGGAAAGGTGTTGAATAGTGGTAACAACATGACTGGAAATTTTGTTACATTTGCTGTTGGAACATGTTCCCTTAATGGACACAGGAGAAGAGGTAAGGCTTGAATACTTATATTTTAATAGGAACTTACTTATTATATCCAGTTATTAATATTTTGTGCATTTCTGTTAACAAGGAATTATTAAGCGTGGTAGTTTATTTTATAGGTTTAACAACAAAAACTGTATAGTTTATCTAAACTTTTTCAGAATCTGTAAATGTATGTAAAAATAATGCAACATGTGTGAAAAATGGAACTGAGGATGAGGTCTTCTATTGCTGTTGTTCTCCAGGTGAGGAAGCATAAGGGTAACAATGTTATAAACTCACAAGGCCAACAAAAACAATTTTCCTTGTTTAAAACAATGTGTTATATTTAACCAGAGAATGAATAAAAAGCATTGATTGTATGCCCCTCTTTCAAAGGTTTTGAAGGGTTAAGATGTGAGAAAGAGGTAGCTGTCACAACTACTGCCGATGTTACAACAGTGCCTGATATAACTACTGCTGATGTCACAACAGTGACTGATATAACTGCTGCTGATGTCACAACAGTGGGTGATATAACTACTGCTGATGTCACAACAATGGCTGATATAACTACTGCTGATGTCATAACAATGGCTGATATAACTACTGCTGATGTCACAACAATGCCTGATATAACAACTGCTGATGTCACAACAATGGCTGATAAAACTGCTGCTGATGTCACAACAGTGGCTGATATAACTACTGCTGATGTCACAACAATGGCTGATATAACTACTGCTGATGTCATAACAATGGCTGATATAACTACTGCTGATGTTACAACAATGCCTGATATAACAACTGCTGATGTCACAATGGATGATATAACCACTGCTGATGTCACAACAATGCCTGATATAACTACTGCTGATGTCACAATGGCTGATATAACTACTGCTGATGTCACAAAAATGCCTGATATAACTACTGCTGATGTCACAATGGCTGATATAACTACTGTTGATGTCACAACAATGACTGATGCAACTACAGTTGATGTCTGTGATAACAATTTATGTGAGAACAACGCTACATGTGTGCCATCAAATGATACTAATGATGGTTATATATGTGATTGCTTAGAAGGTTATAATGGGACATACTGTCAGAATTTGGTTAGTTTGTTATCTAATTGATGCTTTGTATCATATTTTGGCATGATTTGAAACTTTGTCTCCTCAAATTGTCTTCATGATTTACTTTGTTAATCATTTCTCTTTAGGATCCTTGCTACTCAAACCCTTGTCCAGAAGCTGCACGTTGTATTGTGAATGGAAGTAACTTTGAATGTGAATGTGTTGATGGCTATTATGGACTAAATTGTTCTGTAATGTGTGAGCCCCGTGATGATTGTGAAGGACATTATGCATGTGCTGTTGATGGAAGCAAACTGTGTTTGGCCAACTGGACTGATCCAAACTGTTTGACATGGAATGGAAAACCATATGAATGTCTGGTAGATACAGGGGTTGAAATACCAGAGGGTAAGTTAAGTGTTTATGATTTTCAGTAAACAACCATACTGAAGTGTCTCAGTATACTTATACTCTGTAATTTGGTCTTTAGTCAGTAAAATAGATTTAAATTCAGATTCAAAATAAGCTTTACTGTATAAATCCAAATATATAGGGGAGGCAAAAATCCATATTTTTCATTTTCTATAACTTATGCATGGATATTTTCACAGGGGAATGTAGCAATTGAAGTAATTTATTGTAATTTACATTTATATTGAGTATTGAAGCATTTGTGGAGTTATGACAAAAAGAACTGAAATTATTTTTCACCAATGAGAGTGAAGGTATTTTGAAAATAGGTGAGCTTTTGAGACGACACTGATGGAGCAATCGAAAACTTTATATATACATATTCAAGAAGTACAACCTATTCAAGAAGTATAACCATTTCAAGTGCCATGAACAATTACTCAAAATGACTCATAACATGATTTTTGAGCAACCAAAATGGCTTTCAATAGATTTCAGAATATAGGCACATTTTCTCAATCGCCTTTTTTGTCTTATGACCCATGCTTCCTAGTGGCTCCACATTTATGTTTTCTTTATCTCATCTTAGGAACAATAGCAAGTGATTGATACATCTTTATAATAAAAACTTGTTTTAAATATATGTATGCAATATTAAAAAGCTTATCACCAAAGGAAAAATAGGGACATTTTGGCCCACCATGTCCAAAGCATATTCAACTAATTAACAAATATCTATGAAAAATATGGACAGTTTAGCCCACCCTGTACAAATCGTATTCTACTAATTAACAAATATCTATGACGGTTCTATATATACAGTAATATAGAATTGTCATTTGATGGAAATCATTTAAATCAGTAATATTCGTTTGTGGTACACAAATTTGTATTTCTGTAGATATGTATGTATGTAGACATTATATGAATGATTGTATAACATAATGGTTGGCACACCATATGCATCTTTATGCTTTGCATATACCGTATTCTTACACTTATTATATTATGTTGCATGATGTACTTACCTTGCATGTTTATATATTAATGTTCTACAAATATTAACAGAATAATGGAAGAGCAATAATATACACAAGTTGTCATTCAATCATAGTTGTTTTCATATGGACTATGATTGTTAAATCATACAATCAGAAGGCATTTTCCAACACATTCCAAGTCACAATACATCAGGTTACAGTATATAATTAGAAGATGAACTCCATAATCTTCAGTTTTATTAATATTGTGTGTATTTTTAATATACTCCATGGTTTATTTTATTCTCTTGGATTTGTCTCGCATGTACATCTTATAGTATGTTATGATTAATAAAAACATACAGCTGTAACCATGCTGCCAGCAAGCTAACCTGTGCCAGCAATGTTGCTTAACAAATGACTTTCTGAAATAGTAATGTGAGTAACAATTTTGTCTATCCTATAATAGTAGTTCTAATTATGCATGACCTATACATGCATGACCTAACTAATATACATAATATTATTGCGTCATACATTAATCTTTTTACTAATACTGAAATTTCAAAAAAAATCTCAAATCTTGGATACCTTCTAGTAATTATAGTTGCAACATTTTCCTGCCAAACATTTTCATACTTTACTTTATTTTAGATTTGAGAGGTTTATGGGATGGCAATGTAAAATGCAACAATGAGCCAACTATGCTCTATACCTTAATCATCAATGTTACAAATGGTGTTTCCAAACCATTTGGAATATTTGAACTGAAATACAATAATGGATCCACACTTGATAGGTATATAGTAGCGGGAACATATTCAAAAAATAAGAATGGCTTTACACTGATGAAAAGCACTGGCAGCATTGGAGCATTTGAGGCTATAGTCATTGGAATTACTGGACAAGTCAATATCAATGGCACAGAATTAAAAGGAAGTCTCCTGACATTTTCTGCTGGTAGTTGTGCTCTAGTAGGGTACAGAAGGACAGGTGAGAACAAATTAACATCTTAGCAAATGCAGTAGGATAAATATAAAATTGTATGGTAAATTGCGCAAGGAATATTTATGGTTGTATTGAGTTCTAAAAGTATACACGCAATTTGAAGTATCACTATTGCAACTGATTGATATACAATTAATACTTCAAATATGATTTAAAAAATTCAGAAGAATAATGTGTTCAAAGGTATATAAAAAATAGTGCCCTTTGGAAACAAGGCATAGGGTGAACAATATTGTACCTAAAACATAGCATTGTAGGCTTGATGACCCAGAAAGCAAGATTAAAAGTTAATCAGTTCTAGAACTTCTTAGCATGTAACATGTGTAAAAATTTGTAGCAAATCCGTTAAATGGTTTTCCTGGAATCGCGATGACAAGATTTATCTAAAAACTTTCAAGATGGCGGCCAGAATGCAAAAAGGCCGCTGAAAATTTAATCAGCTCTAGAACTTCTTACCGTGTAACATGTGTGAAAATTTGAAGTAAATCCGTTAAGTGGTTTTCCTGGAATCGCGATGACAATGTTTAACTAAAAACTTCCAAGATGGCCGTCCAAAAGTTAATCAGCTCTAGAACCTCTTACCATGTAACATGTGTGAAAATTTGAAGTAAATCTGTCTCGTGGTTTCCTGAAATCATGATGACAAGAAAGTGAGACGCCTTCAACCGCCCACCCACTGCCTGACCACTCGCCTGTCAAGTTAACAACAATATCGTACCTTTTTTTAGGTACGATAAAAATGCAGAATTCTTTATAGTCAACCTTAATTGATAAAATATGAAATTACAGTTGGGGTTTATTAATGATAGTTTTACCCGTACAGTATTACTGACACATGATAATAAGGCATGTAATATGACTTGTGAATAAAGAGTATTTAGAGTGCATTCATCTGTTTCCAGTTTTAAAGGAAGTATGCAAGAATAATGCAACATGTGTTAAAAATGGAACAAAACCAGAAGACATCTACTGCTGTTGTCAACCAGGTAAATAATCCACTTGGTTCGGTTTGAATATACATGTACATTTATTTGCTCAGTTATTATGGTTTATAGGGTTTTACTAGTTGTCTGTCTTCCAAATAATTCAACCACATAACACCAAAGATCACTTTCCGTTTTCAAATAAATATGCAAAAAATGTATTTCATGGTAAGCCTCACATTCTCCATCTCAGCCCCTCTAGGATGCAATAGATACAATAGGAAATGCATTCATATTTAATATTTGACATACTTCAGGATTTAAAGGAGAAAGATGTGAAACAGAAATCAATGAGTGTGAAAGTGATCCTTGCCAGAACAATGGGACTTGTGAAGAATTTGTTGATGCATTTGAGTGTAAATGCCAGCCAGGCTTTAGTGGAATGAACTGTGAGGTATGTAGATTTTGTTCTAGTATATCTGCTATTGTGCTGCTAACCCATTGTTTTTGCTTCTTTTAAATAACTGAATAGATATCTAGGAATATACAATAAAAATTGGCTTATTGTGTTTTTAATATTGATGTTTTTTAACATCATTATTACAATGTGTGATATATATATCTACTTTTCTTGTTAATTCAGATCCCACCTCCATGTCTAAGTGAACCATGTCAAAACAATGGTACATGCAGGGAAAATAGTTCATCATTTTCATGTGTATGTCTTGATGGCTTTACTGGCACTTTTTGCGAAATCAAAAGCATTGATGTATGTGATGACAATATTTGTGAGAACAACTCAACATGTAAAACGTCCAATGTAATAGATGAATATCTATGTGAATGTATGGATGGGTTCAATGGAACTTATTGTGAATATAAAATTCCAAAGGTGAGTCAATTTAATATTAATATGAGTCATCACACCAAGTTCACTGCTTCCTGACTCTATACAAATATTTCCTCTTCGGTTTTATTTCCATATTATTACATGTACAATTATGACAAATTTTTTTAGACTTCTTCAGATGTTTCTTTTGCTACTTATAAATATATTACATTTCTTTATGTTTTAGGATCCATGTGAACCAGATCCCTGTCTTGAGACTGCTTTGTGTTTGTCCAATGGAACAAACTTTAAATGTAAATGCCTTGAAAACTACTTTGGAGCTAACTGTTCTGTTATGTGTGAGCCCCATGATGACTGCGAAGGACATTACACATGTGCTGATGATGGAAGCAAAATATGCCTTGCTAATTGGACTGATAATGGTTGCAAAACATGGGTTGGGGAACCATATGAATGTGTTTTAAACAAAGGATATAAGATATATAATGGTAAGAAATTGTTGAATGACCATTCACACACTTAGCTAGGCAAGGTGTGTCTAATTCTAGCCAATCAGAACACATTATTTCATTTAACTGCAGTGCATTATTTAACCAACACACCCAATGTCACTTTTAGGTACTAGTGAAACTAATGAAACTGAAAAACTGATCAATATCATAGTTGAGTAAAAATCAATAAATAGTATCATAGAGTATTACGCTTAGTACTTATGCAAGTCACATGGTAAGTGTTGAATGGTTGTCAAGTTGATGAAATTGCTGTCAGTATTGACCTACTAGTTTAGCTCTTGCAAAAGTTTCTTTTCAAGTGATTCTGTACACTTTTGAGGAATGATAATTAGTCCACAATGAATCCAGTGGTATCGATATGGTGAACTTTATGAACACGCGTTTCTCTTCAACCAGTCAACATTCTGAAAATTTTACACATTGTCAATTTAATGGTCATCTTTTGGATGGTAGCATTATAATTTGAAATATATATTTATACTTTTCTCTACATTGTTTTAAAAAGCACATCAGATACTTCTTTTGTTCTTGGTATCATATATTTGGAATGAAATGAAACATCTATCAGACCATCATTGGAACAAAATGACATAAACACAACGTGTTTAGGTCTCTCAATATTGTAATTGTACAAAAGAAAGTTTAGTTGATTTTAAAAAAGTATCTTCTTAACCCTTTCACGACGATGGGCTCCATATGGAGCCCTATTGTGTAATACCTTTCAGGACGTTAGGCTCCTTTTGGCACCATAATTTTTATTTATATACATCGATGAAATGATAATATCTCCAGTTCTATTCAGTATTTTTACACCAAATTTTGACAAGTTGTTCTAATACGATAGTCCTTACTAAAAAATGTATTTCAGTGATAAAATTCAAGGTATAGGTCCCTGGGCATAGGTAATTTTCAGTTTTCCCCTAAAAACTGCTCTTACTTATCCGTCACCAGGGCCAACATTTTCCTCTTATATTCACGTCGGGAAAGGGTTAATGAATTAAAAGGTTTATCTTAATTTTTTATCTATTTTGGGGGGTTTTGTTTTAAGTTTTTCCATACTTTTTGTTAAATCAACTAAAATTCCCTTTGTATAACAATAATATTGAGAGGTCTAAGAAAATGTTGTATATGTTCCAACAAGGTTCGGAAAGACATTTTATTTCATTCCCAAGAATTGGTAGAAAGGAACAAAATTGGAACAACTGGAACTGGAACAAAATGTAAACAAAACAGTTATATAATATATATATTATATTTTTGCATCAAATTGTTGCCAATCAGTCAACATTACATAAAGGATCATGTTGTTTACAGAATGTTTTCAATAATTGGTTTAAGAGAAAAAACATTGTTAAATTCAGTTCACCATATCGATACCTATCCTTTAAATCTCAACATAAAGTTCCTAAGGTCAATTAGTTTGAAACTAATGAAAGAAAGTTCAAGAATTCTTTATAAGTCAAGTATATGAAAAATACTTCCATGGAAGCTTCAAGCAGTCTCCTTATAGAAGATAATCTGAATTAAATTGACAAACATGATGCACATCAAACATACTGTTCACTTAATATCTGAAATAAGCTAATCAAATTAAGTCATATGTTCAATGAAGAATTACCTGAACTCTGATTCAAAGACATTGATGAAAAAATCGGTTGAGTCTAGAACAAAATGATTTGATGTGGACATTATAAGATGCTTTTTATAATATTGCTACAAACATGTCTAAAAAGTAATAAAGCTACACAATTTTCTCCTTACATTGGACAATATTACAACTAAACATTACTTTATTTCAGATCTAAGAGGAATGTGGGATGGTTCCGTGGAATGCACAGGTAAAATTCCTCTAAGTTACACATTGAACATCACCGTGACATCAGATATAACAACCCCATCTGGAATATTTGAACTGAGTTACAACGCATCAGATGGAGTACATTATACAGCTAAAGGAACATATGAGCAAAATGGCCAAACCTTTACTTTATTAACTACTACCAATGAAATAGACATCTTTGGGCTTCAAGCCATCGGTTTAAATGGACAAGTATTTGACAATGGCACACAAATAAGGGGATCATTTATGACTGTCTATGCTGGAGATTGTCAGCTTTTTGGACATAGAAATCCAGGTATGGTTTATCTTTGTTGTTATGTTGATTGTTAGAATTGATTTAAAAATGAGAAGCTAGCTAATAGCAGTATCTTTTCACCAAGAAAATGACACGAGAAGTTTCAAGGTCTATACAGTGAGTGAATCTCTAGGGCAAAGGGGTGTAATGACATGTCGGGTAATGTTGACATGAGAAATGGGGTAACTTTGACACTAACTTGTTAGAAATTAGAATTTCTATTTTCCGCCATGTTCGATAGAAAGTGTAAATTACAAATTAATACAATTTTTTTCGGGAGAAAAGAATTATTGTTAAATTTAATTATTTCATATACATGTAATAACATTCAAATGAACTGCCTGTACACTATTATCATTTTATTTTTTGGCAAAAGATTTAGAAGAGATATGTAGCAACAATGCTACATGTGTAAAGAATGGAACAACACCTAAAGACTTCTATTGCTGTTGTTTGCCAGGTAATTATTAACAATTATATAGCAAGTCTTATAATAGCCTTAAATAACTGTGAAATAAAAAAAATGAAATTACATAATACACATGATTCAGGGGGATTATCCAATAATCATGTTGCTTGCTTTCCATAACTGTGAAATAAAAAATGAAATTAGATAATTCATACAATTCTGGGGAATTCTCAAATAATCACATTGTTTGCTTTAATGCTACCAGGGGGAATCCGACCTACATGCTGTACTATTTATACATGTTTTTTCTGTTTTGAAAAAATTGATATGTGATGAATATTTATTAGTTTTTCAAAGAAATCTACAAATATTTCTTTGTGGAAGCATACTTAGAAGCATATTACAGTTTCAAATGACAATTTGACTAATGAGCAGCCATTTTGAAATTTTGATAAAGTGGTAGGCTGCCTGCTCGATGGGATTTGCCACACATTGGTGTTGCTGTTATCTTGTTACCTTAGTTCAACATGATATGCAAAATACATGATTATTTTATTTTTTGATGTAGGATTTGAAGGAGAAAAGTGTGAGATAAATGTAAATGAATGTGAAAGTTGGCCATGTCAAAACAATGGCACATGCACAGACCTTATCAACGCATATAGATGTCAGTGTCCAAATGGATTTAGTGGGGATAGTTGTGAAAATGCAGACAACCAAACCTGTGATTTCAACCTTTGTGAAAATAATTCAAATTGTGAGGAATCTAATGCAACATTTGATGGCTACATTTGTGAATGCCCAGATGGATTTAGTGGACAATATTGTGAAAATGCAGACAACCAAACCTGTGATTTCAACCTTTGTGAAAATAATTCAACATGTGTGGAATCCAATACAACATCTGATGGCTACATTTGTAAATGCCCAGATGGATTCAATGGACAGAACTGTGAAAATGCAGAAAACCAAACCTGTGATTTCAACCTTTGTGAAAATAACTCAACATGTGTGAAATCCAATACAACATCTGATGGCTACATTTGTGAATGTTTAGATGGATTTAGTGGACAGTATTGTGAAAATGCAGACAACCAAACCTGTGATTTCAACATTTGTGAAAATAACTCAACATGTGTGGAGTCCAATACAACATCTGATGGCTACATTTGTGAATGCCCAGATGGATTCAGTGGACAGTATTGTGAAAATGCAGACAATGTAACCTGTGATTTCAACCTTTGTGAAAATAACTCAACATGTGTGGAATCCAATACAACATCTGATGGCTACATTTGTGAATGCCCAGATGGATTCAGTGGACATTATTGTGAAAATGCTGACAACCAAACATGTGATTTCAACCTTTGTGACAATAACTCAACATGTGTGGAGTCCAATACAACATCTGATGGCTACATTTGTGAATGTTTAGATGGATTTAGTGGACAGTATTGTGAAAATGCAGACAACAAAACCTGTGATTTCAACCTTTGTGATAATAACTCAACATGTGTGGAATCTAATACAACATCTGATGGCTACATTTGTGAATGCCCAGATGGATTCAGTGGACAATATTGTGAAAATGCAGACAACAAAACCTGTGATTTCAACCTTTGTGAAAATAACTCAACATGTGTAGAAACCAATACAACATATGATCGCTACATTTGTAAATGCCAAAATGGATTCAGTGGGCAGTATTGTGAAAATGCAGACAATGTAACATGTGATTTCAACCTTTGTGACAATAACTCAACATGTGTGGAATCCAATACAACGTATGATGGCTATATTTGTGAATGTTTAGATGGATTCAGTGGACAGTATTGTGAAAATGCAGACAATGTAACCTGTGATTTCAACCTTTGTGACAATAACTCAACATGTGTGGAGTCCAATACAACATCTGATGGCTACATTTGTGAATGTTTAGATGGATTTAGTGGACAGTATTGTGAAAATGCAGACAATGTAACCTGTGATTTCAACATTTGTGAAAATAACTCAACATGTGTGGAGTCCAATACAACATCTGATGGCTACATTTGTGAATGTTTAGATGGATTTAGTGGACAGTATTGTGAAAATGCAGACAACCAAACCTGTGATTTCAACCTTTGTGAAAATAACTCAACATGTGTGGAGTCCAATACAACATCTGATGGCTACATTTGTGAATGTTTAGATGGATTTAGTGGACAGTATTGTGAAAATGCAGACAACCAAACCTGTGATTTCAACATTTGTGAAAATAACTCAACATGTGTAGAATCCAATACAACATCTGATGGCTACATTTGTGAATGCCCAGATGGATTTAGTGGACAATATTGTGAAAATGCAGACAACCAAACCTGTGATTTCAACATTTGTGAAAATAACTCAACATGTGTGGAGTCCAATACAACATCTGATGGCTACATTTGTGAATGCCCAGATGGATTCAGTGGACAGTATTGTGAAAATGCAGACAACCAAACCTGTGATTTCAACATTTGTGAAAATAACTCAACATGTGTGGAGTCCAATACAACATCTGATGGCTACATTTGTGAATGCCCAGATGGATTTAGTGGACAATATTGTGAAAATGCAGACAATGTAACCTGTGATTTCAACCTTTGTGAAAATAACTCAACATGTGTGGAGTCCAATACAACATCTGATGGCTACATTTGTGAATGCCCAGATGGATTTGGTGGACAATATTGTGAAAATGCAGACAACAAAACCTGTGATTTCAACTTGTGTGAAAATAATTCAACATGTGTGGAACTTAATAAAACACAAAAAGGCTACATTTGCAAATGTCCAGATGGATTTAATGGAGAATTTTGTGGGATTACTGACAATGAGACCTCAATATGCGAGTTCAACCTATGTGAAAATAATGCAACCTGTGAGGAATTCAACAATAGTAAAGATGGATATATTTGTGAGTGTCTTGGAGGATTCAATGGGACATATTGTGAGGAAACAATCATCATGGTGAGTAATAGTTTTTTGTGTCAATTATGAATGTAAAATGTTGAGAAGTATAAACATAAAAATAACATAATTTATTGTAAAAATTGCCAGAAGAGATTTCAAAACATATTTGAAAGTAAAACATAGTGCACAATTAAATACACTTTATAATAAATAATGTAACATGTATTTTTATATCTAAAGGACCCATGTGACATTGAACCATGTCCAGATATGGCTTATTGTCTTTCCGATGGTGAGGACTTTCAATGCAAATGTCTCGAGAACTATTATGGAGAAAACTGTTCTATAATGTGTCTACCAAATGATGACTGTGAAGGTCATTACATTTGTGATGAAGATGGAACCAAAATATGCCTCACAAACTGGACTGATCCTGGTTGCACAACATGGGTTGGAGAGCCTTTCCAATGTGCTATTAACAAAGGATTTCCATCAATTGATGGTATGTGGTTTATTCTTTTAAAGTCATCTTCCTTATATGTAAATTCCTTGGAAATTGACAAATCAATTAGAGTTTGAATAGTCTTATAATTTAACATTATCCTTCATTTCAAAGAACTGAATACTGTATCATATTGTATACTGTATCATTATTACATTATCATTATGCTCCATGCAGAATTCATTGGCATCACGTATGATTGTAAATTGTGTGTTTAATAGATATGAGATGTGTATTAAGGGAAGGGTCCATGCAAAATTCATTGGCATCACAAATGATTGTAAATTGTTTTTGAACAGATATGAGAGGTGTATGGGCAGGTTCATTTGACTGCCAGGGAACTATATATCCATTCATAATGGACATTGAAATAACATCCCTAGTAAGAAGCCCAGAAGGACTATTCAGACTGCGTTATTTGAACAACAGCAATGCTGGAGAATATATCATAAATGGTGTCTATTCTCAGAATACTAGTAGATTTGCGCTATTTGCAAAAGATGGCAGTGACCAGTTTGGTCTAGACTCAATATCGGCTTTAGGAGACCTTAGTGCTGACAAATTATCCATCACTGGAAATCTCCTAGCACAGTCACAACCAGGCTTTTGCACACTTATAGGCAAAAGACAACCAAGTAAGATATTTTCAATCTGATTCATGCATATACTGTGTATATATTATCTAGCATAGGTTAATAACAATTCTCAAGGGTTTTTAGTTTTTTTTTAGTTTTTATGGTTTCTTTATTTTACTTTACAAAATTATCTACAAATGACAGGGCCGAGGCTGAAATCAGCATTATTGGCCCTGTTAATACAAAGTTTATTCAAATTTACAAAATAACAACAAAATGACTACCAACATATATGTATGCATGGCAGGAATGTGTTAAAACTATATAATTATATCAATGCATTCACACAAAAAGGATGTAAAATGCTTCAATATTGAAGAATTGCATGTTATGCTAACTCCATCTCTGCCATACATTAAGATATTCAGCTTTTGCTCTATAGAGCATCCTGTAAAGAAAATGTTCATTTCTGGCATGTTCCTGAGTTCCCCCCAAAGTTTCTCTCTTATAACATTCAACAGAGGGCATTTGAAGATTAGATGCTTTGTAGTTTGTTGTTTAAAACCACAGATGCATTTGGGACTGTCAATACCTTGAAAATTATGTTGAAAAAGATGACCAGTAAAAATGAAATCACATCTTGTTCTATTCAGTAAAATTTCTTCTTTTCTTGTAAGATCCAGGTTTGTGGTTGTTAAATGCTTCATTGTCCCTGAATATTTACGTAAATTGGTTTTGAAAGTGACTTTGGTATTATAAGTAAGGGTAGACTTCAGAGAGCGTTCATATGGTCTATCAGAGATATCAGTTTTATATTGAAACAAACTGCTAGTCCTTATGGATTCTTTCAGACAAGGAAGGATCTTTTTAAGTATCAAGAAAATGTGATATACTGTAACTTGGATTTATTTGATATAGTGGATTTAAACTTAAGATTCTTCCATTCCCCATCTTATGTAACTGGGCATCTGTTTTCTTTGTTCAGAACAGAACTTTTTTATTTTAATTGGCTTGTCAATCAGAAGCATTTTTGGTGAATCACAACGAAATCAAAACATTCAGCAGTATTTTAAGTGTGGAAACATTTTACATTTATTACTTCATATGGCATTTTATTTTTATGATACTCAATATCATTTAATCATACCATGTTATGATGATGTTATATGATGTTATAATATTGTTATTGATTTTTATTTAACTTTTGCATACATGGATATCACAAGCACATGGTTTGCTTTCAGCACTTGAGGACCTTTGCTTCAATGGTGCGTCTTGTGTAAGAACTGGCAATGAGAGTGATGCTTTCTATTGTTGTTGTTCTCCAGGTAACCAACCACTATAATAAACATATTGTCAATTATCACTATTTTGGTGTTGATTGAAAATACTCATGGGGCTTGAATGTCTAATTTTCGGATACTGATATAAATGTATTTAGTTGCATATTTTTAAAAGCATTATGTATAGAACTTATAAGATACTTGAAGTGTATTTTTTATTTATTTTTTATTTTATTAGGCTATAAAGGAGAGCAATGTCAGATTGAAACTAATGAATGTGATAGTAACCCGTGTCAGAATGGTGCATCCTGTAAAGATGAAATCAATGCATACAGCTGTGCCTGCACAGATGGCTTTATGGGGGAGAATTGTGAGGAAAACATTGATGACTGTAAAGAAAAGCCTTGTAGGAACAATGCCACATGCAGGGATTTGGTTGCAACTTATGAATGTGACTGCATATTAGGTTACAATGGAACTCAGTGTGAAGAGGACATAGATGAATGTGCAGGGGAACCATGTATGAATAATGCAACATGTGTTGATATGATTGGAAATTACAGATGCGATTGTAGCAATGGCTTCGAGGGGACGGATTGTGAATTTGACATTGATGAATGTGAGGAAGAACCATGCTTGAACAATGGAACATGCCTTGATATGGAGGGTGAATACCAATGTGAATGTGAAGAAGGCTACAATGGTACAAATTGTGAGATTGTTGGTCCATGTGTAAGGAACCCATGCAAAAATGATGGTGTCTGCTTTCCTAGCTATAACAACTTTGAATGTTTCTGTGCAGAAAACTATACTGGCTCTCTTTGTGAAATACCTATTCCCGAGGTACTGTATACATTTTATATCAGTTCTGATAGTTTGATATATAATAAAGGGATTGACAAGTTGAGAACACCACATACTATTTCATTGCATTTGATTTTCTTTGACAATATTGAAATTTATTTGAATAATCATATATCAAATCATCAATATAACATTGAGTATGTTTAGACAAATTCATGTAGATTCTAATTGCCTCAAATTTGTATGTATTTCTTCACTTAAAATAATTTACTTGGATAATTATTTCTAGTGTATACCACGAGATGACTGCAATGGTCATTACACATGCAACAAAACAGGTTATAGAATATGTCATGAAAAGTGGGGAGGGGATGAATGCAATACATGGCTAGGTGAGCCTCAAACATGTCTAAAGGAAATCCCAATCCCAAGAGTGGTTGATCAGAATGTGACTGCAAATCCAAAATATGGATATTTAAGTGATGGTAAGTATATCATGTTTAGCAAAAAAATAAATAGTTCTGGGCCCACATGGTGTAGTGAATTCAGTCACATTGATAGCTAGATTGACTTTTTAATATGCCCTTGTGGTTTATCATTACAGACATGACGGGAAATTGGATTGGGAATATATCATGCACATCATCCTCTCTAATTTTCAATATGGATATTGAAAGGGGTTCAAAGGTATCAAACCCCAAAGGAACATTCACAATAAGATACAAGAATATGAGTGAATCAGGAGAACACAAAGTGTCCGGCACATTTTCACAAGATGGCAGGTCGTTTACATTGTTTACAACATCAGGGTCTAATACATTAGGAATAGCCACATTTGGACTGTTTGGAAATATAAATGATGACAATGTTACTTTTAATGCTAGATTCCTTGCATCTCAAGGTGGATTTTGTTTCATTTCTGGTGAGAGAGAAAGGTTCAAGCAACGTAATTGTACTTCAAGGGCAGATATTGCTCTACTTTTGGACTCCTCTGGAAGCATTTCAGATGAAAACTTCCCAAAGGTTATAGATTTTGCGAAATCTCTTATCCAAAATCTGAAAGGTGATTTCTTCTTCTCAATGGCAACATTTAGCAGTGATGTAACACCATACTTTCGACTTGGTGAATTTTCAGTTGTTACAGAATTGTTAGATATATTAGATATGGTTAAACATGATAAAGGCTCAACTGCTACAAAAGAAGCTATTGAATCACTTACGTCAGATCTGCTTGTGATTGGCAACCGTCCAGAAGCACCAGACATAGCTGTATTGCTAACAGATGGTGCCTCAAAGACTGGGGATGTATCCACAGCAGTTACCACTTCTGTGGCAGCAGGGATCGAGTTTTATGTAGTGGCAGTTTCCACTTCTGAACTCAACATGACTGAATTGTCATTCATAGCTTCAGATCCAGATGCCTCCCATCTTATCATAGCAGAGGATTTTAATTCTATTCCTGCACTTTCTTATGAAATAGAGAAGAACAAAGATATATGTAAAAGTACAAGTAAGTAAGACAGAGTTGTTCTAATAATCATGAGAGTATACAGGGTGATCCAGAAGTAATGTAAATGCCATTTCAATACTATTGGACAAATCTTCTTGAAACTTGAAAGGTGTGTCTCCCAAAAATTTTTGAGTTAATTCCTGAGGGTATAAAACTCATACAATTTGATTGGTCAGCTTCATGGTTACTATGTCAAAGTGATGTCATGTCAATCAGGGAAAATTATTTGTTTAGGAATCACCCTGTATGCTTTGTTTTGTCCCCTATTTTAAAAAATTCTTCTCTAACATATGTTTTGGATATTTAAAATGATCGTACTGAATTTGAATACAATCTATATTGTAATAACTATAAACATTGTTAAACATTTGTTTTCTGCTTACCTAGAGATTGTTCAAGCCTGTGAAAATAATGCCTCATGTGTACAGACTGGAGATGATATTGGTGACTTCTATTGCTGTTGTAGCCCAGGTTTGATTATTTAGCCATACCTTCAAAAATTAAAAATAACTATAGAGATGTACATATCATGGCAACTTTGACATACATTAACAGTAAACATTTTAACTTCTATTAAAGGATACACTGGTGAGATGTGTGAGACAGAATTGGATGAGTGTGGAAGCCAACCCTGTTTGAATAATGGAACATGTGTTGACGAGGTTGATAAGTTTAGGTGCATTTGCACTGAACACTTCCATGGGATAAGTTGTGAAACTGACTTTAGAAACACCACATCTGTATGTTACTTTGAACCATGTTTCAACAATGCAACATGTTTGGAAAACAATTCTACAGAAGGATTTGAATGCATTTGTCCAGAAGGTTTCAATGGAACACTATGTGAAGATGAACTCTTGAACATTACATCAGTATGCAACTTTGAACCATGTTTCAACAATGCAACATGTTTGGAAAACAATTCTACAGAAGGATTTGAATGCATTTGTCCAGAAGGTTTCAATGGAACACTATGTGAAGATGAACTCTTGAACATTACATCAGTATGCAACTTTGAACCATGTTCCAACAATGCGACATGTTTAGAAAACAATTCTACAGAAGGATTTGAATGCATTTGTCCAGAAGGTTTCAATGGAACACTATGTGAAGATGAACTCTTGAACATTACATCAGTATGTAACTTTGAACCATGTTTCAACAATGCGACATGTTTGGAAAACAATTCTACAGAAGGATTTGAATGCATTTGTCCAGAAGGTTTCAATGGAACACTATGTGAAGATGAACTCTTGAACATTACATCAGTATGTAACTTTGAACCATGTTTCAACAATGCGACATGTTTGGAAAACAATTCTACAGAAGGATTTGAATGCATTTGTCCAGAAGGTTTCAATGGAACACTATGTGAAGATGAACTCTTGAACATTACATCAGTATGCAACTTTGAACCATGTTTCAACAATGCGACATGTTTAGAAAACAATTCTACAGAAGGATTTAAATGCATTTGTCCAGAAGGTTTCAATGGAACACTATGTGAAGATGAACTCTTGAACATTACATCAGTATGCAACTTTGAACCATGTTTCAACAATGCGACATGTTTGGAAAACAATTCTACAGAAGGATTTGAATGCATTTGTCCAGAAGGTTTCAATGGAACTCTTTGTGAAGATAAAAATCAAGTGAGTGTATCTAACATATAAAATAATCTAATTATTAGTCAATAAATCATGTAGTACATACAAAAATGACATTTCAGGTGTGTAATGAAAATGAGTATGGTGAGGACTGCACATTTTGTGTTGCAACAGATGACTGTTCTGGTCATTACAACTGCAGTGAAGTTGATGGATCTAAAGTTTGCATTGACAACTGGGGCGGAGAAGATTGCAACATTTGGTTTGGTGAACCTCAGGAATGTGGCATTGGTATTCAAGTTGCCAAGAATGGTGTAACAAACTATACTGCCTTTGAATCATTTGAGTTTGAAGGTAGGTTGAATAAATTATAAAAGATCGATAAACTTCTGTTATATATAGCTAGATATTAGTTCAAATACTGAGAGGACATGAGACAACATTTATTTGGAATCAAAAGAGTTGTTTACCAAAATAAATGAAAAAACAAAAGATGGACATTTACCTTTAATCCTATTTCATTCGGAGTCCCTATTTATCTAAACCTGAGACGTTTATCATGAAAATAACATATTTTTGCCCTGTGCATTATCCTAATACTCAGTGCATATAAAGGAACAAAAAGGATTGGAATTGTTAAGCTTGAAAGAACATCTTCAGCAATCATCATCCCAAAGCTTGAAGCAATTAATTTACAATCATGTGTACAGTACACACCTTGATCGTACATCCAAGGGGATCTATTAGTATTTAAAGTAGTGACACCAGATCAACATGATGTTGATCAGATTAAAAATAGTATATTTTGTGTTCTCCCTTTCCTCTATAGATCTCCGTGGTAGTTGGCTAGGCAACATAACATGCCAAACAACAAATTATAAATTCAGCATGACTATCAGAAACACATCAGACATATCTATACCAAATGGTGATTTTTGGCTAAAATACTGGAATTCTACAAAAGCAGAAGACAAACATGAATTGACAGGAACATATTCACAAAGAGGAAGATCTTTTACACTTTTCTCTCAGACTGAATCAGTCATATTCGACATGACAGTTGGAATGCTTGGTTCTCTAAAAGATGATAATGTAACAATAGAAGTTAAATTCCTGACTAAGGAAAATTTTTGTGAAATGCTTGGAAAAAGAGAAAGAAGTGTAATAGTGAAGAATCTGACTGTAATAAGTGAGTATAGCTACTGTTATTTTCATATTCATATTATTCAATTACCAAAACAATAGGTGTGCAAAGTAAATTACAAAAGCATTGTAAGTTCATTTACTAGGAGAATCTATTATCACAATTTGTTTTTACAAGATCAATTGATAAGTTCATCAAAATCCAAAATCATAATAGTGATTTAAAGTAATAATAATATTCTATAGTATACATGTGCAATAGAAAAAGCGTCTCCATATATGTATCATATACTATGAACAATGTCACGGTATAATTCTTTACTTTATATCCAGAAGAAACTGAACTTGTTGGATGTCTTAACAATGCAACATGCATCAAAACTAAAGATGGATTTGATTTCTACTGTTGTTGTACAGCAGGTAAATGCAAAAATAAATAATCTAGCCTTTGTCAAATACATTGCAAACACATTAATACATGTAGAATTAAGAAAATAAAGTAAGAAATTAAAATATCCAAAAATCAGTCATGGCTCACCATAAAAAATTGGGATGTTATTGTCAATTTAATTCTCAAAATAAACAAGGTGGTCCAAAAAGTGATCCTTACAACAAGATTCATCTCAGTTATTACCCACATTAATGGGCAAATATTCTCACATGTTTTAGGGGCAGGTCTAAAGTTTTTGGAGGTACCATAAAGGTTACGTAGTCTTAAATCTTGCAGAAGTTACATGGCATCAATAGACATGCCTGATTAAAGGATGAAGTGCTCAATCCATGCTCCATGGTTCTATATATTTCACACTTAAGACCTTCCTCTAATACATGTGCGAATATTAGCCCATTAATGCAAGTAAGATGTGGCGTGTTGCGAGGGATCACTTTTTTGGACCACCCTGTATACTTACTTATAATTTCCAGGATATATTGCAAAATAATTTCATCACCTTTTGGTTACAGGTTATACTGGTGAAAGGTGTGAGACAAAACTAGATGATTGTGAAAGCATACCCTGTTTGAATAATGGAACATGTGTAGATGAACTTGATACATTCAGCTGTATATGTCCAGAAAACTTCAATGGGACAGTTTGTGAAACTGAATTAGCTTACAAAACATCTGCCTGTAATCCAGACCCATGTTTAAATGATGGAGCATGTGTTGTAAATGGGACAGACTATACATGTTCTTGTGCTGAGAACTTTTATTCTTATGACTGCTCAATATATTGCCAAAGTACAGATGACTGTACAGGACATTACGAATGTGATGAAATCACAGGTGAAAAACTTTGCAAATCAAACTGGACAGGTGAAGATTGCACAGCATGGCAGGATGAAGAACCTCTATGTTTGGTTCCTGCTCCAGCAGGTAGTATGAGGTGGTTTGCATCTGGCAACCATTAGTTCCTAAATTTAGGTATGATGCATATGATGTGCCACATTTATGGGTAAAATGTATGAAAAACAAAAAACATGTATTATATCAATCCTTTGAATTATTTTAATAAGTTATTTATGCTTTACAGGAGGTTTTACAGGGTGGCTCGGACCATGGGTTGCTAGCTATGACTGTGATGGACAAAACTTCAATGTCCAATGGAACATTGAGAGCATGAATTTATTAAACACTAAACCAACAGGACAATTGATTTACTGGCTAGATGATTACTCAATAAATAACACACAACAATTCATGGGAACTGTAATCGAAAACAAAGGCACAGTTCTATTTATGAGAATGAGTAGTGATAATATGTCTGAGTACAACTCAATGAATGGACAGATTGAGCTAAATAATTCAAGCCAGGTTTTAACCTTTACTCCAGCAAGAGGTGGACCATGCTTTGAAAGAGCATTTGACATGATACGGCCCACAGGTAACAGTTAATACCCTTTCACCATTCAAACAATTGATTTTCAGCAAAATTAATATAATATGAGTCACCAAGTATTATTCCATTATAAATCTATGGTCAGTGTAATAATAATGCAAAAGGATACCTGGTAAGAGGTTCTATACATTATGTATATGCCATATTCGTGAAGTCAAATGAGAAAAGTCATTTCCAAACTATAAATCAAATTGGATTAATCAGAATTGATCGGGAAGAATTAAAAGCAAGGAAGACTACTTTACAGCATTATCTGATCTGTTGCAGAAACCACAAAGGCATGTCTGAACAATGCAACATGTGTACAAAATGGCACTGAGGCAGACGAGTTTTACTGCTGTTGTCCTGATGGTAAATTCTTGACTTGGACACGCTGATTTGAATTTTTATTAAAATCATCTTATGGTTCATCAACAACAAGTTACTTGAATATGCATCACCTTATAATCTTAGTTATCAAAGTAATCTTAGTCATTATTAACATAAACTCTATCATATTTACTGTGTATTTAGGCTTTAAAGGAGATAGGTGTGAGATTGAAACAGATGTTGACATGTGTGACCCCAATCCGTGCCAGAATAATGGTACATGCTACAGTGAAAATGATACATTCAATTGTACATGTGAAGATAACTACTTTGGTAAAACATGCAGCACATATTGTGAGCCACGAGACAATTGTAGTGGTCACTACACTTGCAGTAAAATTGATGGGAAAATTGAATGTCTTGATGGCTGGACAGGTGAAACATGCAACAATCAAATTGAAGAGCTAGAGTGTAAAGTAGAAGAAATAGTTCCAAAGTTTACTGATAAGGGTAAGTAAAAGAGAAGAGAATTAATCAATTTTTCATGGCAGATCTTATTTTCCTTATTTAAATAGTAATGAATAATAATCAATTATTCTGTTCAAACCTTCAAAGTTCTATACATTTGGTGGACCTTTTGGGCTTCGTCATATCTGTGCATATACAAATGTTGTTCAATAAATACTTATACACCTGCTCTCATTTTCTTGTTTATGAGGGAGTAAGTCTGAATTATTCATCAATCATTCATCATCAATTATTCATCAATTTGATTGTTTAATTTCAATATGTCATATTTGGCTTATTCTTAAATAAGATTTCCAATTTTAAACTTTCAGAATCATGATGATTGGATTCGGAAATTATGTCTTTGACTTATATCTTCAATTCTATATTCTCAAAACAATTTCATGAAATTCATCAATGTGGACATCAAATTTTGACCCATTGTAATGGAGATATAACATTGAATTTTGCAGACTTAATAGAGGATGGAATCAAGATACAGATTTATTTACTTTATCAGGTTTTCTTTTGTTCCACGCTTAGAAAATAGTCGTTCAAACAAATATGGGGGTTAACATGTAAACCTATGAGGAAAACCACTGGTCCTTATTTTTTTTTTGAGGAGTATATAACATAACCCGACTAACTCACTGTTCAAAGAATACAGATTGGCCAAACAATTTCAGCCTTTCAAGGCATTCACAAAATTAATTCAATTTAATGATGCCATATAGACCATGGGACCATTGGTTCACATTTTAAAGTCAATGTATCTCAAGAAGTATAGTGTGTATGGTCCTGAAATTTCAGATATGAATGTAAGATAGGTGAAACTATACCCATAGGAAATATCTCTTCTCTTGAGAAGCATTAGTGCAAAACTTTTTGAGCGACCCTTGTATAAAGCTTGACAGATCAAAAAAAATTGATAACATATTGCAAGCTTTGATGTGGCCCGTTTGAGCTGTTTTTGGTGTCAAATGAAAGATAAAGTACTTATCAATCCATTGGAAATACAATGAAATTCAAAGTAAGACTTTATTTCCCACAAAATGTTGAAAATATGCAAAGTTAGCCTTTAAGTTCTCTTATTCACTTCTTATATTAAATCATTTTCTTGCATCATATGATCCCTTCTAGAACTAAAGTGTCAGTCTTGTCAAGATTTGAACTAAAATAAAGTGATTAAAAATATAAAACTGCTCCGGGCATCCTCATCCATGCATTTTGATGTAACTTTAAAAATAACAAGTTAAATGTATAATATTTGGTCAAATTTATCTTTATTCCTTTACAAATAAGAAAATGTGACCATTTGAATCAGTATTTATTGAACAACACTCATACTAAATTGTGTTTTAAAGGTATATTCCTTGCCAGACCATCTCTTTCTTAATATGGTAGCTAAAGCCATAGTACTATGATATTCTTTCCATGATTAGCAAAACATGGACACATGTTTTGATATAGTCCATATTGATTACTAAAAATGTAGTACTCAAATCCAGTAGACTGCTATCTTTTATGATTTCACTCCGGAGGCAATGATCAATTAAAACATATGTAGTTATCTCTAGGATAAGCACATGTCTCCCTTGGATAATATAGGTTAATTAACCTCAGACCATTTAAGCCATGTATGACTGACTGTCAAATTCAACCAAGACTGATTGTTCAGGTGGGTGAAGGAATGTTCAAGAAACCCTTGCATTGAGTAATTAAATGTTGAGCTTGTGTACCCATATTTACACAAACTATTGACAATGAATTGTTCTTAAATTAGCCATAGTATAAAACGATAATACATGACTAACAAAAAAAGTTACAATGGATGGAAAAATGTTCCTGGGCATGTCCTCCACCCCTCTGAACAATCAGTCTGAGCTGTATTTCGCAGTCATATAATGGGTTAAATGATAGGTTTTAAGATGTATTGTGCCAGATCTGAAAAACAGCTGAGGTCAATTAAGCTATATTATCCAAGGGAGACATGTTTAGCTTCTTCTAGAGTTAACTACATATGTTTTAATTGATGGAAATTACGTAAAGACGATTTGAAAGGTTGTATGGTAAGAAAGGTACTGTATTTTTTAGCAATTATACATTCATATTTTTTATCTTTAACATTTTCACAAATAATCATTTTACGATTATCTGAATTTTTGTGGAGTGACCTGCAATAATAATGAAAATTGATAAATAAAAAAATGTTCCAATTTTAACTGCCCCACCCTGTAGGTAAGGAGCTATTAAGAATTACAAGATTTTCAAAATGGCAGCTGTATTTCAACATGGCTGCAATTTTTTGTTTAAAAACATAATCTTTGATAACTCAATTACCAGAGGATGGATTCGGTTTTTACATGCTGATGCCTTAGGAGCTCGTCTCAGGAAGAAGAAATTTTCAAGATGGCCACTACAATTTATCAAAATGTGTTTTGTTCGTTGGGATTTGCTACTTTTTGGAGTTGCTGTTTTTATAGTTCAAATCCTTCTGATGATCTACTCTTTAATGCAAAGAAAGAAAGGACTTCTCTTCTCAAAGTGATTTTGTGCTACTTTCCTCCATTGTAAAACACAAGGTTACTGGAAATGAGTACTACATTTTTGAAATGATCAATATATCAAAACATTTCCCCGTGTTTTGCTGAATATGGAAGGTATATATATAGCTAACATATCAGGTCTGGCAAGGAATGTCCCTTTAATGCCAGTATTCTTCATTGTAGATTGTATGATAATCACAAACTGGCGTTTCCGTAACATATCACGATCTACCTTCATCCAGCAAACTGAAGCTTGTACTGGTACAACTCAGACATTATGTGAACTGCCAAAGGAGGGATCAGGTAATGTATGTTACAAATGTAAAAATAAATGGCTACAGTATTTAGTTTTTCTATAAAGTCGCCAAAATTCCTTTAAGTAATTATAATAGGCAAGCATCAAATTAGTTATCTAGCAATCTGCATGGCTTACATACATTTGAAAGTGCAATTTACATTTCAGAATGCCCCATAGGTTTCAATATTACAGTTGGGCAAAGTTGCTACTTCATGAATTTGGATTGGCAAACTTCACATGCAGATGTTGATGAGATCTGCTCCTCTGTCAATGCATCTATTGCACACATTGAAACACCATTTGAGATGGAACAACTAGGACTTGAATTCGAAAAGTTGGAAGACTTAGTTAGGGATTTTAAGGAATTTCCTATTGCTAGTTACTGGCAGAGAGGTATGTATTTCAGTAGTGTACAGTATTAAAATATTATGGAACAACCAGATTATACATTTTTGAAATTATGAATGAATTTGTTGTGATAACAATTCACAACAACATATCCCCCAATATGGTAACAATGAATTTTTGCAAATTTACAAAAACATATCCCGGCCCAGACCACAGAAACAATGAATTTGTCTTGCGATAAGTTTACAACAACATATCCAAGGGTATGATAGTGCAAAGGGGTGTCACGTCGACGTGTGGGGTAATGTCAACATAAGAGACAGGGTAACTTCCACGCTTACTTATTAGAAGTAGAATTTCCATTTTCGGGAAAAATTAAAATCTCGCGAGATCTTTATCAATGCGAGAAAAACAATGGCTCCCCCTAGATCAAAAATTAGAGCAAAATAAACAAGAAGGTGTCAATGTTACCCCACAAGTCGAAGTTACCCCAAAATGGTGTTGATCTAGTTGATTTGCCCTAGTCATCATCTGACCCTTATTTTTGATGTTGCACTTACTCGTTTACTCGATTAAGATAGAAAATGATTACAGGATTGGTATCGATATGGTGAACTGAATTCAACAATGTTTTTCTCATAAACCAATTATTGAAAACATTAAAAAAAACACTGTCCTTTATGTAATTTTGACTCATTGACAACAATTTAATGCAAAAAGTATCTATATATATTTTATATATCTGTTTTTGTTAAAAAATTTTGTTTTTTAGTGCATTCTTGAGAATGAAATAAAATATCTTTCCAAACCTTGTTGGAACAAAATAGCATATACAACATTTTCTTAAACCTCTCAATATTATAGTTATACAACGGAAAATTTGGCTGGTTTGGTTCAAAAAATTAAAACAAATACCCCCCAAAATAGATAAAAATTAAGATAAACCTCTTATTTCATTAACAAGATACTTTTTTTATTTAAATCAACCTAAATTTCTTTTGTACAATTACAATATTGTGTTTATGTCATTTTGTTCAAATGAGGTTCGGATAGATGTTTCATTTCATTCGGGACATATGATACCAAGAACAAAAGAAGTGACTTAAACAATATAGAGAAAAGTATATATACCCTTAAGAAAAAAGCCATGGTAACCATGGTATTCCATGGTGCGCCCATGGTAATCCATGGTTTTCCATGGAAATTCATGGTTTTCCATGTTATTTTCCATGGAAATTCATGGATGCCCATGGTAATCTTCCATGGATATTTACCATGATTTTCCGTGGTAATTGTTGGTTTGGTAATTGGTTTTTAATGGATGTGTCATGGAGATGTAAAATCAACAATTTTGGTAGGATTTGTATTTACCAAAATCTCCAAAATGAATGTTTTGATGATATATCCCAGTTAGACTGAGACTTATCATTGAGAAAAAAGGGTGGACATTTCATTTTGAAGGTATAGCATGAACATTCATTGAATGTTAGACTCAGCTTACAAATGAGAAAATATGTGAAACAGCAGAGCAGAGAGTAGGCCACAAGATTTCAAAAACAATTGTGCAAAGGTCTTTTGTGTAGATCAAGACTAGATAGAGATTGCTTATTTTTTAGGCCAAACACTTCTTTCCTTTGAAAAAGATTAAGTCAAACTAGCCCAAGCTCTGTTTTATTTCAATACTTTAATTTTCAGTTTTAAAAATCAATATGAAGTAATTTAAGAAATAAATAACTCATTTTCTTAAATTACATTTCGTACATTTGAGAATACAATCAAAAACCATGGTTTCTTTCTTTGAAGTTGAGAAAACTGCAATCAAAAGCCATGGAAGACGGTTGATTGCAATCGAAAGCCATGCTTTTCCATGGTTATTTCTTTGATGTTTTGGAAAGTGCAATCAAAAGCCATGGTTTTCCATGATTATTCTTTTGATCTTTTGAAAGTCCATGGTTTTCCATGGGCTATTTGTTTGGTCTTTTGGAAGCAGAAAAATGAATAATACATTATGTTTCTAAATGAAGTTCTCCAAATTAAGTCCCATTCAACTTTTATAAGCATATTATCTGAAACAATCCACAGAAAAGTATATACTTTTACAGAATTTTGACTTGAAATTGAGATGGGGGATTAAACACAAGCCTATGGCTGCAAACTGAAATGTTATACCTAAGTGATAAAAATTCAATTTGTCTATGTAAGAATATTATATTTAAAAAGAAGTTGCATGAAGGAAGGGGAGGGGGTTAACAACACCATTTGGCTTAAAACATGAAACATAGTATAAGTAATTAAAATTGATTTGTCTTTGAATAGGAATAAATAATCATTTGCATAATCTTTTAATATTTGGTTGCCATTATTCTATGTTAATTGGGTGTCTTAAGTCTCAAATTAATGTCAAAAGATTAATCTCTTTACAACAGATTATAAGAGTTCATTTGCACAATTCTTAAATATTCTGATCTTAATTGTTATTATATATGATAATCTTACTCTTTCTAATGCTCCCTCTTCGGTAATTATTATTGTCTGTGAGTGTAGACAGTGCAAGTCAAAAACTCATTGTTGATCAAATAAAACCAAATAGGATTTACTCCAAGTAAAAATGTTTATTCAGTCTGCAATAAGGGAATCCAGTGAGCTGATTTTATCACTTATTTTGTCTTTTTTACATAAGTGCCAAAGTTAAATGATAGCAAATCCCAGCAAACAAATTATTACTTTTAATTGTGGGGTCAAATCATCAATTAAAAAAATATTAAGTAAACAGTTCTTTGTCATATGACACTATGTACAGAATGTACTAAACATATATTCAGATTGTAAAAACATGGTTGTATTTCAGGCCTGAAACCAGCTTTTGTCAAGAAGGTTGACTTTCTCAAAGATTTTGGGGTGGGGGGGGGGTGTCATATTCTTTTATCTATGATTAATGAGACTAATTCTCAATCCAGCTTGGATTCATTCGTTAAAATATTGATTCAATTTTGAAGATTTTGGTAAAAACAAAACCTGCCAAAATTGTTGATTTTACAACTCAAGTGTAATGATAAAAACATGGCATGTTCATGAAAAAACAATTACCAAACCACCAATTACCACGGAAAATATTCATGGAAGATTTTTTTTTTAAATGGTGGCCATTTTGAAATTCAGTGGCCATCTTGAAATCGACTTCTCAATTAGAGCTTCATTGTCCCTTGGGATCAACATATAAAATTTGAACCAAATCTGTCAATTGGCATTTGAATTTACAAAGATTACATTTTTTACATGTGGCCATTTTGAAATTCAGCCGCCATCCTGAAAATACTTTTTCGAACAGAGCTACGTTGACCATCAGCATCTAAAATTTGAATCAAAGATAATGTTTTTTACAAAAAAGGCGGTCATTTTAAAATATAGCGACCATCTTTAAAATCTCTTCTTTAGCAAAGCCCCATTGTCTTTAACCATCAGCATATAAAATTTGAACTAAATCAATCCACTAGAGCTTGAGTAATCAAAGGTTACATTTTTTATGAAAAAATGGTGGCCATTTTGAAGTGAGCAGCCATATTAAAATTCCCTCTTGAGCAGAGGTCCAACACCCATAAGGCATAAGCCTATGAAATTTGAATCAAATCGGTGGGACAGACAAACGTACTTACGGATGGACATCTTGTAATTTACACTGTCCCACATTTTTTGTTAGAGAGCAACAGAAGCAACAATCTTTACATATAGATAAATTCATTTGCATCTACACCATGTAGGTAGATTATAGTTTTTGATTTTATCTATTTGTCATATCCGCTTTTTAATTAATCATAGGTTTTAACCAATATTAATATCATTTTTTTAAATCCAGTATCATATTAATTAATGGGAAATATCCATATTAATATTAAGTCATGATTGGTCACAGATAGATGGACGAACGGATGGCCACAGCTTTCATATATCCCCCACAAATTTCGCTTGGAGGGATAATTAATGCAATAAACATGATGTATATAATATACGATATAAATTGTAAATTAAGAGATCACACAGCACCATTCTTCAAAAATGCTAACATTCTTAATATATTTAGAATTTTTAAAGACAGTATCCTGACATATCTTTTCAAATGTATCAAAGGCACTGACCCAACATCCAAAAACCAATTCAGTTATTACTTCACTCCAAACAATATTATTCATAGACATGAGACTAGACAACAATTCAAACTCAGATCAGCAACTTTTAGAACAAACATTGGCAAATATTCCATCAGTAAGCAGGGACCAGATTTATGGAATATATTACCTGATGAAGTTACTAAGTGCAACTCTATACCTCTTTTCAAGAAAAAGATCAAGTCATTTTTGATCAATCAATGATAACAATCTCCAATTAGCTATTCACTTATGCTGTCTACCTAGTAGCTATTGTTATCGTTCTTTCTTTTTTTTGCTCATTGTTTTTATTCCATCATCTAATTGGCAAAGCCAACATATATCATCACCTATCATTTTTCAAAGCACTTAACCTTATTCGAATATACTGCTCAGACTGCAGAGACTGTAACTGGCAACCCAGTTTACTTTCCATATTGTTAAGACCATGCTGACGGGTGGGGGATGGGGGTGGGGAGTGTGAGGCTGGAGATACATAATTTACACAACACTGCTTGTCATGTTCATCTTCTCTGTGCGGATAATATGCCCATTAGGGTGTCATCCGCCTTATCTGTATGTTTCACCAGATGTTTGAAAATAAATAAATGAAATGAAATTAAATAAAAGGGTTTCATTGGAAATTCTATTGTATGTGTGAAAGAACTGTGCAAGATTGCTCAGATTTAAAATAAATTAAAAATACTTCATTTTGTTTATTTTTGTTTAATATATTTTCAGTACAAGTTGATATTTGTTTAAACAATGGAACATGTGTACATAATGGCACAAGTGCAAATGACACATACTGCTGCTGTGCCCAAGGTAGGTATACTTCATACTACATGTAGATGGTTGATTAAAGTTGTACTCTACCCAATTTACTTGATTTAGATATATTCATGCTATCTTAACGTATGAAGGCAACACTTTATGATGGTGAGCCATCAACAATTCCAAAATGGCGATTGAAGGGATGTATAATGTCATATCTTGTAATGAAATAAAATCTTAATAAAAAAAACAATTCCAAAAGTTCTTTTTATCATGATATCGGGGATATAAAGTCAGCAGGTGTCTTTTTTCGCGGCAAAACTGATTTCTTTCCAGAGCAGAGAGTTGATGTGTGTGGTTGAAACAATTTGCCACGAATTACGATTTTGTAGATAAAAATGAAACCATGGCTTTCAAAATCGAGTTATTTGCTCTTACGTTGAGCCAATTATTGCATGATAGAGGCTATTCTCATCAATTTTGCAAAGGGTATAATATCACTTGCAATTGAGTGCAGAATCAATCGAGCTGAAATGCTATTGAAAGCAAGTAATTTATGTAACAGCAAACATTGCCAGTGTTAAAACATTTTAACCTGAATATAATGCTTTAAGGCCAAAATATAATTATCTGGTTAACATTTTCTATCTATATATGGTAATGAATAATATTGCCTCAAGAATTTATTTTTGAGAAATCAACTAAAAATATTTATTTGGCTATTGGAGTGCTTGCGAATGTGGAACTAATGTATATTTCTACTTTGGTTCAGCCTTCGTAGTAGTTTGCATCAACAACTTTTCGATTTAGCGCCAGAATAACTTGGCACACAGTACGTCATGGTCAGGTGACCTCAAAAAGTGCGCGAAAATAACAACATTTCAGAGGTTGATAGTCTTATCTTAATAAATCATGCTGCGTGGGGAAATATCACAAGCTGTGTTTTAGTACAACTTTAATATATTCCTGAAAAGTCATATATATTCAGACCATTTATAACAAGAAAAGTGAATTGGGTCATTTAACCTGCAAAAGTGAATAAATTATTGTATACATGTATTGTTATTTCATTTCATGATATATTATGATGTTTTAGGCTTTGAGGGAGATAGATGCCAGATTGAGAAGGATGAGTGTGCATTTGATCCCTGTCAGAACAATGGAACATGTATTGATACAGCAGATTCTTACACTTGCAACTGCACACTAGGATATAGTGGAACAAATTGTGAAGATATCATTGACATGTGTAATCCAAATCCATGCCAAAACAATGCTCAATGTTTCACTGAGGGTAACACCTTCAATTGTAATTGTACGGATAACTTTTTTAATAAAACATGTGGCACATATTGTGAACCAAGAGATGATTGTGGTGGCCACTACACTTGTGATGAAACTGATGGCAGTTTTGATTGCTTAAGTGGATGGACAGGTGATGCGTGTAACATTCAATCTGAAGAGCCATTGTGTACTGTTGAAGAAATTATACCAAAGTCTATTACATCAAATGTAGATATAGAAGGTTGGTATTTATAAAATTTAATAAATGTAACATTGCCTTGCCTATGTTTAAAATTGAAAGTTATGGCAACAAATTCAATTTCATCAAGACTATCCTCACCAAAACATCGCGTTTTACAGATTTTTTACTGTTGCAGACATTTGTATCCTGTGGGAACCAATTGATATCATCCTTGAAATGCAGTTATTTGGAAAAAGTTAAAATATATACAGGGTGGGCCAAAAAAACCGCCGCTTTTTTTCAAAATGCTATAACTTTTTTAATTTTTGATACAAAATCATAATTTACATACCAAATGAGACTTGAGGTTGTTATCTAGCCATTGATCATGAATTATACACTTTTACTTGAATAAAATATGTCACCAGCGTCTCACTTAAACATGTGGTGTGCAATGAGAAATAAGCATAATTTGCAAAATGTTCCTAAACTGATACGCCCTGATGACCGCCAGCTAATAGCCCTAATTCAAACCCAAGTGAGTATAGAGTATGGGGAGGTCTCCAGGAGATGGTATGAAGGCACCCAATCTAAAAAATTGCTTAACTAAAGCTGGCAATCAAGACACGTTGAAAAAAATATAGCTAGCATTTCATTAATACTGCTATATCAGCAAGGCGACTAAAATCTATCATCAAATGGGGTGGCGGACCAATTGAACTCCTCTTTTTAGATCAAATATAATCCCAGTTGAAGGACTTGTTACATTATATTATTACTAAGAATCCTTGGCACTATATAACTGCAAAATTTGGGGTATGTAGGTTGGAAAATAAAAAAGTTATAGTGTCTTGAAAAAAAGTGGCGTTTTTTGGCCCTCCCTGTACAATAAGTTTTTTTAAGGCAACAATGTGTGACCCCATATTAGAGGCAAAAGCCCCTGTTACAATCAAAATGAAATATATTTTCAAAAGGGAAGTTAGTACTTTGAAATGGTATGTTTAGTCCTTGTTGTCGAGTACCTAACAATGACACTTCACTATTTTTGGAGCAGGTTAGGGACAACATGTAAAACCAAAATCCAACAACTGGTATTAAGTAATAAAACATTACATTACAAATATGTATCCTTGCAATGCGATTTTAAATTGTTTTAAAATCAAAGAATTTTCTATTTTGGTAATTTTTAATGTATTAGACAATGTTGAACATCACATTTATGAATGTATGTGCATGGAAAAACGTTGATAAAATTATATTTGCTAATAAGAAAACAAAAATGTGATACATGTATAAAAATTATGTAAATGTAGAATTGGAAAAAAAGAAAAAGATCACTTTTTAAAAATAAACACTCATTGTTTTTTGACTGCCGACGACGCCTAGCTACCGCATAGACGCACGCCGCTGACCATATTATGAAAATGGAAACCTGTTAAGAAACATTAAACTTTGATTTTTTTATAAATAACAAATATACGAGATATACTCTAATTTTTTTTATGAATAACAAATATAAATATACTCTAAACTATTACAACATTATTTGTACATTGTGTAATAAAGTTTACATTCTTCATTACAGAGTGTTTGATAGTCACAAACTGGCGTTTCCGTGGCGAATCACGATCTACCTTCATCCATAAATTTGAAGGATGTACCGGTACAACCCAGACATTATGTGAAGTACCGAAGGAGGGATCAGGTAATGTGTGGCCATGTTGTATTTGTCTCTGACCAACAATTTTTTATTACTTTTATTTAGAATAGTAATAATAGGCAAGTATTAAATTAATCATTCAATTAATTTGCAGTGTGTACATATATTTAAAAATCCAATTTACTTTTCAGAATGCCCAAGTGGTTTCACTATTACAGTTGGGCAGAGTTGCTACTTCATGAATTTGGATTGGCAAACCTCACATGCAAATGCCAATGCGACATGTGCCTCTTTCAATGCATCTTTCGCACACATTGAAACACCATTTGAGATGGAACAACTGGGACTTGAACTGGCAAAATTTAATGACACAGTCAGGGACTTTAAGGAGTTTCCTATTGCTAGTTACTGGCAGAGAGGTATTAATAAGTAAATTACTTCCAACTATTGCACAAAAGATATCTGGATAAAAATCTGTGACCATCAATATATTATATATATTACATGTATTTGAAGTTTGAATCGATTTAACAATAACCGAACAAAAACAACATAGAATAACATTTAACAATATCATGGTACAAAACAATAAAAACTCTAACATGAAGTAAAACAAATAACTAATTTTTCTGACTAATTACAGTAAATGTTGATGCTTGCTTGAACAATGCAACATGTGTAAGGAATGGATCTGAGTCGGATGACTTTTACTGCTGCTGTGCAGATGGTGAGTGCATTGTTTACATAAAATCTTTGCAATAAAAGGTAGACTACATGTAGACAAATCGCTCCTCATGTTAGTTTTCATTATTTTAAACACTTTTCACCATAAAGAAAAAAACTTTTCAAACATTTTTCACTAAAACTGCTCTTATTTGAACAAATGTTTTCCAATTTACACAAAAATTGTTTTAAATGTGTAGAAATGATCTCTGCTGTCTAATTTTACTAAGTTGAGCATCTAAGGTTGTATAGGTATGTAGCAAAATATCACAAGGTGGCAAAAATGAAAAATTCTCTGGTTTCAACCAATTTTAGAGCCTAGAATTCAAGAGGTTAATTAATATACTTTGCATGTCATAAGAAAATACATTGTCCTTAATATCAAATATTGTATTTTGTTTAGGTTTTGAAGGAAAAGCATGCAATGAAACCAACATTAATATGTGTGATCCAAATCCATGCCAGAATAATGCTACATGCATCGATGGAGAAGATAACAACTTTACATGTGAATGTGAGGATAATTTCTTCAATGATACATGTGATGTGTATTGTGAACCTAAAGATGATTGTGGGGGCCATTATATGTGCGATGAAAGTGATGGCAGCATCATATGTCTTCCTGGCTGGGAAGGTGAAATGTGTACAAACCAAACAGAGGATCAAGGCTGCATTGTGGAGGACAGCATTCCCCCAGAAGGTAAGATAGTGTCAACAAACCATGCTAATTATTTATTCAAGTTTTGCATATTGATATCTGGTTTTACAGTTTTCAAAAAATAGTCCTTCATAAGAAGTGGCAGCCATCTGAATTAAAATTTAGAGTGAAAATTTAGATTTGAATATTAAATTTACATTTTTTTCTGAAAATGGTGGCCAGTTTTGAATTCATTGGCTATCTTGAAAATTTATCGGCATAGGGTATTTTAACTAAACCATCAGCTTTACATTTCTTATGAAAAAGAGGACTAGAAATGAGTGGCTAAATTGAAAATTCCTTTTTGAGCAGAGATCCTATTTTCTCCATTAGGTATAAGCATACTTAATTTGAATGAGTAAAGCTCTATTCTTCCGAATACCCTTTTGATCAGAAGTAACATCATCCAAAAATTAAATCAATAAAAAATATGTTATTATTAAGTTGATCAGACCCAAAGTATTGAAGCTATATAATATAGTACAGCTATATTTGAACATCGGTTCTGACAGAAGGTATAATAGTGCTGTACATTAGCAATTCATATGTCAGACCATGTCTTTTATGTTTAATCTCCATTTTTTGTCTGTTGCAGATAAGTTCAGAAAGCGTTGCATGAATACAAGTGTTATATTTAAAATTGATTAAAATCAGAAGGTGGTAATAACAGTGGGTTACATTCATTTTACAATTTACTTTCCAGGGTTTACAAACTAATGTCTACTTAATTTTCAGTCTGAGAAAATGAGGTTTATACATTCTAAAACAACATTTTACATTTTTCTTTAGGGTTGGGCTTTGTAGGTCATCCAATAAATGGAGTACCAGGAGGTGAGAATCTACCTGGGGCTGGCTATACCGTTTTTATCTTAGATGATAACAAAGTGGAAGTTGATGGCACCATTGTTCAGTTCACAGCTTATTTCATCAGAGCCAATCCTGTATGGTTCCAAATATGGCGTCAAATGAACACGTTAGCAACAGAGGCGCAACTTGAATTGACACTTGTTGCTCAACAATACTATAATCCAAGTGGCCCTGGAAAACATACTGTTAGTCAATTTGATATTTCGAAAATTGTCTAATAAAGTCTTTAAACATCTTGTCTGGAGAAATAAAAAGTTCACTAAAATCTAGATTGAGAAGCAATTTGAAGAAAGGAAATAATACCTCACAACATACTGCCTCACTTGTTCAATCATATTCATACCATAATAATAAACAGTATATAATATAAAAACCATTATAGACTAAAACACATTGAGCATTTTTCCTTTCTTTTAGGTTGACATTCAGTATGGGAAAATTCGAGTTAGGCCTGGTGACAGGATAGGATTTTTAAATATTAATGATACCATTGCCATAAGTTATGAATTGGCTCTACAGGTAGACTTACATAAGTATGTTCTTCCTGAAGGCCTAACTTCATTGTCAATTGGCACAGAAAGTACCTTTGACAATCTGGAGATCCCAAACTATTTCTCACTTGGCGCATATTACCAACAAGGTATTCTTGTGGTTTATATAAATACTATACACATAAGTATATATGACTGTGTAAATATATAAAATATGAAATGGTACTTATGTTAAAAACTTTGTACTCAAAAAAGTATATTGTCATATATGCAATTTAGCCAGGGGTCTTGGGCATTTCAGATACTGTAGAACATACTACTTGTATGTTGGCATAGACTGGTACAATTACTGTACACTTGTATTGTACATGTACACTAATATGCATTAGGTCTTTTTGCTTTTGATGTGTTATTCTTTATCTATATGAATTTGTGTTCCAGACACTGACCTTCTCCTAGTGTGCAGACTGTGCTAAATTCTTCTTTTGCCTCTGTCTTTATTATTTCATTACATGCTATTTGATTTGGGAGTAAATTAGAGTTCAACTTGAGGACATCTACTGCCTACCTGTTATCTATCTATTTCATTACATGCTATCTATCTATTTCATTACATGCTATTTGATTTGGGAGTCAATAAGAGTTCGACTTGAGGACATCTACTGCCTACCTGTTATCTATCTATTAAGATGCTACTGTACGAGGAGTTTACATCTTACATTCTGTACTAACATTGTAGAACTAATGGATTTTTCTTCTTTTAGTATGTGCTTCCTTCTGATTGATATTGATTATTATCTAAATATTTCATCAGTGTTAAATTCTACCAGAATCTTACGAATCTTTAGGTTCTTTAATTATAATACAGGGTGTTTCAAAAGTAACAGGACTGGTGCTGGTATTTTTCAAATATGCACCAATCGTCTTCAAAATTTTACATAATGTACTTTCATGTATTTTCACTAAAACTGCAACATTTTGACCAAAATTATGAAAATCGGGTAGAGTTATGGTTGCTATGGTAACATGACATCACAATACCCGGGGCAGCATTCCACATAGAAAGTTACAGAGACTTAAAGCATTTTGTACATCCAATATCAAAGTTGAAATGCAACAACTGGTGAGAATTACATTTGATTTACATCATTTAATATTCCCCGATCCTCTACTTTAAAAAATAGGCCCATCTTTGGTCAGGACAAGAGAAGCGCTCTGTATCCATGACTCAAATATATGAGTGAACCCATTGGTCAATTGGACAACTTGGAGAAGGTAATTCTCATCTTTAAAGGTCTTACCACACTAATTAGCATTCCGTTCTCCATTTAAGTAAAAATTAGATATATGATCAGAAGAGTACAGTGCATGGTCTGAGACCTCAAGACCTAGATCCTCTATAGCCACAGGCTGGTATCGAAATATTTGTCCGCTGTGACGGAGCATGCTATTTTTCATAAAAACACTAAGAATACTTCACGATTTATTTTTTAACTCATATGTTTCGTTATACCATACAGAATTACTTACTCCATGCAATGGATATATCATTTGCGGGTAACTTTCACTTCTGTTTGAAGTCCAATTACGCTGGGAAGAAAAGCTATTGAAAATGGTGCTGGAGTATCATACTTCAAAATGAACCCTTTCTTGTTTAACTTTCTAATGGCACGATATAGTGACACGATAATATTTACACATGGTTTCAGCATAACTATGAAGGTATAAATGAGATGTTGATGTGTTTGGTCTTTTAAATTCTTTTATAAAAAATAATGTTTAATTTTTTTGTCCGCTCTGACGGAGCAGTTGCAAATGTGAACTGTGAAAATGTTATCTAAGTCGATGACTGACTTCAAATTGGGTTTTTCAAAAACTCAAGCATGAATTGTGCAGACTGTTATACATAGTGATATTCCAGGAGATTGAAGGAATATTATTCTTGTGAAATCATACTTGAATCTGAAATACATAGCAACACCATTACAACAAAGCAACTAATAAAGCAAACAAGAAATGTTGTATTTTTATAGGTGAATTAGATACTTTCTAGTCAGTAATATAAAAATGTTAGAGATATTATATTTTCATGAAAAAGTTGCCCTGGGTATTGTGATGTCATGTTACTATAGAAACAATAACTCTACCCGCATTATATTGTTTTTTCTGAAACTTTACAATTATAGTTCCAATACTTTAATGTAGAATTTGTGAAAATTTGAAGCCACCCAGTGCAGAATTGACAAAATGCCAGCACCAGTCCTGTTACTTTTGGAACACCCTGTATGATTGTATTGTGATTTACTGATGAACAGTTTATTAAATAACACAATCAAATGTGTTAAAATTAAAACATATTCAAATGTAGGTTTATATGTATCAATTTACAAATGAATGTTTATGGTCATTATGAATAATAATACATAAAATGAAATGTTAATACCATCTTTCCTACAAAGAAAGGAAATATTCTTTTGAAGAGCTACACTAAAGAAACTTCAAAAAACATATTTAGTAATCATTTGAGAAAACATTACAGCAAAAGTTACAAGTTGTTTGAACCATTTTTGAGAGATGAGTTGCTATTTTAACCCATTTATTACAGATATTGGTGGTGAATGGAGAGGTACTCTTCACTGTGACTTGGCAAACATTTATGAATTTGCGTTGGTTGTCAACACCACTAATCCCATGGAGGGGACATTTGACTTCATCTACAGAGATCAAGAACACGAGTACATGGTAAAAGGCACATATGCAGCATCGACCCGAGGTTTCACTTCGATTCTTATTAGTAGTAATGGTAGCCACCCCGCTGTTGGATTTGTTCCCAGTGGACTTGATGGAACAGTAAGCTCTGATGGACAAAACTTAACAGGAATAATGACTAGAGACATTGGAAACACCTGCAAACTAACTGGCTCAAGAATCTTTGGTAAAATATGTGTCTTTTAAAAGTTCAAATATACTTTTTTGAATCCTTTTTTCAAGTAAAATTTTTTATTATGTCACCACCATGACTACTGTTATGATCTCCGTTTTTTGTGACGATGGTTGGCAGGTTGGTGCTTGGCATCCAGCATCTGTAACAAATCCCAAAAACTTCCAATAACTTAAACCTGCATCAGTCGCTAAAAAGCAATCATGGGTTGTTTCGATATCCCTGGTGATATTTTGAGTTAAAATGAGAGGATATACAATGATGATCAAATGGGGCAAAAATTTTGTACAAATACTCACTATAAATGTGTCATTATCATGAATGTTCCTTCGATTGCTTCAATGTTCACCGGCCATCTGATTTCTTGAAAAATTCTCGCCTCAGAATATGACGTAATTGGCTTTTAAATGATTTTTCTTGAAATATCAGAACATCCTGGATTTGCCATTGAATTGTTACCAGGTTTACTAAAAGAAGACAATGTAAAGATACTTTCCTGAAAAAAGCAAAGAAATACACACATGCCTTCATACTTTATTTTGTACCAGAAAATAACATGTGCAAGTATTGCAAGTTTTTCAAAAATGTTTTGTTTTAAAAGTACCTTAACAAATACAGTTAAGACAGACTTCAAATTTTTCTAAACCCATCTATAAGCTCTAAGAAGTTCAAATCTGACATTAGATTTGAGATTTGACCTCAATGACCTTCTCAAGGTCAAAAACGGTCAGAAAGATATTTTTTCGACTGCCTTCAAATTGACCAAATTCTTTTTTTAAAATCATCCACAAGTTCTCAAAAGTTCAAATATGACTTAAGTTTTGAGATTTGATCTTCAATGACCCTCTCAAGGTTAAAAAGGTCAAAAAAGTATTTTTTCAACTTGCTTCAAATTGATCAAATTTGTTTTTTTCAAAACCATCCACTAGTTCTCAGAATTTCAAATCTTACTTTAGATTTGATATTTGATCTCCAATGACCTTCTCAAGGTCAAAACAGGTCAAAAGGTCTTTTTTCAACTTGCTTCAAATTGACCACATTTTTTTCAAAATCATCTACAAGATCTCAGAAATTCAAATCTAATTTTTAGATTTAAAACTTGACCTTCTCAAGGCAAAAAGGTCAAAAAGGTTTTTCCAACTTACTTCAAATTGACCAATTTTTATCAAAATCAACTACAAGTTCTCAGAAGTTCAAATGTGACTAAGATTGAACTCATTATGAATGTCATGAGCAACTAGGTGGTGACATTTTGTCATGTTAATGCCTTGTCTTTTCTTACGTATACTATTATCTAAATCATTTTATGCACTTACAGAACGTATATCAGCGTGTAAGAATAATGCAACATGTGTTCGAAATGGAACTGGCCTTGGAGATTTCTATTGCTGTTGTCAATCAGGTATGTTATTTTACATTCTGAAAAAAATATGTCTACAATCTCCATTTTGCCAAATTGTAAATAGTACCATTCCAGAAAAAATTGCTTTTTAATTTTTTGAATGCTTTTTGATTTCTTTCTTTGAATGAGGGTAATATGCAATCATTATAGTATATGTGATGTAATCATTCACAAAACAGTTATTGAGCATATAGATATCAAGGTCATTACAATAGAAAAAAGTATACTTTTTTTAATGACTTACCACTATATCTATTAGGGTTTGAGGGTGAGCGGTGTGAAGAGGATATAAATGAATGTGACAAGAACGAGACACTCTGTATGAACAATGGCACATGTGTCAACACTGTTGGAAGTTTCTACTGCAATTGTACTGACCAATATGAGGGTAAGTTGATTAGTTAGGGCTATTTATCTAATTCTGGCTCACAAGCTTTGCAATTTCTTTATGTTTTATTGAACAGTTTACCCACCATGCTTCCTCGATGTCACCTGATGCAATCCATCCATTACTTCTTTAATCCACGTAGAGGTTGCATTAAAAGCTTCACTCCAATCCAAACTTTTTTTCTTTTTCACTAAATCCTACTCTTGCCAGTTGACAAAATAATCATACATTCTTACATACTGCATCTGCTTTGTTTTGACAAATTTGAAGTTGTACAGGGTAGTCCAAAAAGTTATCCCTTGCAACAAGCTATATCTCATTTATTACTTGCATTAATGAGCTAATTTTCTCAAATGTTTTAGCTGAATGTTTTTGAATGTTGAAGTTCTTTACTGCTCAAAACACAGTTGAAAAGGTGTTTTTTGACCCCCATGTCACATAAATGATTATATCTCGAGCCAGGGTTGTTGAAAATTGTTCTATTTTATATCATTTTGTTGCAAATTAAATTATCTTTAAAATGATATATCTTTTTTGGTGAACATGTAAAAAATGAATATTTATCAGGAATATTGGCTAGGGGGGGTGTTTTTTGGCCCACCCTGTAGATTGTTTGTGTGTAAATTTTGATTTTGATCAATTTATTTCAGTGTGACAAACTATTTTGTAGGTGAATTTTGTGAGATTCCAATTGGGTGTGCTGAGGATCCATGCAAGAATGGAGGGACTTGTAATGGAACAGATGCTGGGTTTGAGTGTTACTGTGCAGAACAATTCACAGGTAGAACATGCGAGACATCACTTCCATGCTTTTCTGAACCATGCTTTAACAATGGGACTTGCAAATCCAATGATACTGGTGATGCAGAATGCTTTTGCTTAGATGGGTTTAGAGGAGAGTTTTGTGAGATAGAGCTTGGTTGTGCAAAGATGCCATGCTTTAACAATGCAACATGCAATAATACAGATGATGGTGGTGGGTTCAACTGTACATGCCTGATGGGATACCTTGGAGACCTATGTGATCTAGAAGATGAGTGTATTTTCAATAACCCATGCCAGAATAATGGGACTTGTGAATCCAATGATACTGGTGATGCAGAATGTTCTTGCTTAGATGGGTTTAGAGGAGAGTTTTGTGAGATAGAGCTTGGTTGTGCAAAGATGCCATGCTTTAACAATGCAACATGCAATAATACAGATGATGGTGGTGGGTTCAACTGTACATGCCTGATGGGATACCTTGGAGACCTATGTGATCTAGAAGATGAGTGTATTTTCAATAACCCATGCCAGAATAATGGGACTTGTGAATCCAATGATACTGGTGATGCAGAATGTTCTTGCTTAGATGGGTTTAGAGGAGAGTTTTGTGAGATAGAGCTTGGTTGTGCAAAGATGCCATGTTTTAACAATGCAACATGCAATAATACAGATGATGGTGGTGGGTTCAACTGCACATGCAAAAATGGATATTTTGGTGAATTTTGTGATCAAGAAAATGCTTGCATTTTAAATAGCCCATGCCTGAACAATTCAACTTGTAATTTGACAGACGCTGGTAATGTGACTTGCTTATGCTCAGATGGGTTCACAGGTGAATTTTGCCAAAACGTAGATGGATGCAGCATAAAGCCATGCTTACATAATGGAACATGCAATATAACAGATTTTGATGGTGGATATAATTGCTCATGTTTGACTGGATATTCGGGTATAAATTGTGAATTATATGATACATGTATATTAAATACACCTTGCCTGAACAATGGTACATGCTTTAACTCAACTTATGATGGTAATTTTACATGTTTATGCACTGAATCATTCACAGGTGAACGTTGTGAGACAAATATCATGTTAGGCTGTGATCTGACACCATGCCTGAACAATGCAACATGTATAAACACTGACATCCTTGGGGGATATGAATGTAACTGCACAGATGGATATACTGATGTGAACTGTTCAACCAAGGTTTTACCAGGATGTGATAGCTCACCATGCCAAAATAATGGCACCTGTGAGGACAGCTCCAATGGAGAAATAAACTGCACATGTGCAGATGGATTTTCTGGTGACTTCTGTGAGCGAAGCATTGCTGATCCATGTTTGAGTGAACCATGTCCAAACAATGCGACTTGCACTGGGAATTCGAACCTTGGAAATTATAGCTGTTTGTGTCCTGATGATTTCTATGGTGATGCTTGTGAAATTTACTGCAGAGCAAAAGATGACTGTACTGGGCACTACATATGCAATACAACTGATGGATCAAAGATATGTATACCTGACTATGGTGGTGAATTGTGTGTCCAACCCATGGTTGATCTGAGCACATGCCCCCCTCCTGTTAATGCAACTGCAAATGGTATGTAATTTGTGTTCTTTGTGTGATATTCATGCTACCATATTCATGCACTGATATGAAATTATCAATTTTAAACTTATTCTTTGGATTTCCATTGCCCTAATGACAATAAAGGGTTGGTATCGATATGGAGAACTCTTTGAACACAAGTTTCTCTTAAATCAGTTATCAAAAAATTCTGAAAATTCTACATATCATCAATTTAATGGTCATCTTTTGAATGGTAACAATATAATTTTAAAAAAATATACATACTTTTCTCTATATTGTTTTAGAAAACACATCAGACACTTCTTTTGTTCTTGGTATCATATGTTCGGAATGAAATGAAACATCTATCTGAACCTTATTGGAACAAAACGACATAAATACAATGTGTTTAGGTCTCTCAACATTGTAATTGTACAAAAGAAAGTTTGGTTGATTTTAAAAAAGTATCTTGTTAATGAAATAAAAGGTTTATCTTAAAGTCCCCGTCTAAAGTTTGAAAATATTTTTTTATCATTCATTTACTATTTGTCAGGACTTAAAAAGTGATTTTAGAGATTTTTGAACAAAAAAAAATTTTGAAAAAAAAGTTGTGAACATTTCATTTCTCAAATATTCAAATTTCCCGCCATTTTTCAAAAAAGTTGAAATTTCTTAGGCCTAATCATCAAATATTTCTTAATGCATTTCAAAAAAGATTATCTTTTTAACACCAATGCAAAGGTTGAACAAAGGACACACTATTTCAATAATAAAATGCCATATTTAATGGGCCACTTCAATGTTTTAACATATCAAAAATATTTTGAAACATTAGTGATGTCACTAAGGTACCAAAAACTTTTTGAAAACTTTTCAATGTCAATCTTTTCTAAATATGTTAGAATTTTATAAAAAAAACAATGTTGATTGTCTAACCAGGTTAAAAGGAAGAATAAATTATGTTTTAGATATCATTGTACCATTGGTTTCTATGAGAACTAAAATTTTGAAATGCATTTTTCTCAGAACAATTTTCATGCACTGATAAGTTCATTTCTCGCTTATTTATGAACCGATTTACTTAATTTTTTCGACAAAAACATGGGAGGATGAATGCTATGCATCGGTATGAATTGTGGCTAATTAGAAGATATGGGTGACCTCTAAAAGTTGGTTTGATATAAATTCACAAATTTTGGAACAGAAAGTCTATCAAAAACCACTTTTTGAAATTAAAAAAAAAAGTTTCACATATCACACTTTGATAACATTGGGTAAGACTACAATATAGGCCAAAGTGGTTTAAACTTTATATGGGGCCTTTAATTTTGATCTATTTTGGGGAGTTTTGTTTTAATTTTTTGAATACTTTTTGTTAAATCAACCAAAATTTCCTTTGTATAACTATAATATTGAGAGGTCTAACAAAATGGTGTATATGCTATTTTGTTTCAACAAGGTCGGAAAGACATTTTATTTCATTCTCAAGAATTGGTAGAAAGGAACAAAAAAACAATTTCACTAAAAAACGAAAAATGTTAACAAAAACAGTAAATATATAAAATATATATATTAAATAATTTTCACATCAAATTTTTGTCAATCAGTCAACATTACCACAGGCTGGTATCGAAAGATTTGTCCGCTGTGACGGAGCATGCTATTTTTCATAAAAAAACACTAAGAATGCTTCACGATTTATTTTTTAACTCGTATGTTTCGTTATATCAAAGATAATTACTTACTCCAGGCAATGGATATATCATTTGCGTGTAACCTTCACTTCTGTTTGAAGTCCAATAACGCTAGGAGTAAAATCTATTGAAAACGGCGCCAGAGTATCAAACTCTAAAATGTACCATTTCTTTTTTAACTTTTTAATGACATGATATAGTGACACGATAATATTAACATATGTTTTAAGCATAACTCTGAATGTATTAATGAGATATTAATGCATTGGGTCTTTTTAATTTTTTTAATAAAAAATAATATTAATAGATTTTGTCCGCTGTGACGGTGCATTTTCACAGTTCACATTTGCAACTGCTCCGTCACAGCGGACAAAAAAATTAAACATTATTTTTTATAAAAGAATTAAAAAGACCAAATACATCAACATCTCATTTATACCTTCATAGTTATGCTGAAACCATGTGTAAATATTATCGTGTCACTATATCGTGCCATTAGAAAGTTAAACAAGAAATGGTACATTTTGAAGTATGATACTCCGGCGCCATTTTCAATAGCTTTTCTTCCCAGCGTAATTGGACTTCAAACAGAAGTGAAAGTTACCCGCAACTGATATATCCATTGCATGGAGTAAGTAATTTTGTATGGTGTAACGAAACATATGAGTTAAAAAATAAATCGTGAAGTATTCTTAGTGTTTTTATGAAAAATAGATTGCTCCGTCACAGCGGACAAATATTTCGATACCAGCCTGTGATTACATAAAGGACCGTGTTTTTTACAAAATGTTTTCAATAATTGATTTAAGAGAAAAAACATTGTTGAATTCAGTTCACCGTATCAATACCCTATCCTTTACCATCATTTTATAGATTTCAGTGGTATATGGCAGGGTTCCTACCAATGTGACAATGGAGTAAACTTCACCTTTAAACTCACACTCTATCAGGATGAACTAAGTAGTTTAAATGGAAGAATGGAGTTCATGTCATCAACACAAGAAGGTTCACATTTTGTGGAGGGATTTGTCAGTGAAACATCCCTGATTGCATCACCTGGGGAGTGGATCAATGAAGGCAGTAATAAGTTTTCAATATCAGCGTCTTCAGATTCTAAGTTTGCTAATCTGACAGTCAGTGTGTATGATGATGAGTGTAACCCTAATAATCATGTCAATGGGTTTGCAGAAAGACTTCAAGGTAAATAGATGTGTATTTACTGTGATTGATTGGATTATTTGTTAACATGTATTTTTGGTTGTTTATATGTCTTAGATCATGTTTCAAAGAGTAATTAGTCTTTATAACCATTTTTTGTGAAGAGCATTGATTTTGCCCGTTAAGTTATTTACCTTGCAATTTTTTTATGCTAACGTATTCATTTTGTTTAGACCAATGCCTTAACAATGGTTCTTGCATACGTGGAGAATCTTCTGAATATGGAGATTTTGAATGTTGCTGTCCCAACAATTTTTCTGGACGCTTCTGTGAAACTGTAAGTGTTAACATATGTGTTCAACATAAATAAGAATGGCAATACATGTATAAGGAATATATAAAATAAATATCCACAGGGTGACCAAAAACCAAAAATGAAATAACTTCTAAATATGTATATAATCATTTTCACGTAGCGAAACAACCATCTATGGATGACAATGTGTGACCAAATTCTTGACATAGCATTGAATATTCTTCCTGTTATGGTCAATAAAAATGTGCCAACAATGTGAAAGAAAAGAAAATGTAAGATTTTTTGTGTCATCTTTTGTTTGAACTCGCCACATTATTTGGCTTCTTGTTAAGCTGCATTTGGTGAGTGTAGAGGTTGCGATCATTAATGAGGAAGTGTCCCAGCAACCTTTAAGCCATCTTAAATTTAGGTGTGGCTGCACTTTCTGATTGATATTTTTGAAATACCTCCAATGCAATCACGCACAATGCTTTCCGATGTTCTCATACCCACATTTTAAGAAACCTCCCTAAATAGGTAACCTGATCATTTTTTCCATCGAGTAACATTTTCCCTTTTTCCTCTTCCAACTCAATTTTAATTACTCGATATCACATGTCATTCAATGGTCTTGACTGATCATTCTGCTGTCTTATGATTTCTTAAGAATTCATCCAATGGAATTTTGTAAAGCGTTTGAGGTGTTCTTGCTCAGAGGCCAAAATTTCCAGTCATCTGATTTTATTAGGTGTTTTACCATTGCCTATTCTTCATTTTTCAATAACGCAGATGCAAGTAGGTAGTTACCAATTTCACCACCAGGTGGCTCGTTCAGGCCAGATAGCATGGCGGGTATAGTAGAAGGTTCCCTTCAACTAAATTTACATCTAATAGTTATGCAAATTAAAACATGTCCAGTAAAAAAAATGTTATCTGCCCAATACAAGAAAAGATATTTCACCTTTTGTGATTTTGTAACATGGGGTCTATGGGGAATCAACCCAAGCTAGAAGTCACATTTTCAAAGTTGATAAACAATTTTCGAAACCATATTTTTAGATGTAAATCAAGATTATTTCAACTTGCATCTAGTCTATTAAAATATTAATATGAGACATTGATTTCAAGTCTTCTTTAGAATTTCCTTCTGAAAATCTCAAGATATGATTTTGTCTCAATGTTGATTTTCCCAAAATTAGACACATTCTAAGGTCATCCATGAAATTACAAATAGTCAATTTTTTGTAACAATCTTAGTATCACATTATCATCCACAGATTCTAATTTATGCACATAAAAATTGGGTTGATAGGATAGATAAGAAATTATTACATTTTTAGAGGGTTCTGTTTTTGGGTCACCCTGTAGATTACAGCAACGCCAAGACCAAGCAAACCCTAACAACTATCTACACCCTATACAGTGGTTACAGAAAATGTGCATGTGTGGATATCATGTGCACATGGTACTTAGTTAACAGTCATTATTAAATTTGGATTCATGATATAGAATGAAGTACACTATGTACGCAATATATATAATAATTAATGTCAGACAATAAAGCTAGAAATCATGTCTCAAACTGGCCAAAATATATCAAACAAAAAGAGGTATTAACCAAATTACCGTTACAAAGTTTACTTTACTTCCAAGTATTCACATATAAAATAGCAAAGTTAAAATTGGACAAATTGTTTAAATGGTCACCTTCTTCCCACACACAAGACAGTGCACCATGCTTCTAAGTATTCACAATAACAATATTGCTCTACTACTTTTTGAGGTATAGCAAAAATCATAAAATAGTATGTTATGACCAGCATTCAAGATGACAACCATATTTCTTTTAAATTCTGTATTATTTCTAAAATATTAATAACACAGTTCTATATATTGTGACGAAAATACTGTAAAATTGACATTAAAATGGCAGTTTAAATCATACCTTGAAAAATATGTACATTACTATCATTCCAAGTACAATTAAAATGAGGATATGACAAACTAAATATAAATGTGTCAAATTGTGCATATTTCATAATACATGCGCGCATGCATTATATCTTTTTTATTATTACTTGTAAATCTCTCTTCATGAACAGTAAATATTATGGCTTTAATGGGATTACTGCATGTTCTAGCCATTGGGATGCAACAGTGACCCCTGTCAAAATGGAGGTGTGTGTCATGAAAACAGCAATGGGAGTCCAAATTGTACTTGTGCTGATAACTATTATGGACCACTGTGTGATGTGTACTGTGAGGAAGAGGATACATGTAATGGGCACTTCAAATGTAATGAAGTTGGTGCTAAAGTGTGTCTTCTTGGGTGGAGTGGAAATAACTGTAAAGAGGCAGACCCATCCTATTCACACTGTCCTTCAAATACTAATTTTACTGGTAAGATCCATTTTCTTTACACTATGTAATGTGGTCCATTTGATCCATTTGATTTGATAGCATTATGATTACATCATTTGCCTGTTTTTTTTGTTTTAAAATAAAAGGACCTTGTCTGAAATTTTCATCCCCATAAATTCAGTGTTTTGAATTCATATAATGATCAGAAATTTGTAGTAAATAATGGCCAGATCATCATTATTGGTCAGATAATTTTTTTCAATTTGATAATTCAGAAATTACAAATTACACCTCATCACCGATATTGTTTCATAGTGATGATTTAAATGATTAACTAGAAAACGGCAACTCCATGGAGTAGCAAATCTCAATGAATATATGAATCTATATTTGTCACAAAAATACAAACTTCAGAGAAATATCAGACTTTCTACCAATTTAAACATTTGGGTGACCATTTAAGAGTTTCAAAGGCACAAATAATAAAGTTAATTTGAATTTTCTGAGGTGCAAATCAGGAAAACAATACCATAACAGTGATCTGCCCAAGTTTCCTTCAATTTGAGAATAATATAGCCATACTTTGAAGAGATCTTTTGAATTTTACGAGGCCCATATCAGAAAAATGATACAATATTTGCAATCTACTCTAGATTGCCTTTCATTTAAGTATTATAAAGCTATACTTCAGAGAGATCTCAAAATTAACGCAAATTCCTGTTGGCAGCCATTTTGAATTTTCTGAGGTAAATATCAGAAAAACAATACCATAATAATGATCTATCCTAAAATTCCTTTAATTTGAGTAATTATAGCCATACTCTGAAGACATCAGACATAAAATGGCCATTTTGAATTTTACGAGGCCCAAATTACAAAAACGATACAATATTTGCAATCTACTCTAAACTGCCTTTCATTGGAGTATAAAAGCTATACTTCAGAAAGATCTCAAAATTAATGCAAATTACTATTTTCCCGAAACACGGCCCCTGGGGGTCATGGTGAAAAACTCAGAATAAAAATAAAATAGATAGATGTTGTAAATATATTGTCAAATTTTTAAAAATAATATTTATTACTTTGGTTTAAAATAAAAACTTAAGATTTTCATGAAAAAAAAAATTACCACCATTCTTAAACTGGTGGCCATCCTGGAAATTATTTTATTAACCAATATACATCTTTCCACCAAATATGAACAAAATTTGTCTGCTAGTATTCGAGTTATCTTCCAGACGGAAAGACGGACTGACAGACGGACAGAGGGCTTCACTATATAATATCCCTAATGAACTTCATTTGTTGGGAGTAAAACTCATCTAAAAAGCTCTTCTTAAAAAGTCCTCTTTTACAGAATATCATTCGATAAGTTATTTAAGTGACAAAGAAGGAAATTACAAAAAAAGTACAACACAAATTCATAAATGTTACACATTTTCTTATCTAATCAAGAATTTAGTTAAAAATATTTTGATACCATTAATGTTACCAAACATCCTCCTTTCAGTCCAATTTTTTACTGAAAATGTTTTTATTACATTTTGATTTCAGAAATAGTTAAATTAACAAGTTTCTTTACATTTTGTAGATGTAAAGGGCTCTTGGGTTGCTAATTACATGTGCGATGGTAAGGATATGACCTTCGAACTTCATGTTTTAATACAAAGTGGTGATTTCTGGACTGGTGCTGTTGATTTATATGATGCTGGTGTATTTATTGGAAATCATAGTATTATTCTCCTCCTAAGAGAAGATGGAGAGATGAGTTTGATTAAAACATCATGGATTGTTAATCCTGGGAGCACATACTCAGATATTTCATTTTTTGGTGCAAGCATTGATGAGGACTTTAAGACCATTCGGGATGGTGAGATGGACTGCGATGACAGTCCATTAACCATATACAGAAAATCAGGTAATTAGACAGAAAAAGATAAATCTTTTTCAATGCACAATGTTTTAAAACAAAACCATACTGTATAGTAATGAAAGTTGAATCAAATTTCTCGCTAAAGTACTGTTTACTTTTTATTAAATACATCATCATTGTATTTGAAATAATTGAAATAGTTTACATGAAATATATGTAAAGCATTTTATTAGCATCAATCTATGGAAAACCATTGAGCCATAGTTCAGAAAACGCAATAATTAACAGCCATTATAAATTATGGCTGGTTTAGATTTTGATGGTTCACTCCATGTAAAGACATGAGCATCCTAGGCAAGATCAGTCAATATCTGGTATTGTCCAGTACAATGCCATACCTTAAATTAGACAAAATGCTAAATCTAGAATAAACTATGAAAAATGTGCCTACTTTCATCCCAATCCCAATATTATGTTTTCTACACATTATTACTATAATGCAATATTTGGGCCTGCAATAGTTAAAACATTTGCATGACGATTCATTTAAGGTAGAACTTCAATGTCCATTGCGCAGTCAGTTTGTGCATCCCTTAGGCCAAAAACGAAAATTGGTTTTTGTTGATTTGTGCGACGCAATTGATTTGATGCCTGGGAAATTGAATGGGTTTTTAATTTTATACCCCAAAAGAGGGTTTGAAACCTGAAAAAATCTAATTTCACATTTTCTTTACAGTCCACAACACATTTTCTTGATCTCCTTTTATATGACACACTCATGCTGATCTATCAAGACATCAGGGCAATATGAGTCATTATATACAATGGAACAATAACTAGACATGTAAATTGAACAAGTTCAATTTAAGACTCCAGATTTAATACTTTTTTAAGCTGAGTCATCCAAATACTTGTAAGCTGAGTCATTCAGAATAAGCTGAGTCAGCTAGAATATAGACATTTAGACAACTCTTAAGAATGTTATCTTCGACTCCATTGGCTTAACATGGGGATATCATCATATCGACTTTTCGAGACTTCAAACCGCTATAACTATCTAATCAGAAGTTGGATCGAAATTTGGTTTAAAGATTCTGATTCCTGAGAAAATTCTACCCTTAATTCATAACTCATACGTTAAATTTGGAGAAACTTTCATGTTGACCTACTTTTCGGACACTATATCTCAAAAGTGGGTCAAAATACTTTCTGACGGCAAAAGGCTAACACTATTAGCACACTCTTTGCTACATGTATACAAAATTTTGAAGCAAATAATTAAAGTGTAGTGTCAGAATCGCAAAAATAAGTTAAAACTATAAATTTGAACCAGATTTTGACCTAGGCATTTTGGTGACCAAATTGTGAAGCTAGCTAGCTTTTGAGGTCCCTTTCTTTGATAGGCTTTCATTATGTGAAGCTGTACTCAGTCTTTATCTCGTATTTTACACTTCAAAAAAATCTTTTTTCCCATTGCCATAACATGGTGCACCAAATTTAGCGATTTTTGAGCTTTCAAAACGACATAAATTCCAAACCAAAAGTCGGATTAAAATTTGGTTTGCAGATTTGGATTCCTGAGAAAATTCTACCCTCAATTCATAACTCATACGTTAAATTCGGAGAACTTTTTAGTTTGACCTACTTTTCGGACACCATATCTCAAAAGTGGGTCAAAATACTTTCTGACGGCAAAAGGCTTACACTATTAGCACACTTTTGGCTACCTGTATACAAAATTTTGAAGAAAATTATTAAAGTGTAGTGTCGGAATCGTAAAAATAAGGAAAAACAATAAATTTGACCTAGATTTTGACCTAGGCATTTTGATGTCCAAATTTTGAAGCTAGGTAGCTTTTGAGGCCCCCTTCTTTTATGGGCATTCATTATGTTAAGCTGTACTCAGTCTATATCTTGTATTTTACACTTCGAAAAAGTCTTTTTTCCCATTGGCTTAACATGGGCACCAAATTTAGCAATTTCGAAACGCTATAGCTTCCGAACCGGAAGTCAGATCGTAATTTAGTTGGCAGATTTGGATTCCTGAGGAAATTTTACACTTATTTCATAACTCATACGTTGAATTTGGAGAACTTTTTCGTTTGACCTACTTTCCGGACGCAATATCTCAAAATCGGTAAAAGTAATCAAAAAACTGATTACTCACAGTCGAATCCTCTTTTTCTTGGCTACACGTTAAAAAAAAAATTTTGAAAAAATATTGAAAAATGACAGAGATAATTGACAAAATGATAATTTGACCTAGATTTTGACCTTTGACCTAGATAAAAATTTGACCTAATTTCCCAGAAACTAGGTCTCATTACCTATTTAACCATGTAAGCAGATTTCAGAAAGTCCCTCTAGTTGCTGAGAAAACGCGCAAAGAAAGAATAATAATAATAAGAAAACTGGCAAAAGCAATAGACTCCAGATTTTCAATCTGGAGTCTAATAATACCCCACTGATTCATAATATTCATAAAGTTACTTTATTTTTTTCACAAGATCCAGACAGTGAATTTTCATCAATATTTTTCCAAATAACTTTGGTTTTCCATATAATGACCATAATTTTTTGATGAGAAACTGAATTTTGCAATTTTTTTAATTTGAAAAATCCATTTTCTCATTGAAACCCATGTTAATTCAAAATATATTTCTAGAAACAACCAGACAGTCAATATTTCTGATTTTCACATATTTTGTAATTCATCAGTATACAATATACATGTATCAGTGTTTTCAGTAGGCTTGTCCAAAATTGCGTCCCTTGGACGTAATGATTTTCAAAAAATGCGTCTCCCTTCAAAAAACTGCGTCCCTTGAAAAAATGTTCCCGGGAATTCAAAAGTCACGTTTTTACACTGGATGAAATAAATTGATGAAATTTTGTACCACTGCTTTTGCTATTTATCGGTCTGAATCAGCGTTCTTGCAAGTCTAGTATGTCATTGAATGATACAGATACCATCATAACTTATATTCTCCCATTTAAAACACCTTTTCCTTGCGAATTTCGAAACAATTTGCTATTGATTTTGCTTTAGCATGTTTAGTTTAGGGGCAATCTGCGCGAGGTTCAACTTTTTAGTTCAGTTTCTTGCGCATATGCAGTCTCAAATAATGATCACGTGATCACACTTGACCAATTGAAAATGGTTTGAATCAGGTCTTAAGCTACCGGCCAATCGTAGGACTCATACTGATTACTGCTCGGAAATCGAGTATTGTATAAATTTTTGTCCTATCACATGCCTCGTACTATTTCGATCAGAAATCAACTTCCGGGAAGGAAATTTCGAAAGAAAATTTTATTTCTTTTAGAAATAGAATTTTCTTCAATTATTTATTGGATTCTGACGAAATAAAGAGACTGAAGGTAAGATCTTTATCAAATCATTCATCCAAAGTTGATTGTATGAGTATGGCTTGCACTGCGTCCACAAAACGCAATCACTTTTTATTTCCGGGTCCATGGATTTTTCATTACGTTTTTGCAATACTTGGACGGCGTTATTGAAATAGCAGATGTATCTTTCATCTCTATTTTTTCAAAGAAATTCTGAATTGTAGAAAAATGTCGTTTGACAGTGAAGTTCTACCTTAAAATGGCTGCTCAAACAGTCTTTAGCATTATAGGTACAGGAAAAGGCCAGGATTGCATACTTGTTCATTTAAATGATAGCACAGTATATATGATATATGATTCCAGAATACTTGAAGCATTTATACTCTAAAGAACTTAACATGTGTCTTGAATTTGACATCACATCCTGAAAAACCTGTTTTACATTGTTATATATCTCACCACAAGTGCTAAAGGAAGAACTGTAAAGAAACCTACCAAGAAAAGCAAACTCTCAGTGTAAACCTGTTATAAGAAAAATAGACTTTGTATATCCCAAAACCAATATCGAACACCCCCTTCCACCTCCAATAGAGAGCCCAATATCAGAATCCAGGACAAGAACACCAAGGGAAATTTCATTCATACTAAAGTCATTACATACATGTTGAAAAATTGATAGTCAATACTCATAACATCAAAGACAGTTGTAGATGCTAGTATATGTTCAGTCTCAAATGATGTGGGACAGATGAAATCCAGTAGTGATGCTTAACCTATCTATTTACTGCCTTTTACATATTCAATTTCATCATTTAAATTGATTGTTGTAAAATATTGAGATTGCATTCTGGGAGCAAATCCTCCTTGTAACATGTAAATAATTAAGTATACTCTAAAATGGATTAAAGAGCAAAATTGCCTTGAATGATATATAAATACTTGAAGCGTCAAGACAACAACATGAGTTTACGATTACAATTTTATTACAGAACAGAAATGTCAGAATGGAGGACAATGTGCAAGAAATGGTACATCAGAATATTGCTGTTGCCCTGAAGGTAAGCAGTTTGAGCTCATCGTAAAAATGGTAACTTTAGAAAAAGAATTTAACTGAAAATCAACTAAATCGTGAAGCATTTTGAGTCTTAAACAGAAAATGGTGTTTGTAAGAATACTGTCTGGATAATCAGCTAAATTTTTACATATTCTAGTTTCACAATAGTAATGTGGTATTTAAAAGTGTATTAAAAATAACAATAAAAGAACACAAATAGATAAGCACTTAGTATCACATAATGTTGCTCTCCTTTCAGGTTTTGATGGTGTTTCGTGTGAGATTCAAATCTCACCATGTGATCTTAACTCCTGTCCCAACAACGCAACATGTAATGCAACATCAGCTACAACATATGACTGTATTTGCCCCGAAGGATTCACTGGCCCAACATGCCAAACCCCCCTTCCATGTAGTGCTACACCATGCTTTGGAAATGCTACCTGTTTTGATAATCCAGATGGCAACTTTACATGTGATTGCCCTGAATATTTCACAGGAGTCACTTGTGACATGGAGATTAACCCATGTGAAAGCTCACCTTGTCAAAACAACGGCACGTGTGAGAATGGATTATTCAATAACTATACTTGTAATTGTCTTTCATCCTTTGGTGGGGACAATTGCGAGACTGAGAAGACAAAAGGATGCAAGCCAACTAGTTGTTTGAACAATGGTACTTGTTATGAAAATGATAATGGCTTTGGAACATGTAACTGTACTAGCTACTTCACAGGACAAAAATGTGAGACACCACTCTATTGTGCAAGTAACCCATGTTTTAATGAGGCAACATGTGTAGAAGGATCTGGCAATTTTACATGTGAATGTACAAATATGTATATGGGCCCACTATGCAATGAAACCATCCCTGATATTTGTGATCCAAACCAATGTTACAATAATGCCACCTGTATTGACTTAACCGATGGAAACTTTACTTGTAACTGCACTGGGAAATTCGAAGGGAAGTTTTGCAATGTAACTAAAATGACCATGTGTGATCTTAAACCCTGTGACAACAATGGAACTTGCATTGATCTGCCAGATGGAAATTTCACATGTAATTGTACTGAACAATTTATGGGTGTACGGTGTAATGAAACTGTTCCCATGCCATGTGATGCCAAGCCATGCTACAACAATGCCACATGTGTCAACCTCCCAGATGGAAACTATAGATGCAATTGTACTGACGAATTTATGGGTGACACATGTAATGAAACTGTTCCCATGCCATGTGATGCCAAGCCATGTTACAATAATGCCACATGTGTCAACCTCCCAGATGGAAACTATACATGTAATTGTACTGAGTTTTTTAATGGGACATTGTGTAATGAGTCAATTCCATATGGATGCCAGTTGCAACAATGTGAAAACAATGCAACCTGTGAGGATATTGAAAATAGAGATTTCTTGTGTATATGCCCAACTAACTTCACTGGAAGATATTGCGAAAATGAAATCCTCTTTGGATGTGAATCAGCCCCCTGTCTCAACAATGGGACATGCAATGAGACCTCTATTGGTGGGGAGTTTGAATGCACCTGCAGTAACTACTTCTATGGAAATGTATGTGATGTATATTGTAAACCACAAGACACATGTAGGGGTCACTACACATGTGATGAAAATGGAGGTAAAGTTTGCTTGGATGGTTGGAGAGGGGATGAATGTACTACAAGAGTTGATGATCGTGACTTTTGCCCTAAAGAATTACCAACAGGTAGGAGCTTGCAAATATGGTTCAAAGTAATACTTTTGAGAAGTTACAAGTCAAATGTATCCAAAGCCTTTTGTTTCTTATAAGGTGAAGTCATAACATAGGATTTTAGCATATGCTTTTATTCAGTATATATTTTTATTTAGCATATATATATATTTTTATTCTTGCATGACGTAACTTCCATGACATATGTTTGGACCAATCAAAAATATCAGATAAGGCTGGACATAACAAATTAATATTTTGAAATTTTAGATCTGTCTGGCACTTGGGAGGGCTCCATGGTGTGTAATGGAAGCAGTGTGAGCATATTGGTGAATATCAATCGATATAATCTCATCCACAATGGTACCATATCATTCACAATCCATGAAGAGGAAATATATACATATACAAATACCTTCTCAGGAATTTATCAACCGGAACCTGAACGGAAATTATACCTAGCATCTGGTGATTGGGTGGGTGATCCTCCTAGTGTGTATTCCCCTATTGGACTGGCAATTTCCGATATTGATTATAATGATACCATGGCATCTCAAGCTCAGATTGATGTTCTGGGAGACAATGGATGTACTAACTTAACACTAGAAAGACAAGGTATGGTTTTCTGAGGATACAAAGAAACATATACAAAATACATTATGGAAAATGCATTTGGTTGGATTAGATATATCATCAGGGTAAAATATCTAGCATATCAACCAAGGGAATATGTAAATATGTAATAATGATATTTTGCAACCAGTGCATAATATCATGGACTTCTCTGATCATTGACAGAATTTACATATGGCATCCCTTTAGTCATTTTTGAAACAATTGAACTTGTGTATAAACAAAGAGTGCCATCTGAGGATTTGTCCACCATGGGGGCTTGCTAATTTCATAAAAGAAAAAACAAGTATTTTGAAGAATAAATGATAAAATGACTCATCATCCATACATCACATTGTTTATATCATGTTTAATAATTATAACAAATATACCATATAAAGGTCATATGAGATATGTGACTTCATTTAGTCAGCTGCTGTACTTGACTATTTTAGGTTTCTGCAAGAACAAAGGGAAATGTCTGGTTGATACTATTGGAGGTGAAAATTCTAAATACTGTTGCTGTCTAAAAGGTAAAAACAAAATATTAAACATCAAAAAGTTAAATGTGTACTCATCTAAGGCTCTCCATGAACTCCATTGTGGATTTGGATTTATTTAATACATAAGTTGTCTACTATTTTGTCTGAGGCATAATATTTGTTGTAGGTTTCAAAGGTAGGAACTGTGAGATCCGTATCATGCCATGTGATAGTTCACCATGCTTCAACAATGGTACATGTGAGAATGTGAGATATGATAACTTTACATGCACATGTTCACCTGGATGGGGTGGAAAACAATGTGATGCTGACATACCAAAACCTTGTGAGAATGACCCATGCTCCAACAATGCAACTTGTGAAAATATAGACGCAGTTAATTTTAACTGCAAGTGTCTCCCAGATACAACTGGGGAAACATGTGAAACAGAAATCAAACCTGGATGTAGCTCATCTCCATGTGAAAATAATGCAACTTGTACTGACTCCAACTTTGGTCACAATGTGACGTGTAATTGCACTGAATTATACACTGGTGAAACATGTGGAGTGAGGATCACAATGTGTAATGAGTCATCATGTTTGAATGGAGGAACATGTGAGGAACATCCAACAATGCTAGCCTTTACATGTAACTGCTCTACAAACTACACAGGAGACAGATGTGAAACTGAAATAATTGATTGTGATCCAAACCCTTGTTTGAATGGAGCTACTTGCAATGCCACTGGATTAGCACTTGAGTGCATATGTCCACCTCAATTTGCAGGTATAAATAAATAAATTATTCTAAAAGAAAACATGTTAGAGACAGTGAACAGCTTCATGGATTGTTAGCGACTTTTCAATATCTTAAAATGTTAATCATTTAGTGCAAGTTAACATAAGGGCTCTTCAAATTCAACTGAAATGTTTTGCAGGTGAGCGATGTAATGAATGTAAGGCAGGTTTCACTGGTGATCTATGTGATGAACCTGTTAATGCATGTGCCAGTTCACCATGCAAACATAATGGAACATGTGAAAATGTTGGAAGCAGCTATGAATGCAACTGCACTGATGGATACAGTGGTCAGAACTGCCAGATCCCACCACCAAGTGACACAAGTCTTTGCTTGACAACTCTTCTGTCACCCCTTAACTATGATGACATAAAACAATACATAAAAATGAAGGTCCTTCAATCTGGCCTTTCTGGTAAGTATTTGCTACATAATGTCTTAATATGAAATTTATCAAGAAAGGGGTAAAATAATTTGGATGTATAAACCAATATTGTTTACCAAAAAAACTAAAATGCATGTATAGGCCTAGCTCCTAGAATATTTTATAACAGCTTATTAACGATAAAGATAAATATGTAAGCACATCTGCCAAGTGAGAAATACAAAAAAGTATTACAAAATACAGTAAAATAATAACTATATCTGATTAATCGAACATCCTTATTCAGTTCAGCAGTTGTTTATGGCATGATAAAAAAGATAATAAATGTATTTGATTTACAGAAGTGACCCAATGCAATTGTGATATAGAGATTGAACTAGAAGAAAACATTGAATTCAGAAATACGGATGGGTAGGTAGATCACTATTAATGTGAAATAAATAATATAATACTATTAAAGTTATTATACTGACCAATGAAATTAATGTGTGCCAGAAGGACAACATTATCCATTGAATGTTAAGATATGTATTCTATTTAATTCATACATTAAATCAATGATATCACTCATACTACATATCACTCATAGTTAACATCAGAAAACTGAATGTCAAATCTCTTCATTTTTTAGTGACAGGCAATGGCGACTCAAATATTCAATTATTGGAATTGATTCTCTCGGAGATGCTTCAGTTATTGAACTTGAGGAAAAGTTTAAAGTTGGTGAAATCAATGTGCAAAATCCCAAAGGTGATAATTACACACTTTGTGAGAAAGATCCAGCATACAAACCAATAGATGAATTATACACAGTGTATCTAAATAGGATACCATCATTGTTACCAATTGCCAATTTAACTGAAGCCATCAAGACATGCTGGGAGAATAAGGGATCTGGTACGTCATTTTTATGTACATTATCACTGGTACTCACCTAGTTACGTTGACATATCGTCAGCGTAACAAGATGGAAGAACTTCCGGGCTTCGTTTACGGTAAGATATTTTTATTTCTCAATTCTACACCACATATAAGTCAAGTTGTGGACAATAATTTGGCTATAATAATAATTTGATATTGCCAATGTGACAATATTCCTGAAGATCGTCAATGTAACAAAAGCAAGGGACTAAATATGTGAATTACGTCTTCATTAATATACCAAACATAGAACTGCCTGCATATTCTCAAACTAGACTATCTTCCTTAACTTTGAGCAAAATTATTGTCCACAACTTGACTTATATGTGGTGTAGAATTGAGAAATAAAAATATCTTACCGAAAACCATGCCTTGAAGTTCTTCCATCTTGTTACGCTGACGTATCATTAGCGTAACTAGGTGAGTACCAGTGATTATAGACCTGACTTTATATCATTAATTTAATGCTTTTTTTTCTTTTCCCTGTGTTGTATCATGTTTTTTTTGGCTAATTGATCTATAGATTCTAAGGCTATTGTAGCCCAGAAGAGGATATATCAATGGTATTTAAGTAGGTTATATAGTATAGAAGATATAAATGAGAACATTTAGGCATAGTAGTAATATTATGAAACAATTGCTAAATATGTGTGTTACCATTTCAGTTACAAACTGCACCAGGGCAAGAGCTGATTTAGCAATACTCATTGATTCATCTTCAAGTGTCATTGATTCTGACTTTGAAAAAGTAAAACTATTTGCCAAAAATGTAATTCGCGACTTAAGTGGGGACTTCTCAATTGCTGTTGTAACATTCAGTGATGATGTCACTATACATTTCAAACTGGGTGAATACCCAGAAAAGGTTGATATGTACACTCAAATAGATTTAATACCTAGAAAATCTGGATCTACAAATACAAAGGATCTTTTTGAGAGGTTACCATCTGAAATAATGGGACCAAACAACAGAAATGATGCCATTGATATTGCACTACTTATCACGGATGGAGCATCTAAAGATGGACCTATTGATTCAGCTGTAGCAACAGCTAAAGCTGCTAATATTGAGGTATTTGTGGTTGGTGTTGAGACAGCTGAATTGTCAGAGAGAGAGTTAGAACTGATTGCAAGTGATCCTATTGGAGAGCATTTGTTTATGGCAGCTAACTTCAGCACACTTCCTAAGGTTACCTATGCAATAGAGGAAACCAGTTGTGTTGAAAATCGCACTGGTAAGTCCAATAAATATAATATATGATGACCCCAAAAATATAGTGGATTTACATCTTAAATATTTAGCCAAATCATGTTTTCCATCCAAGCATTCTCTAATGCCAAATAAATTTAATACAATTAACGTAACCAGTTGGAAAATGTGATTTTTCACTCACATTTGTAGACACAACATTTAAGTACACTGTTTTATTGTCCTTTCAAATTATTATTAATATTTATTTTTTCTTATAAGTAAGTGCTAGCTTGAATATATCTTCATGTAAATCAATATATAGTACTATGTTTTTTATATATTTATATTTTATTAGTTACACCAAACATCACCATAACACAATATGGATTTGTCAAGGAATATACGCAAGACAGGTGAGTACATTTAACATGTCATATCTGAACTGGATTTTGAAGAATAAGAACTTTTCAATGTAGAATATTTAGATATTGACTCTCAAAATCATAAAAAGCTGAGTGTCAATTTGAGTCCATATACTGATTAAAAAGTAATCATTACTAAAATGAGAAATTCAGACATCCATTTGGAATTTATGAAGTCCGGTATATTTAATTAAAATTAAAGATAGTGAAAATGTGATATCATTAATATTACATTGTATTAGTTTCATCAATAAGTTCTGAGAAAAAATTAAATTGAATTAAGAGTTTAATGACATTCTACTTGAAATTTTCGCAGGGTATGTAAAATAAAAACATAATATTCTATGGTCCATCAAGTATCCATCTTTTCTGAAAAAATATGGTTGCTATGGTATCTTATGTAGGCGTTATAAATAGCTGTCTAATGAATCATTAAATTATTTTACTGTCATCGAAGCATTTGATCTTAGAAGTACAGGTCGTTCAATAAGTAAGGCTACTTTTACTCTTAACCGTTTGTTTTTTAATATCTATAGCCCTTTGCCTATTTCATGACAATCAAATTGATAGTCATAATGTAACAGCACTTTAAACAACAGCTCTAGTGGCCAATATTGCTGTTTGGCAAACCTGCACCCATTATCCAAAATGTCCCTACCTAACTTCAACCTGTGGTGATACACCAAAATAAGAGTGTATGAGAATAACCCTAGGACAACTGCAGACCTGCTGGAAAATAACCCTAGGACAACTGAAAACCTGCTGGAAAATGTAGTCAGATCATTGATAACCTGTTCAGATTTGAAAAAAGCGAGAAGGTGGCCACACTGGGGCATCTTGTTCAAAGTGCTGTGCCATTGTGCCAATCAATCTAATGGCCATGAAGTATGGTTAGCTGGTAGGAAACTGAATGTTGTACAAATTTGTAAAATATCAGGGAGTACAATATAAAAGTTTCAGAGCAAAATTAGCTTTACTTTTTGAACAATCTTTAGATGATATTGTGATGAGGTATGCTATACTAAATTTTATCCAAAGTTTTAGAAACACTTCCCCATGCAGATAAATTCATTTTTGATGGAACTAGAGTCACACATAAGACTTTGAAGCCATCAGAGTTAGGATGCACTCTGCTATGTTTCACAAATATACCAATACTCATTAAGTGATGTCATCATGAAAACTGCCAATAAAGATCCTTAAGCCAGTTCAATGATGAAAATGAATACAATATGATCAATTGTCATGACAACTTTAGTGCAACCTGATGTCAACCACCAATATTAATTACAACTTGAAGAAATATATTTTACAGAAGTGGTGTTTGGAAAGTTTTCTATGGAGTAGTCCGAAATGACAAAATCATGGACCCTAATACTCAAAGCCAGCCTGACCTCAGACCTTGTATAAACCTCCTCAGTCCAGGTGGTCAACAGTTTGAGGTGATAGAAGAAAAAGCAAAACCATGTGATGATGAGTTTAGTTTCTACATAGATTTGGAACAGATATTTGTAGAAGAAGACATTGATTCATTTGAATCAAAGGCGGTCAATGCCTGGAGCATGACAATTTCTCGTAAGTAATATCTTCTTTTATAAAGGGTTCATGGTTTATTCTAACTTATATATATTGTAGCTAGAAGTTCTCAGATGTGGCTTGGGATTCATTTAGCTTCACTACATCATTTATAAATGGCTTTTTAACCTGTTTATGCACATTTCTTGTAAATGAATGTATGTCATTTGATATAGCTTGAGCCTCTTAGCCTCATATATATTTTGAAGACCTAACATTTTAAAGCATAATCTAGGCCTGAATAAATAGCTAAAAGGAGGGAAAGCCCATTTTGAGCTTGGACAATGCCTGTTGTTTTGAATAAGTGTAGATTATACAGGTTGATTATCCCATCGAACGAAGTTCGGAGGGATATAGGGAAGGTCTCCGTCCGTCCGTATGTACGTCCGTCCGGGCAATAACTCAAATACAGTTGGCCCGATTTTGTTCATATTTTGTACACATATACCCTATGGGGATAGAAGTTCTGCTCGAAAGCCGGTTTTCAAAATGGCCGCTCATTTAAAAATGGCGGCCATTTTAGTGCTGATTTTACAGTAATTTAGGTGCAATATGTAAAACTGTGATAGCAATATGTTTTAAATGTTAAAAAAATTATAAAGGACATTAATAAAGCTAGGAATGTAGATATTAAAGAAACACATGGCAGCCATCTTAAAAAATGGCGGCCTTTGCTCGTTATTTTACGATTTTTGCTGTAACTCGAAAAGTAGTGGAGTGATTTTGTTCATATTTGGTATGTGAATACTATAAGCATGGCACACTGTCTAATGACACTTTTGGTAGATGGAGGCCATTTTAAAAAATGGCCGCCATTTTGAAAAATGGCCACCATTTTAACGTATTTTACTATAACTTGAAAAGTAGTGGAGCAATTTTGTTCATATTTGGTATGTGAATACTATAAGCATGGCACACTGTCTAATGACACTTTTGGTAGAAGGCGGCCATTTTATTATTATACTTTGTTCGTAAATATGCCAGCTGTGGCTGTTCGATGGGATTTGCTACGCTTTGGCATTGCTGTTGTCTAGTTATACAGGGTGTTACATAATCATGACTGTCGACCCATCCACAGTCAATCCTAGATCACATGGCCTCGTAATCAATATACCATAATAAAACTTATTCAATTTTGGACGTATGTGCCAAATATTAGCATGACCGGTTAGGAACATAATTTGTAAACTTATGTTTGGTAGTCACCATCCTCTCAATTTGCATGATTTGTGGCTCCTATTCCTTATAAATTTAAAGAGAGGAGCAGTTCACTATATAATCCATTGTATCATCTCTCTGGGCATTTCTTTGAAATATTTAATACTCACCCTTGGTATACGCAGCTAACGAAAATTGATGGGTACGGGTCAAAAGCTGGACCGGTGTGGGTTAACGGTTTTATTTGAATTTAAAACAGCCATAACTTGCTCAATATTGACTTCCTCGTGTCTAATTTGAAATATATGATGCCTCCCGATGCTTTTAAGTACCCCAATTTTTTACAGATTTTTAAACGGACCAAAACTCTCTAAATGCGCATTTATGATCTTTTCTCTCAGGAACGACTGTCTCATTTTCATGATAACTTTTATTTAGTAGTTCTAACATATAAGATCTTTTTTCCCTTTCAAGGTCTGATGTAAATAGCATGTCATTTACATCATACCTTGATGGGGAAAAATAGATCGTCGTTCTCGAGAGAAAAGGAGCATAAATGCGCATTTAGAGAGTTTTGGTGCGTTTAAAAATCTGTAAAAAATTGGGGTACTTAAAAGCATCGGGAGGCATCATATATTTCAAATTAGACACGAGGAAGTCAATATTGAGCAAGTTATGGTTGTTTTAAATTCAAATAAAACCGTTAACCCGTACCGGTCCAGCTTTTGACCCGTACCGGTCAATTTTCGTTAGCTGCGTATACCAAGGGTGATACTGTTGTCTTTCAAATACCATAAAGTTATATCCTCAGCATCCATCAGCATACTACAGTATTGTATTAAGGCAAGGTTATCATAGCTATGTGTAGGTGATGTGGCTAATTTTTAAATAATAAAAAAGTGGCTCTCAGATTCTATGTAGCAAGTTGTAAAAACTGTTAAGCTTAATCAAAGTTGTTAATGTTTCAGTAAGTCCAGAATTGACAGGCTTTCATATGATATATAACATATGGGGTATGCTATTTAGCATTGGTGGTTGATGGGGGATGGTCAATATAAAACACCCTGTAGTAAATGATAATGTTAAGTTAAAAGATCTAATGGTCTGCCCCTCCCTATTCAGCTTCAGCATGTAGCTGGGAAGATCCTGCCCCTGCATTTATTGTGATGAAGGAAAGTTATGTGATATGGAAATACGACAAAGATCAAGCTAAATGTCAAGCTTTGTGCCAGGTTGAATCAGCATGTAAAGCAATTCAGTGGAATGAAGGCGAATGTAAACTCTTAAATACTGCTTTAGAGGATATTCCAAAAGATGATCTAAGTTTTAATTCTGATGATGATGTCTTTATACAGGATTGTACTCGGTCAGGTAATCAAATAAAACCATTCTTTCAACCTTTACAGCTTTAGTTGATATTTAGTGAGATCTGGAATATTTCTTAAATTGTAATATGAAACATTAATATGCAAAATTTAAACTTTTAAAATACACACTGAAAATTTTTTGAATCAAGACTAAATGTGAGCATATTTTTCTTAATATAATTTTCTAATATAAGCTTGATGAAAGTTACATTCATGAATTCTAAATTGGTGTGGTAATTACAATGTATTTACATCTAGTTTAATAGAAGATTCATGCATTAGAATTTTGATGTCATATTCTTTACAATAAACAGAGGCATCCCAAGCATTTTTCTACATCTAAAAAAGCTTTTCAACCTCTTTCGCCAGAGCACAAAGCATATACATTTACTCCAAGTTTCTTTCTGTTCTCTTGAGCACCATGAATTTAACAGGGACTATCTAAAATCAGATGTCAACCAGAACAACGGCAACGCCAAAGCGTAGCGAATCCCATCGAACAGAAATGGCTGGCGTTTTTACAAACGAAATAAATAGCAAATATCATAAAATAACACACATAAGAAAGGCCACCATTTTCAAAATGGTTGCTCACTATCCAAGTTGTCATCAGAAATAGTAATACGCTTTTTTTATAGTATTCACATACCAAATATGAACAAAATCGCTCCACTACTTTTCGAGTTATAGTAAAATACTTTAAAATGGTGGCCATTTTTCAAAATGGTCGCCTTCTATCAAAAGTGTCATTAGACAGTGTGCCATGCTTATAGTATTCACATACTAAATAAGAACAAAATCGCTCCACTACCTTTCAAGTTACAGCAAAAATCGTAAAATAAGTAATACGCTTTTTTTATAGTATTCACATACCAAATATGAACAAAATCGCTCCACTACTTTTCGAGTTATAGTAAAATACATTTGAAAAATGGCCGCATTCTATCAAAAGTGTCATTAGACAGTGTGCCATGCTTATATTATTCACAATACGCTTTTTTTATAGTATTCACATACCAAATATGAACAAAATCGCTCCACTACTTTTCGAGTTATAGTAAAATACGTTAAAATGGCGGCCATTTTGAAAAATGGCCGCCTTCTACCAAAAGTGTCCTGAGACAGTGTGCCATGCTTATATTATTCACATTCCAAATATGAACAAAATCGCTCCACTACTTTTCGAGTTACAGTAATTAAAATATGTTAAAATGACAAAATGGCCGCCTTCTACCAAAAGTATCATTAGACAGTGTGCCATGCTTATAGTATTCACAAACCAAATATGAACGAAATCGCTCCACTACTTTTTGAGTTATAGTTAAATATGTCAAAATGGCGGCTATTTTTCAAAATGGCGGCCATTTTCAAAATGGCCGCCTCCTACCAAAAGTGTCATTAGACAGTGAGCCATGCTAATAGTATTCACATACAAAATATGAACAAAATCGCTCCACTACTTCTTGAGTTACAGCAAAAATCATATAAAATAACGAGTAAAGGCCGCCATTTTTCAAGATGGCTGCCATGTGCTTCTTTAATATCTACATTTCTAGCTTTATCAATGTCCTATATAATTTTTTACATTTAAAACATATTGCTATTACAGATTTACATATTGCACCTAAATTACTGTAAAATCGGCACTAAAATGGCCGTCATTTTTAGATGAGCAGCCATTTTGAAAATCGGCTTTCGAGCAGAACTTCTACCCCCATAGGGTATATGTGTACAAAATATGAACAAAATCGGGCCAACTGTATTTGAGTTATTGCCCGGACAGACGGACAGATGGACGGACGGACGGACGTACGTACGTACGGACGGACAGACGGACGGATGGAGGCGTTCCCTATATCCCTCCGAACTTCGTTCGATGGGATAATGATAAAGATACTAGCTAGAAGATTTCTGAATTCCCTAATACTACTCCTATAAATTGTGTGGTTATTGATCTATCGTAAGGTTTACTTCTAAAGCTTATTATTTAATGTTATGCACAATTTGTTAAAGAACAATTATGATAACAGAATTCTGCACTTAAGGATCAAATTTCATAGGACAAAGGACGAGTGTCTTTAAGACCCTATATTAGCTCCCAAGATATTTAAAAGAAATTGTACAGGATATCAAAGAAGGGACTTTGTTTGATAACCAGTTACAAAAATAAGGTCATTTTGACCTTTAAATTTCAAAATATAGGTCATTCTAAATCATTCTTTTCACATCATTATTGTCACTGTGTCTATCTATATTACCAAGACAGTCATTTAAGACTTTTTTAATCGATCCTCTTGGTATAACCTTACGTAATAGTGACAAAGCATAATGGACAACATTCGAAAACACATAAAATATAACAAGTCAAAAGTGCCAAAACATCTACAAAAAAAGTTTGCAAAAAGTGTCAGAAAAGAATATTGAGTTTTTTAATTTACATCACAATGAGAAAGAACAATGGGCAACATTAAAAAACACATGGAGTAATTAACAAGTCAAAAATGCATATCAATCAATTATATTATTGATCTGCTTTCTTGAGAGCAATTGCTCATATACAGTTTGCATCAAAGTGGCAGTGAAATACTGAATTTATTATTTCACATAAAATATAACTATTTCTAAAAGGTTACTCTGGACTTTACATAACTGTTGTTCTTCTGTAGATGAGCACATTCATGTGTTTGTGCTTTATATACACCAAAAGTGAGTTGACATACATCGTCTTCAGTCAAAATGGGGAAGTCCTCAAAAGAGTCCACTATGATTTAGATGTAACCCCTCTGTCTCCATATAGGGGGTACTAAGTGATTGCAGTTCACTCATACAGTTCTCTTTGCTATGGGCATTTTATGAGCAAATGTCGTTTTCTTGCCTACTGATTGTGACTTACAGTATATTTCTTCTGCACAATAAAGTTGAGTTGGATTTCTAAATATGAACATTTGTATGATCAGCCTGTGAACTGCCTGTGAATTATTCATTGACAAAAATGACGGCTGTCATATGAACATTAAATGATTGTACAACAATCATCTCAATTTTGCATGTACATTTATATGAATGTATAGAAAGGAATTACATATTATTATGTTGTTTAGAGCCATTGTAAAATATAGGAGTTCATGCTTCAGTGCAACCATAAATATTAGTTCATGAAATGATAATAATGATATAATGAAATAAGAAAATATATTGAACATATAAAACACAGTTGTCACAATCATTCTAAGGATTTTCAAAATGGCTGAAATTTTATTTCATGCTGAATATTGCATAAAAGTTCTATTTTTGCACAACGCCTGGTCCTTACCTAGATTTTTTATAGATCTCTTAGATGAACCTTAGATTTAGAAGTACACTATACCCTTACTACATATAACTTTCTAGGTAAGAACCAGGGTTATACAGTATGAACAAAGCAGTTTATCATGACCTTCCTGTCTCTAAAAATAAGTAGGTCAACACAATTGCAAACATAACTAATCCCTACTCAATGACTATTGGAAAATGACTATTTATGTGTACAACATATTAATCCAAAGAGTGTATAGAGTGACACAATCAAACAATGGGACATCTGCCAAGTAGGGTTTATACATTCTGGAGACATTTTCTGAGACTGATAAAAAATTCATTTTCACAGGAAGTGATACATTACTCTCAAATCAATCAAAATATACTTATATCAGTAGATTTGAATGTTTTTTATTGCTATTTCTTGAAAAAATACATATTTATCTACAATTTGATCCTACATATCAAGGAAATTAACGACATTGCATTTTTCAAAAAATGTTAATTGACCCCAGGGGTGTCTATAGCCATTTGTTCTTTGAGTCTATAATCTAATACATTGCTTATTTGGCTTGCATGGGTGAAGGCTTCACATATATTTATGTCACCTTTAAAACAACATTTTGGATGGAGTGAGTTTGTAATAGCATATTGTCCAGCTAATATTATTGAATTTTTTAGACAATTGAGAGTTGATTTATTTTTAAGTAAATAAGAAGTAGTATTCATAAAGCCTCGGGCTTTAAGTGTACAAGTATGGAATTTATTTTGTATCAAAATTGGACATTACATGATGTATGGGAAAATCGAACTATATGATGCGATACTCGAACCATATGATTCGAAACTCGCATCATACTATGCGAAATACGCATCATTATATGCGAAACTCGCATCATCGTGTGCCATTTTCAATCCATGTTATACCAACAGTTAATTTTCTTACATAACTTATTTTCATTCACACTGGTTGTATCAAGTGTCCCACAAAGAGTTAGCACTAACTCAAATCACTTTCCAAAAATCCAAAAGCAATGTTGAAATGTCACACGGATTGTGGTATAAGTTGCATGAATACTGAAAGAATTACACATGGATCAAAGTAAATTTCGAATGAACGTGTCAATTTTACACACGCATTGAGTTCAAAGTCGCATAGGATGGCTCCCACTCGCATAGGCTGTCACAAACAAGTTGCACTTCACACAGGGTGCGAGATTTGAAGTCACGTGATATTTACATCCTGATTTCTACAATATGGCGCCCTTCGTTGAAATGTGATAAAATGTAAATTTTAAATTAAAAATATATAATAGGATACCCTAGGCCCTAGGCTAGGGAGACGTACAGTGGCAATATATTGAGAAACTACAAACTAGATCTTTTTATCTTTTTGCCGCGCTGTGTTATTTCGTTCAGTGCAAAAGTAACGCGAGATTTAGAACAAAATCTCGAACATCTCTAGAAAGCAATTTATGTTATATCAAGGTGTGTGATCGGTACATCAAGGTGTGTCATCGGCACATCATAGTTTGTGAAGGGGAAAACGTTTGTGCGAGCCGCACAAGAGTTTGTTCGACTTGTGTACCCTGTTCGATGTCATTTTTAAACAATGCATACACAAATACGCATGTACAAGTGTGATTTTACAAACATAAAGTGTACAAACTCGAACAAACCGTGTATGAAATCACACGGATTGTGTATGTATTCTGCTAAACGCTATTCTATGTGTTTGAGATATCACATAAATATAAGATGTCCAATTTTGATACAGTTTTAACACCATATACAAGGCACATCATATCACCTTCTTGGAGCCAGATGTGGTTGTGTGGAGTAATTCTGATTTTATGAAAAAGCTAAAACAAACTTTGAAACACAATATGAATTCATCATGATGAGCAATGTATAAACCTGTATTTCAATTAAAGATTAATTTAATATAAACATTTATTCATTAACAACACTTCATTCTTAAGATTGCTACAGGTGGGGTGGGTTTGTTTACGTTACTACAAAATCACAGCAAGTTCCAAGGCAATACTATATCAGCGCATTTTCAAAAAAATGATTGATTGTACTTTCTAAATACAATAAATACTCATCTGTGGACAAAGTAAAAAGTCAATGGTCAAATCTCCTTTGCTTAATTACACTAAAATATGAAATATTTACAAAAAAAACAAACTTTAATTGAACCGATTTCACTTGTCTGTCATTGGTATTTTAGTCCTACACAAATTCAGTCATCTTAAATAATTTATTTAGCTTATGATTCATGATCAAAAAAGTGTCATATCCTCACATAATATCAGTTATCAATACAGCATGGAGAGTAACTATATACATGGCATGTCCATGCATTCAACTTAAATGTTCACATTCATATTACTTGATTCAACTTAACTTGAAAAAGAAAGAAATTTATAAATTCCCACACAATCTTATTTAAGTTTAAAAGGTGATTTGCTCTGATAAGTGTTCTGAAAAGAGCTAAGCTATAAAAAAATGTTTGTCTAAGACTTCTTTGAGTTCATAGTCAATAGAAATTTATCTAAACTAAATTGGTAATGTTGTTTATACTGTCAACACCCAGCACTGTGCATGGACCTGATGAGGACATGTAAACTGCAGCAAAATTGACTTGGGTATAAAGTGAATGCTTATATACAATGTTTTCTTTATCTTTATTTGCCACTGTAGCTCAACTAATGGGCTATACAATGGACGTCCAGTATCACAGCACAGAGCTGTACATTGACTTGGATACAAAGTAAGCAACATAAACAGATATTCAATTACTCAAATATTGCAAGAAAATAGTTAAAAAATAGTTTGTGTAATGTCTGGTTCACAAGTAAAAACCAAAACAATATAGTTTAAATCATAAGAATGATATAATATGAATGATTCAATTTATTTATGTTTTCCATTTTAGAACAAAGCTATACAGGATATTCTATTTCCTCCTTGTAAACAACACATGTACCCAGCCTGAGATTTGGCCCACGATGAACACCACATACCTGACTCCCCTGCCAAGTTTCACCAATGGACAATATACTATCATACCTCCGAATCAAAACCTGGTTGTATCATATGATAAACATTTTGAGTCACCACTTCATAGGAAAGCTAGGGAAACTGACTTCCCAAGATATGAAGAGGTCCTCACAGAATTCCTTAAGGCAAAGAATCAGAATGACTCAAGTAAGTTAGAATATGTGCAATAAGTATAACCAAATGTTGTTCTTACAATATACTGCTTTCTTTGTTTTTCAATTGTAGTTGATACACTCATCATTTTTGTTTTTAGGATATGATACGCTGAGAGTATATGTGTACAATCAAATCAGAACAATTGATGAAGATGGGTATGCTTTTATAAAGGTTTTAACTGCATTTGTTTAACTAATATAACTATTCTGAAGGGCTTAACATAAATTAAATACTTGATTATTGTAACCTACATGTCAATATTTTATTTTAATTTACTTCAAGTTAGAAAACATTAAGTTAAATGTTAAAAAGCAATTAATAACCTAAAACTATATTTTAGGAATGATGGATGGGCCCTTATATACTTTGTCCGAATCAATCCATTTTTGTCACCTGATGAAATTCCTGAGCTTCCTGATCTTGGTGATATAACAAACATCACATCTCTTAATCGTGATGAGACTGTGTCTCTTGAAGATGCTCACTCAATTTACCTTCCACATTGGCTATCTAGGCTGGACTTTGGCAAAATCAACATGGCCATTGAAACTACCATCAGAGAATCTAATAACAGTAGGAATAACTTTAATTGTCTCAAATTTGAGCCTCCAATGCATCAATGCTCAAATCAATGATAGATTTAGATTTATAAATGTTATTACACATACAAAACCATAATGAGTTAAGTGTATGCTACACAAAATTGGAAACAGTATAATGACACACACAGTATTTTATAATGCTTAACCTCTTGACTTAGAGTGACAAGATTTCTAGTCACCTTAGAAATGATCTTAAAATATGTAGAAATGATCTTTGCTGACTAATTTTACTATGTTGAGCATCAACTTTTAGAACATAGGATTCAAAGGGTTAAACATATGAATGGTGACTGTGATAATTATATTGTATCAATATTTATATATTAATCATACATACATGTACCATATAATATTCCAATTGATGATATGATAGGAATGAAATAATTCTGCTGATATATATGTATAGTTTTGTAATAATTGTATATCACGTAAAATCCTGCAATCTATCATTTTCCAGAGTATGAAAATACCACTGAATATAAGACCCGTGTTGACCCTGCTATACGAGATGAATATGTGACAGCAGATGGGTAAGCTAAACATTTAAATAATTATATCATATCAATGTTTATGTATTAATCATACATACATACATACACGCATGTACCACATAATATTCAAGCTGATGAATAAAGAAAAACATGAATGCTTTTAAATCTTTAATATTTATTAACGAATGTATCTAATATGTTCAAGTAAACATTTTGTTGCAGAAACAAGTCAACTTTACAATTATTTTAACCATATTATGTATGCCTACAGAGACCTCCAAACAAGGTACTACTTTTTCTTCATTGAGAACAACAACACAAAGAAGCTTGGAGAAATTCGACCAATAAACTTAACCAATTTGAACAGCAAGTTGAACTTCAATTCTCCCCGTGAATATCAATACAGAGCAGTTAATGGGGAAGGACTTGAAGATTATGGCATGCATCACAGTCTGATTCTATCCCGCCCAATTCTCACAAAAGACCTTGATGCTATTGGTACAAAACTGAGGGAAGTATGGGTGAATAAAGCAGGAGGTATGTATAATATGCCCCATTCATTATCAAACTCATTTCTACATTTTAGATCACCTTATTCATTCCTTGAAAAAATGTGCATGTCTAATAGATCCCATGAGGTGAATAGCTTTTTGACATAAAGAAATTCAGTGGAATGAAGCCAAATGTAAACTTTAAAATACTGATTTTGATTATATTCCCTCTGATGACCTAACTAAGGTGACATCTTTGGTTATGTAAGCAAATAAAAATGTTGGTGATACATTACTATCCTATCTTATCTTAATTACGACAATAAAATTAGCTGTAATCTGATCAGACAGTGTGACATGCATAAAATAGACTAAAAGCTATTTTTCATGGAATGGGATATAGAATCAGTATAACACTCTAATGAAAAGAGTACAACAAGCTTTATTAAGTTTTTAAGTTTAAAATATTTTATTTAAGTGTCACTGGTATGATACTGGTATGATACAATTAATACATATATAATAAAGACATAATTAAAATACCACCAGCTGATGTCGGCTTATGAGACACTGGTCACTAACTTCCAAATAGAATTATGTTCGCAAGAACATTGAGCATACACAAAAGTCAATATGTATCAGTAATGTACTATAAAACAGTTTATCCCAAGTATTGCACAAGTTTGATAATTATAAATCCATATACATAATAAATAGAACATTAGAAAGGGTTAACATGTAACATATTGTCTCTTTAATTGACTAGAGTTAATTATAGTATAAAAGAGATTAGGCACTCAATCTAATGAATATGGTTAAACATACATTAGGACATTACAAATACTTATGTTTCAGTCAACACGTTGCAGTTTATTCATTTAAGTCATTATTTCTATTGAAAAATCATTTAATATAAAACACCATATATACTAAATATAGTAACTGAACTGAAACATTATTGAGTGGTGATACATTGTTACCTGAGCCATCTCCAAGGCCATATTCATGTTAACTGGAGAATAAATGCATCAGCAACTAAGTCCTGTTGACTCTGTAGGGATACAGTCCATTTTATCAAATAAAATGAGTTATGTGCCATGTGATATATTGAATTATTGTAGCACTGTCACAGTGTCAAGCTTGCAATTGTATGATTGGTCAAAACAGGAAATAATCACTGACCATGTTTAACAAAGTAGAGAACTGGTTAAATGTTAACCAGCATAAACATGTTCATTATTCAATGTTAAAATGTTATTTCAGGATCATTTAATGTGACAGGATTGAACGTGATCAGACAAGATGAAGCTTTGAACTTTGTAAACAAATCAGAGTGAGTACATGAAAAATACAATTTATATGAACAGCAACTCCATGAAGTAGCTAATCCCACCGAACAAAAGAATGTTTTGATATATAGCAGCCACCTTGAAAATTTCTTCTTGGCAGCTATTTTGAAATTCAGTAGCCATCTTAAAACTTCTTCTCGAGCAGAGCTCCTTTGTCTCTATGCAGCTTTCTATATCCCCCTCGAATTTTGTTCGTTGGGATAATAAAGTAAAGACATATGGTTCATTATTTCAATAGAATTTAAGATCTTTTAATAGTGGTAGTTCACTAATGTTGCCTTAATAATTTGACTAATGTTATAAATATTTTCAGTGCTACCTACTGGGAGCTAGCATACTTTGTGGAGGAGAATGGAAAATTGCTCAGCCCTGAGATTGACTCAGCAAACAAGAACGCAGTCAAATTAAAACTCAATGAATACACAGCATCTGGTGTAAAATATGGAGATGCACTACTGTCAACTCTTGATGTGAATATAAATGAGCCTAATGTTTATGAAACTAAGGAAAAGCTTTTCAAGATAATCGTGTCTCCAGTTGTATCTGAAAGTGACTACCCTGAGTTTGAGACCCAGTTGTCAGATATTTGGACAAACCAATATAAAGAAGGTAAATATTTATTCATAATGTTTAAAATAGTAGATTTCCCATTGAGGATTGCTATATTATAATAATAAGGTACTTTTGACCAAAAAACTGAAAAGCACCAAACACTACACCATCCAGTCCAAACAATTAGAGTATTGGTCTACGTCATCCGCGAGGGTTTCACTCCAATATACCTCTCAATACCTATGTGCTGCACCAAAGACCTCCTTTTTGAGCATTTTTTCCATGTCAACTTCCTCTCAAGATTGAAAGTTTCCATGTATACTTCCTCTCAGACTTGTAAAAGGGAGTAAATTTCCTGAAATATTGGTTTATTAAGTATTATTAAACTTTTTTGGTGAATTGTCCCAGACCTCACCAACTGATTTTACAGATTTATTACCATTTTTGTAGAAAAACTGATATTTGACTTAAAATTGCTCTCTTTTCGACAAATTTTCCATGTTTTTTCCTCTCAGAATGGCCAGGTTCCATGGTTTATGCCCTAAGCCAACATTGCCTGTGCTGCACATACCTACCCAAATTAATAAGAGTGAACCCCCCGGGACGTCATCCTATGCAATATACAGTATGAAGTACTTCAGAAGTGTTAATATTACCAAGTGCTATAGCTAGTTAGATCTTAGTTTTCTTTTATGTTGCAACAAAATAGCACATTTTAACCCAATTGCCATTTTTCTGCTCACATCAATTTTTATTAGAAGTTTCTGTTAACTTCAAACAAATCAATTGCAGACAGTTTGACAGTTTTGGAAGAGGCAATGTGCCAATTCAAACCTGCTGAAAATCTGTTCAATAATATAATATTTCTTTTATATTTTCCAGACTTTCATCAACCACTAAATGTTAGCATTTGTGGCTCACAAACACGCATGGACAAACAAGGGTAAGTAATGATTACAAACGATTTTAAGAATAACAGTAAAATCATACATTATTTATTGCTTATCACATTTTCTAAATGTTAAAAATAAATTATTTTAGAAACATAATGTCAGAGTTACTCTATCGAGTTAACAAGCTTGAGAAGCCAAAGTTTACCTTGTACCCCATGGATGTAAGCGACCCGCCATTAAACTCAACAACACTGAAAGAAAACCTACATGTGAATGCCACTAATGGTGAAGCTTATGTGATAACAACTAATATTCAAACAAGAAGACCTGAAAAGGGTTACACAGTACTGTTAGACAAATGGGTACAAGACTCTGATAAGGATAAACTAAAGAAAGCAATTGTTGACACCTGGGTTCAGGAAAAGAATATGACTGCAGAAGCAGTTTCTGTGGAAATTTGGAATCAATACAAAGTTGTGGATCCAACATGGTATGTACTATTCCATTTTATAGTAGCCTAATACAAGATTCAAAATGCAGAAATTTCAAATTTAAAAAACTGTTGCGTGTTTCATCCAGCACGGATTTAAAACCTTATTAGGCACAATTGAACCTTTTTCAATTTTCTTTCATTCTTTATAAGTTCCATTGGTCTATTTTTAATGTTCAAGATTTTACGGCCATTTTACAAAACATGCTCAAAATACAGAAACATGCCAAAATCACCCCATATGGAGCATTAAACTTTTACCTTTTGTGGTTTTGAAAGACATTGTCGACACTTACTCTAGAAGCATAGGTATAGCAAGATGGAGCTCATGAGAACTTCCCCTTCGCATGCTTTGAATTCCCTTTCGTTATAAAATGACCTACTGTACTGGGAACAACCCCTTTTTCTGAAAGATCAATTTTTGAGGATCTTTCTTTCTTTCTTTGTGTATTATTTTGATAAATGATGGAAAATGGAACATAATATTTTCAAAGGCAGAATTCCTAATAATTTCAAATTTTCCAAAAAGATCCATGATATGATGTTATTGATTGGTGAAGTCATTTCATTTAAGATTCAAATATAGGCATTTTTCTAATGCCTGGGTCACATTTGCTCCTATTCATCGGCTGGCGCCCGGCCGAATGAGTATTTTGTTCAAAACTTCATATAATACAGAATCGGAGCTAAGAAGAGCATTAATAGCTTATGTGACATTAGATTTGAAAAATCTGATCATGTTTTGGGCTTCATTTGTTAATGCCCAGCTTGCATCAATTAATAAATTTTAGATAGATATAACTCATCTGTGTTTTTATTAATTGACTTGATAAAGTGACTAAAACTTTAAAAATTTAGTGTAGTTACAGAATACAGTATCAACAGTACAAAAATAAGTACATTTGACATGTTCCAGCAATGACTATGTAAAGCTGTTATACTTTGTGAGTGTCAATGATGTCTTGGTTGATGCGATGCTTGTTCAATGGACCAATGAAAATATGGTGGCCCTGAAGACTAAAATATCAGAAGAGTTTGGTGATAAGTATATGGCTGTTCAGGACAGGTACACATGGAACATATTGAGTGCATTCACAGTATATGTCAAGGGAAGGATTTCTGATTCCCAACTTCCTAAATTTGAAGAAGCAGTTAAGAGTACATTTCAAGGTATGTATTTTACAGCAGTATTTATGAAGATACATGAAGAAAATTATAATTAACATACATAGGTTTCAGTGCTGATCTAAATGTCAATATCATTCTTAATGTAATTTCATACTTTGCTATACAATTAGTTTAGATTAACAGATGTATTGTAAAACATATACTGTTTACAATTGCTTAAACAACACAAATTACGGAAATTTTGAAATGATCAGTTATCATAAAACTGATTTAAAGGGGCAACAAGGACTGTAGAGAGAAAACTCAATTATTTTTACTTTTTCTGAGCTATCAGGGCAACATTTGGCTTAACATCTTCTTTGACATACCTTTTTTCTTAAAATGTATGGATAAAAAGCTTCTATAAAGGGAGTCCAACTTATAGATTTTTAAGATTCACCGCCTTTCAAGAGGAATATCAGGTGAAATAATGTTAATCCAGGGGGTTTCTTTGTTGATAATAAAAATATATGTTAGTTTTGATGAAGTATCCAAACTTAAATATATTTTGACACTAGTCGATGATCGTTGAATGGCCCCTCTGCACTTATTGTTGCACCTTTAATAACAACTATAATTTCATGCATAAAGCATCTTCCTTCTCATTGTTATCTATTTACATATTTGGTGATGAATAAACAAGGGTTTGATGCAAGACTACCTTATCTAGTATTTGTAAAATAATATAGCCATACACAATTTTTACAGAGAATGTCACAGTGAAAGTGTGTGGTGCAGAATTATACATAGGTGATAGATGGTAAGTGCGATTATAAATGGATTTCAAGATAGTTGAGTAAGATCTAGTATAAATAGTAATTTCTAGAAATATGTTTTTACTGCATGTCACATACATGCATGTACACTTCACAATTTGGTTTAATGTGTTTTTGTTTTGTTGTTTCCAAAAGTTTCAATCTTGTCTGTTCTTAGGGAACTCATCACTGGAATTAAGGCATTTGTTACAATGGAGAGTGAATTGTTACACTCTGTACTGTATCCTCCACTTGATTTGGATGAACTGGAAACATCATTAAACAAAAATAGAAAGAAGAGGGACACAGCTAGTGGCACTATATCTCTATACAGTGGATTAAGAAAAGACCCATATGATGACTTCTTCAATCTGCCTATTGCAACATCAATTATATTGACAAAGGGAGATGCAGATAAACTCTTTGATGGAATAAAAGCAGCATGGACAACCAAATATCCAGGCAAGTTCCATCTGTTGACATTGGCAAGCCATTCTATGTTTAATTTATTCATCTTGCTGTTTCATTTTATGCATTTTTACACAGTAACATTCTCTATATTAATGAATACAATCTGAATTTAATTTTGTCAAATTCAAAATGATAATTTGGCAAAGATACCATGTGGCATAATAAATACAGGGTGGCTCAAAAAGTGAACTGCTGCAACAGACTATATTTCTTTAATTATCTTATCCTTTCATAATTTCACATGTTATAGAGGAAGGTCTAATGTTTTTGTTGGTACCATACATTTTTCCTAGTCTTCAAATTTGAAGAAAGTATAAACCTTAACCAATTATTACTGGAAAAATATGATCTTCAACACCCATATTTCTTCAAGCATTTGACACTCTTCCCTTGAAATTTTTTTAGCTTTAGCCAGAGTCTGAAAGACATAATATTTTCTGATTTTGTTTGGTTTTGAATCCCACACATTATGGTGTTAAACGAGCATCTTACCTCTGTCAGTTGCAAACTTATTGTGATCCAAAGAAATGTTCTAAGTTTCCATAGGTGAACATATTTTCCAGTGAAATCCACATACCCCTGGCCTATATGGTCTTAAAATGTCAATATCTTCATAAATCATGGATCAATTCTAATGAATTATGGCTCAAAACATTGGACATTGGATTTTCTTTTGATTTTTGTAAGATATTTGTATAAAGGGCTTCTCAGATTCCGGGTCACAAGAGGCAACTTTGGCAGGCTCTAACAATTTGTGTAGGTAACATGCCCCTTAACAGTTGAATGGTTAAAACTGCTTCGAAATGGTCAATGAAGTTTTGTAATTCCTTTCAAATTCCAAGACTGAGAATGAATTATGGCATCGGTTCACTTTTTGGACCACCTTGTAGATATCAGACTCTTAATTTTAATAACATCCACACTATGTTAATCTTCTCCAGAACTGGACGATGTAACCATAAGCTTGGGAAAAGTAGAAGATGCAGTTGGAAAATTGGGGTAAGAATTTTGAGTTGATACATCACATAGTCGATGTGTCATTTTCTGAACCTTTGAATCTGTAAAAACATGATGTATTATGGAATCACTATCATAAGGGTTTTATGAAGTGATTTAGCTGGGTTGGACAATGGGCAACCTTGGGGAAAAATTATATATGCAAATGAAGGTGTCCATTATATAAAAGCGATGTTTTGAAAGCTTTTGACTAAACTGACCATACTATTTTGCTTAATAATAAACTTACAAACGATGAAATGGAATAGTGGTAACATGGTATAAAAGCTAAGAACACCAACACAGTGTCTCATTCAACCATACTTCATTATTCACTCATGGTGTGATTCTGGGATCTGTTTCATGTTATATTATTTTTCTTTTCATTAAACACCTTAAGTTAAATCAAGTAATTTATTGATTTATTTATCACTATTGGTGATGACACACATCAAATTTCATCATACAAAATGGTTGATATCTCTAAATATGCTAAACATGCATACCATATAATATGTACACTATCTGATAAATTATTTTTGTATATTTTAACATTATCTTATTCATTGACGCTGAAAACATGGGTCTCCAGGTCCCAGGGCTATCATTTTTCCTTTCTAAGATATGTTAGAAATTCAATAATTGGCAACCCAATTAAATTACTAAGAATTTAAGGAAACCACAAATTAGTCATTTCTTTGTACTGCAAGCTTGATAAACAAAATATTTTGAATAAATGCGAAATACCAATAATATGCTAATTTGCATATTTGCACAATATCTAAAAAGTTGTCATTGTATCTTTTAACTTTACAGTATATCTGACTGACCCTGAAAACATTTTAGCTAATTTGCATATCATGTAGTACATTATTATTATTATTATATCTTGGTTACCGCCATATTTGGCGAGCAATACCTCATTGGTATATTCCGTATTTACGTATTTTACACTCGAAGATAGAGCCAGAAACCCCTCCTTGGAGGAGCCCTGTGTTCTTTTATGTGCACAGGTACACAGACATACAGGTACACACCACAGCCTTTTATATGAGTCGTGAACCACTCAGTCAAACACCCAGAATTACATAACGCACAAACAAACTTGTCTGAACCGGGAATCGAACCCGGGGCCAAGCGATATTGGTAACCTTGACTCTCTCTGCCACTGAGCCATAGCGGGTGGACTAAAATATAATGAATAATTCTTGTATCTTTTTACATTATCTTATACCAGGTCGTTCAATAAGTTCATGCAAAAACATTCTCATTTTTCTATTTTTCAATGTTTTTCGTTGAAACTTTCACAAAACATAGAAAAAATATCAACACATTAAAAAGCAAAAAATAAATTACTTTGTTCTGCTTGGTCAAAAGTTATGGTTGCTATGGTAACCTGTGTTTTGGTCAAGCGGGGCAATTTATGACGCGAAAAAAGTTCATTTTGAATTAAACTCAATTATAAGTTGCACATGTGCACACTATAAAACATTGTCTTTTCAAGTTTGAAGGTTCCTACCAAACATGTCACTTCATTGAATGCCCAAAATATTCCCTTTTATACTGGATGCATACATGTAGTACCTGGTGCTTCACCCATTCTTATATTGAGCCATAAAATAACAAGGGAATTTAGTGCGCAAGGCACTCTGGGCAACTGCAGTGAGGTCTGTCATGCCAGCATACCGAACACCTCTCATCTTTCATCTTTCATCCTATTGAACACCCAAAGTCCAATACAGCCTCATTGGGGAGTATGCAACCTGGTCTAAAACTCCCATCTGTGGGCTATCCCGGATAGTATCCTGAACCATATTTGCTCGATGGCATGGGACATTGTCTTGGTGAAATAATTTGAAGAAGGGGGTAATTTTAGGCCGTTTCTTTTGTAGAGCTCGCTCCGGGCGGAACTCGCTCAAGGTTGCGTTTAAGAAATAAACTATGATGATATTACAAAACAAATGTAATTGTGATGTAATACAACATGTTAGTTGCTACCATTGCAACAATAGCTGTTTTATTCAAAATGAAAGAATAATGTGCTTGCATTTATAACTTTCTCTAAACTTTAGACTTGGGATTCGCAAACAGAAAAATATTGCCCCGCGTGACCAAAACACGGGTTACCATAGCAACCATAACTTTTGACAGATCAATATAAAGTAATTTATTTTTTTGATTTTTAATGAGTATACATTTTGTCTATGTTGTGTGAAAGTTTCAAGGAAAAACATTGAAAAATAAAAAAAATGAGAATGTTTTGCATGAACTTATTGAACGACCTGGTATTAGTACTTTTAAATATACCAAGCTGTTACAATCTGATAGTAAAGTATTGTTAGCATTATGTAAGTTTCTAAATGAGGCTGGGAAGCAATTGTAAATATGTTTGTTATGAAATACTTAATTGTTATATACTTATTTACTGTATGTACTTTTGCCTAATACCCTTTATTTGGGTGATGGTATAATAAATAAAATTGAAATTGAAAAATTCATTGAGTCTGAAAACGTGGGTAAGGGCACAACAATTGTGATCCTATCATTATTACTTTTTAAATTATGTAAGATATTTCAATAATGGCTGCCCTTATTTGCATGTATAATTTTCCCCAATATTAGTTATTGTTGGCACCCCAATTAAATCAATAAAGAAACCCTCAATTAGTTAATTAGTCAGTAATTTTCATTGTATTACAAGCTTGATATAGAAAATATCTGAATGAATGCGATATTTCAATCATAAAATATGCTAAGTTGCACTTATGCACTATATCTAATAGGTTATTCTTGTATATTTTAACAATATCTTATTCGTTAAACCTGAAAACACAAGTTTAGACAAACTAATTATACTGCTTTCATTTTTACATTTCAAGATATAAATATAAAAAACAATCAATATTTCAATAATGGCCTCGCTAATTAGCCTATATTATTTTTTCCCCAAACTAACTTTTTGTCCAACCTAGCTAAATCTCTTCAGTAAACCCTTATCGTCATAAATTAACCAAAAAGCATTGTGTTTTTCACAATTCATAGGTTCACTATAGGATGCATAGGAGTGACAAATGGACTAACATGTGAAATGATAAGACAGAATTGAGAAAATACACTGACTTTTATCATAAGTAAACTAATACCATTTAAGAAAAATGAAGTATATGATTGTATATAAAACTGTTCTATTTTATCTATTATTCAGAGTGATGGTTTACAATGTTCTGTATGGACTTTACAATGATGGGGAAAAGATAACACCGAAAGATGCCTCTGCACCCACTTACACAGACCTAGTGAATGTTTCCACTACTCCACAGTTCATGGCATATTCTGAAACTATCACAATTACAAGCACTGTGTATTCACCATATGTAGGTGGCAACCTAATTGCTGCAAACAGAGAATATTTAGAAACTGGGCTAAACAGTACATGGGAAGGTATGATATAAATCAAATAGTACTAAATATAATCAAACGTCATTTTATCCTTCGGGATCATATATGTATATGTATGATCTATTTGTATTTGTCTTTGACCAGCATTCTTTTTTCCTTCTAAAGTCTGGATATTATATTGCTAAGGCATCATTGTATTTTTATATTTCAGATTCCTCTATTAAGATATTGGGTGCGATCCATCATGCCAATCCAACTGACAGGTAATTCTATACACTTAATCTTACTACTCAGTATGCTTAACTACATGTAAGGTCTAACACCAAGTTTATATTCCATTGTAACTAGAAGAATATTGAGTCTTAAATCAGACTGTGTGCTTGTTTTGTTATTGTATCACTATCATAATAATTCAATAATATTATACATGTAGGGTTTTATTTGAGTAGTAAGTTCATACATTTTCTTTCAGTTTTGATAGGGTATCTCAAGTGTTATACTCTGCCCATAAAGACAATGTCATGCTAAAACCTTGGGTGAATGCTGGACCTTCTATTAACGAACTGAATAATTGGCTTTCTGAGAGAAATATTGATGGACTAAATAGCTATGGGGGTGCAAGGCCCAAGAGGGTATGGTCAGTTATGGTGAATGAACCAAACACAAAATCTGATGAGGATATTAAACAAGCCATTCAGGAAGCTTGGAATTCAAACATAGAAGGTATATACATGTGAACCATTAATATAAGAATATGTAAGCAGCAAAATGGCAATTTAGACCCAATGTAGTGGAGTCTTTGAAAACACATCAACAAAAAGAAACAACCGAATCACAACTAGGCATTAGAAAAAACCTCCAATATCCAAACCTATGATCTACTGAACTAAGAAATAACATACCCCTCCCTCCACGATTCAGGGATAAAAATGGAAGGTGGTCCAGGTTAAAGGCAAAAAACAATTGACTTGTATAATATATTTCACAAACAAAGCATTGAGTCTTGTGCTTAATTCCTTCATTACAGTACATGTACATTGTACTAAAATATAATTCAAGGTATTATATACTCTTCGTCTACCTCATATGTTTCATTCTGAATATTGTAGTGATCATGGTTTACAATTAACTTAAGGTCATTCACGGTCAAGATTTTATATCCAGCCTTCGTCCTAGTCCTAGTCCTAGTCCTAGTCCTAGTCATCCCAGTGCTTATTGGTTGACATAAATAGGGTGCAAAAATTTATCTTTTATAATACAATATACAAAATATGAGTACTTAACCATGGTGAGCTATATAATATACACCCCTCATGTGTAACTGGAACATAACTTTACATGTAAATATAACTTCTTGTTGCCTTGCGTTGTTTGTCCCAAAAATTTATTTATACATACCTGCAAATACTTGCAGCTGGTGAGCCAACCATTGAGATCATAGGTGAGGAACGCTACACGTCTCAGTCAGGATCCTGGAACACATTGAAGAAGGTTACTTATATAGCCTCACTGGAAGATGCCACATACACAGAGCTATATGATGTACCATCGGCTGGGGACATACAGTGTGACTGTATGGCAAAACAGGCATACAGGCTATTCCTGAAGAAAAGTGATAGTGAAGTAGATGTTCAGAGTATGAAAGATGCACTTCAGAAGGCATGGAAGACTGCAAACTCTGGTATGATCCTATCAATCATATGAAATACATTCTTCACTAGTAACATTGCTATTTACCAGAACCTCTCTGCTCTTTCTCTATTGTAAGAAGAGGTGCAAAATACTGGAATGTAGTATTAGTGGTTATACTTCATATCAAAATGAACAAAACTTAAAATAATGAATTATTGCAAATGAATAACATAGTATAAAGAATAACCACTTATGATCTTCAATGATTTCAAAGGTCATTGATATTATTTCTATGTTCAGGTGTGGATGACATCACAATCAATGTTCACCAAGATGTTCTTGATGATGACACTTCTTATATCAATGATGACCAGTAAGTGCAAATACAACAAGATTATTTTTGAAAGCTATCAGTTTTAGTTACAAAAAAATAAAATATTTGAATAGCACCAATTGGCAAGATTTAATATTGAGCTTCAGAAATTTTGTTTTTCATGGTATCAATTTATTTCTTATTATAACATAGATAAACACAATCAGCTGATTGCCAAAGTTTACAACATTAGCGGCAATTAATTCTTATTGAAAATTGAAAATTAATTCTTATTGAGATCAGAAATATAACCAACCCAGCAAAAAAGATTCTTAAACTAAAATATAATACATTTACCTAAACAATTGATGGTCTGATTTAATGACTGTTGAGATAAAATATTTCAGGGAGAATTTCTTTGCATTTAAAATGCATTTCAAATCATATTTTCTCATTGTAGTGAATCAGTTACTGGTTTCACTTATACAGTGACAGTAGAAGGTGCAGACCCAAGCCCCGTCTTTATCCGTCCTCCCACAAATGACCAGATCAAATCAGCTTTGACGGAGAGTGATTTCACACCATGTGACTGCAACCCCAAGAGGAAGGGTTCAATCATGGTCACACCGAACGTGCTTCCCTCAGAAGTAGATAGCTTAGAAGATGATATGAAAAAAGCTATATTGGATGCCAATCCAGGTGGGATTGTACTGCATAAGTACTGATGTTTATTTAAACATGTACATATGCTCTTTATACTTTCCTAGATAGCATACAAAAACATTTTAAGACCATACTTTGACTACTATCCAGGATTGAGAATAAGGTTTTTGTAAATGCTATGAGACTGCACGGTAAATATGAGTGACCCATTCCGTAAGCATGGCAAATTAACTGTATACACTGTATTTTGATAAAAAAATATAGCATATACAGATTTACTTATTACTTTAAATTTCAGGGTTCACAGAAGATGATTTAGAAGTAGAAATAACAGATTTCAAAAATGATAAACAGACATCGAGTGGGTAAGTAAACACCAAGCGCTATATAACTTACTCTTGTGTGTAATTTCTCTTCCAAATTGAAGATCGAGGGAGAGGTCAATTGCACACAACATGTAGTTGAAATAGACTAGATGCAAGTATAAATTATCCTGACTTAAGTCATAAGACATGATATCATATTTGAAATCTACAGGTTAAGTAAAAATACATGAAATGTTTAAGAATTTAATTCAGTCAAACATCAAAATATTTCCCAAAAAATCCAGAAGTATGTTCTACATATTAATAAACTTTAGTCATGAACATCTTTTATTTAGATTTTATGTTTTATTTCTAGTGATCTCATTGGAACAATAGAATACACCATACAAAGCAAACTTGGGAATGATGTATCTGACATTGTTCTACCAACAATTGACCAATGGGATGCTAAGATTAGTTCTACTAATAAAGCAATATATACAGGTCAAATGATGGACAGAGTTATAAATAATGCCCTGCAGGTAAAATGGATTACAATATAGTATTACAAATGTATTCAGTTTTTTAAATAATGTATTCTCTGTAATAAGCGCCCACCCCCTAATAAGCAGCCACCCACTTCACAAAGTTCAAGAAATATTGGGGAATGACCAAGTCTTAAAGAATATATCAGTTTCCAAAGAAATTGAAGTGGGCAATAATAGAGTAACTACACTAAACTGCTGTCAATGTGATACAATTTGTAATTCGATGCATCCTCCTGATAATATCTATCATGGGTGCTTCCTAAACCAACTAACACTATATCAAAATAGTCTGTAATTAGTTAAGGAAATGTGCAAGTTTCAGAACTTTGTACCAACATTTTACCAAGAAAGCTTCTGCACAGGTTTTCTTCACACTTAAGGGTCGTGAACTTTCTAGTTTTTTCTTCATTTCATTTCTTGTTATTTTTGCAACGTTTACACAAAAAGATGATGTATCATTTAATCAAAAGGATAGGGTATAACTTTAGATTCAATCACTGTCAATATTGTCTAGTTAGATTCTTGCAAGATCCTTGCTTCATTTTAGCAATCTTTACCCTCATCTCTCCAAAAAACAATACATATCCTTATTGTAAAAATATGCTGTTACTTCATTTTGATGTTGCAAATAAGGCATTCTTGGCAGGAAAAATTGCAATACAGTAAAACCTGTGTTAGTGAACACATCTCTCTGGTGAACCCCTATCAACAGTGAACATTTTTTCTCGGTAAAAACATTTTTCTCCCATTGACTCCCATGTTATAGTGAACCCCTACCTACTGTGAACAGTGAACATTAAATCTTGACAAATTTAATTGAATAATCCTGTCCCTCATGAACATAGAATCTGATACATAAGATTTCTCGCAGATTTGCTGCAACTGGCTTATCAGAGTTAAGCAGTTTACGTTTATATTACCTGTCAAAAATAATTATTTAAAGGTCAATTTTAGATTTTGATCTCCTCTTGTATTGAAACAGGTGTGACTAATCATAATTCTTCATATTAGCTTTGTTTTTGTAAGGCGGGGTATGTGTTTAACAGTGTCTAGAAGCATTGATTGCTTTAATTGGAGATAATCTGGGGGTCATTAACAGAACTTTCGCAAAGTTACGAATTCGTAATTCGTAACTTTATGAAATTCGTAAATATTTAAAAAGTTACGAATGACTTACGAATTCGTAAAGTTACGAATGGGCCATTAACAGAACACTTTCGTAAGTCATTCATAAGTTTTATCGTTCGTAAACGAATTTCAAATTGTGACGTCATCTTATATCATTATTTAGCACAAATAGAAATATGGTGTCATTTGATATCATTGCGCGCTGTGATTAAACCTGTCTCCGCGATTTCAAAGATTCCCAGCTCAGGAACATATTTGCTTATTATGTAAGAATAGATGGATATTTAATGAAACTTAGCTTGCATATAAAAGACAATTTCCTTTTGTGAACCTGTATACCTTACATAAGAACTGGATGAGAAATGTGCCATTCGCAAAGTTATGAAAGGGTCTGAGGTGCTATTAAAGTTACGAACGAAAGCATACGTGACGTCATTTTTTCGTAACTTTGCGAATCGTTCGTAACTTTACGAAAGTTCTGTTAATGCACATTTACCAAATTCATAAAATTAACAATTGACTTGCAAATTCGTAACTTTGCGAAAGTTCTGTTAATGACCCCCTGGTTAATTATTAGTACTTCTATCTCTACCTGTTAAGTCCCAACTAAATCTTTTTCTCATCCACATCATTTTAAAAACCAAATTGGGTTAAAATTAAAATGATCACCCTTAACTGACTCCATCATGTAGTTTCATTAATTCAATAAATCCGTTAACTGACTCAAATGTGTCATGAGTTCCACTATTTAAAGGACCATAAAGAGATTTTTTGACAATGAAAGGATGAACCATTCAGATGACAGGCAGTCTAAAATAAGTAACTTTGTATAACATAACAAAGAACAAAAATTTGTTGCTAGTGTCATGGGTTATCATAGGTATAAAATACAAATTAAATCAGTTATTCCCTCCTCTATTTAGGCTTGTTTAATATCTAGGCTCTTTATATAATACAACAAAATGCCGCGAAATCAAATCCTTACTGTAGTGGACACCTACCAACAGTGAACATTTTTCTTCAGCAACAAAAAAATGTTCACTATACACAGGTTTTACTGTATATGAAATTCCAAGGGATTTTTGACTTCTTTTATATATGGGCACTCATTAAAATGGTCTGAAAAGGAGGTACTTCAAATTTTCTAACCGCCCTGGATGCTTATTACAGAGAATACAGTATTTATTTTTATTTTGGTATCTTCAGCAAGACATATCATATCCTTTAGTACATGTATGTAACTGATAATTCTATATCTCAAACAAGCTTGATCATGTGGAGATCATAGGTTATAATCTTGCTTCAAGACCCTGCCCCCCCCCCCTTATCTATTTTTCAACAGGTTGTTAAAGTAGATAAGGATGGGGTTCCAGGGTCTTGAAGCAAGACTTATCATAGGTATAGACAAAACCAAGTGTATTAGAATGAAAGGAATCTCTTCTTAGTTTGAAGCTTTTATGTGTACCAAAGTACTTTGTTATGATTGAACATGATCAGCATTAACAAATATGTCCAAAGTTCATACCACTAGGGCTACCTTGATCTGGTTAAAACTGGATGTCTATTGGGATTTATTTCAAAAATTAGCTCCAATAGACCTACTGTGCATTAATTAGTTGAACCTGAATGCTTATTCTGCTTAATTACAAAAATTCACCCCATAAGGTATATTCATCATAAAGATATTAAAACTAAACATTTCTCATGATTTTTGTTTGCAGAATAACTGGGTGATAATAGTTATTGTATGCAGCGTAGTGGTAGGTGTGATCCTGCTCATTTTAGTTCTAGTGAAGTTCCTGAGTCTCCGAAAACAAGAGTAAGTATACATACACTAAAAAAAATTATAATTTATTTAAGATTTGCCAAGGGGGTTGACTTTTTGGAAAATTCCAGGGAGTTCACTCTTGACAATTTAAAATGGCAAAATCACTGAAAAGTGCTCAGAATGTTGCAAAACTGCATGATTTTGAAAGAATATTTGGTTAATGGGCCAAAATCACTGAAAAGTGCTCAGAATGGTGCAAAACTGCATTGATAGAATTTTTGACCAAGGGGTGGGTTCGCTCAAACCCCCTGGCTACAGGCATGCATTAAAGGAGTGACAAAGAGATGAATTGAGAGTAAATTATAAAAATTAACAATTTTCCAGATTTTCAGCCTAATATTGGTTACCACAATTTTTTCTTCTAAACTAGACTTTCAATGCCATTCTACCTTTGTGCAATACAAATAAGAAAAACAAGATCCTTTTTGGAGAAAATTAGTCCAACATTTTGAAAAATGTGTTGAGGTTAGGTCCTAATCCATTGTTTTTTGGGTTAGCCAGATTGATTATCTTATCATTTGGGAGACCTTACTTGGAAGAAAACATATTATTTTGATGAGCTGAAATGGCATCTTTATGGTGAGAAAATACTTGTGGTCAAAGATGTGAATGCCTCCATAGCATACATGTACCTGGTCCTTTTGACTAGAATTTTTGACAATCATTTTTTTTAATTTAGAGACTGAGTAGCACAGAAGAACTTGTTCCTTAGTAAAACTTGAATCTCTTTTTCCAGAAAATTAGAAGAGAAAGACCTTGAAAAACGTACTAAAGAAATCCAAGAGTCAAATTACCATGACAACGAACAATTTAGTGAGACACCCAAGGTGCAACAATACCAGACAAGAGATGATGAGTCATGGAATAAAGTGTTGCGTTATGAAGCAAGGATTGTTTAAGTGGTTGCAGTAAATGTATGCATTCAACTTTGAAATATATTGTCTCATTTAAAATGACAGCTCAAGGAAATATTTTGGACCATACAGTGATATACTTGTACAATATTAATATTGTTTATTTGCTAAGATATATTGCAGGTAATATATTGTGTATAATACAAAATGAGAATAGTGTAAATATGCTTAACCACCCTAGACTAAAATCTACAATTTTCAAATCATTTAATGGGCCAAATTTTGATGTAGAGCATGGATGGATAATTAGAAAATTGTAGATTTTGGCATGCTGTTAGAGGGTACACATTGATAGTGTAGAAGAGTGATTTTCATTATTTATCTTAGCTTTGTATTTTCATTGTATAAATTAAAAAGGTATAAAACTATTCATTAAAGATAATGGGCAATTACTATATGATTTGTATGATTTGGTAGTGAGTCTTTCATGACACCCACATGCCATAATTCTAGATACGGCCTACCTCATCTTTCTGCATATTTATGTATATTATATTCTTGCTAATGCACCAACACATGGCCAAGATTTATCTGTGTCATTCATTTTTATTCTTCAAGAGCATTGGTTCTTGCATGACTGAAACACATTGTACATGTAGTTTATTAGTCATAGAAATATCTATCTGCACAATATCATCATTGTCATTTCATATTACTTTGGGAGAAACATTGTAAAAGGCCAGATCCAAAAATTGACATGAGGCAAAAATGATTTTAAAAATCCAAATTGTTTCAGGACATCTTTTTATCCAAAGTGAAGTAAATTCAACAATATATCTAGGCTTATTCTCTGTAATAGGGAATAAGGATGTAAATAAGTGTAAAATGCTTGTATATAGACACTGTATATTATGTACAGAGGCATGGTATTCACAAAGTTTTATCTATATCAGAACATTCCAAAAAGTTGGTTTTCGTCTAATTTGTATCTAGAAAAGCAGTACTCTGTACATGTATATGGTAAATTGGACCTTGGTTAAATTGCAAGATTTCTCAGAGAATGGCAAACAATTCAATTCACTGATTTTTGTTTCTTAATGTTTTTGTTACTGATTTAAGGGGCTACAAGCTGCAATTGTCATTCATCATGTAATCACCATGTAATTTATATTCCCTTCTGATACTGACCAGACATGCCAGAGAGTAGAAGTTCCAAAAAGCATTAAATACTTCATTTCTAAATATACAGTTTTTCCAAGATTCGACACGAATGTTTATATCCTCTGAGTCTATTGAATGTGCAAGTTACATATCATTATTTTAAGGTACTTAGAGTTATTTAGGATGACACTTACAACTATCAGCCCTTAAAACTGATTAAAAGAATCTACATCATTTGGATTTTGGCAAGAGGTAAAACAAACATCTACTTCTACTTGCCTTGGACTACTTCTAATTAGAAAATACAAGTTCTGGAATTCACAATTGTGCATAATATGGGTACAAATACATTTTTAAAACCCAGTGCTAAAATGAAGTAAGATAATCAATATTCCACAAATTGGATCACTAGTTACACATGATATTCAAAATATTAACAATCATTATATTAGCACAAGCACTGATTTATGTATATTACACAAAGATTTTCAGCATATCTGAAAAGTGGTATAAACATATCTTTTAAGAATGACTTAAAACAATCAAATTTAAATTTCTGTTTCATTCCCTTTAAACACAGTTGAGTGACCATATAACAAAATGTTGTACATATTGTCATATTATAAACAACTACCGGTAACTATTTAAAATAAAAGATTACATGTTACACTTATAAGTTATAATAACACTCACCTGCATTAGGACAGAACTGCATGCTGTAGAAAAGTGGTGGATCACTGGTAGAACAAGATCAAATCTGTAAATGAAAAAGCTATAAGCTCTAACATGATGCTGTAAATGGTTATTTAAAGTAGACATAAAGTCCTTGTTTAGTCTGTATCATCTAAATTATTTATATTAAATTACAATTTATCAACTGCTGATGTAACTAAAAATGTATATGTATAGATTTATAATCTTTTGACTTTCAAACATACACTTATACATTTATATTTTTCTACTGCTGACTTGATATAGAGATGTTATTATATCGTTTTATCTATTCGATACAGGTTTATATGAAGACTTACTGCCCTTTGTTCACTACAAGTTCAATACAGGGAAGGGGGTCTTCATGAAAACTTCATTGCACTGACAAATATGTATTATTATAATATATATATTGTATAAAATAAATTTCTGACGTGTTCTGTTGAAAATGTGCATGGGGCAAGGCTAGAATCCCCATGAATTCCAAAGTGAGATACAGAAGTGACTAAATCCCTTGTAGATTCCCATCAATATAGGGTTTACAATCAGAGTTACTTCTGCATTCTTATGAAGTCCTGCTGGTTTGAACTATAAATTAAAGATAAGGATATCAATTAATCCCATGATACTACCACTTTCAGGTGAACAACAATTGGGAATATTTTTGAAATTGAAAAAATCATATTGTCCCTTCCAATCCCACTCAAGAAAATCGTATTCACCACCCTTTCCCACTCACGAAAATTGTATTCACCACCCTTTCCCACTCATGAAAATTGTATTAACCTCCCAGGAATTTCTGCCAAACAAAGCTTCCTTTTTCGTTCAATTGCATGCTTTAAAGGGATATTTCTTGCCAGACCATGTTTCTCCTAATATGGTACCTATATAAGGGTTATGTACCGGGATGTTTTGGATATAGGGTATATCCTGAGGGATATGTTTATTTATCCCATACTTGGACGTGTTACAGGTACATAAAGTCAGTTTGTAAAAACTTATATTTTCATCAGCGGGCAGATATAGCTTTACGTCCCGCTCCGAGCGGGCAGATATAGTATATCTGCCCGCTACGTCATAATCATCGCTCGCATATTTGTTCATAATGGAGAAAACACAGACAATCGGGATCTGTTTGATAGCAAGGAGCATCCACTTAATCAATCAAAAAATTGAGAAAATAAATATGGGAATATTTGAGAGAACAGGAAAATCCACCCACGGCCAAGAAAACAAAACTGGACATGAATCTTCATGAATCTTCTGCGGCCCTCAGGCAAATATATTAAATTTGCCTCGGGATAATCCCAATATCCTGAACCTCATATAGGATAATCTCTATTTATCCCATACTTGGACGTGTTACAGGTACATAAAGCCGGTTTGTAAAACCTTATATTTTCATCAGCGGGCAGATATAGCTTTACGTCCCGCTCCGAGCGGGCAGATATAGTATATCTGCCCGCTACGTCATAATCGCTGTTCACGTCTTGGTTCGTTTTTGTAACGTTCGCATACTGTAGACGAGATTGGAGAATAACGAAGACAATCGCGATCTGTTTGATGCTCTAAAGAAGGGAAGGAGCAGTATGCCCCGTTATTAATCAAAGATTTGAACAGGAAAATCCGGCTACGGACAAGAATACAAAACTGGACATGAATATTTAAAAATAATTCCACGGTTGGTTGCAGAGTTTCTGAACTGTGGGCAATTGGACAATGTGATTGGTATGGGATAAACAGATCATCCTATAGTCGGTTCAGGATATTGGGATTATCCCTTGGTCAATATAATATATCTACCCTCGGGACCTACGGCCCTCGGGCAGATATATTATATTGGCCTCGGGATAATCCCAATATCCTGAACCTCATATAGGATAATCTCTATATCTCCCGAGGGACCGAAGGGACCAAGGAGAGATATAAATATTTCCCGAGGGATATACCCTATATCCAAAACAGACCGTACATAACTGATGTATCTCATACTTGAGTGTGTTTGGGGTAGATATTACATTTTCTACCGTTTTCAAATAAAAAGCTATTGTAAGAGCACAATTCATATTTAGCATTTTCGTAATATTTCTTCAGCTCAATACAATGAAATTGTAACATTCAAACTTTTCAAAAAATTTTAAACTTTTAAAATCTAAAAAATTAAAAAGAATTTTAACTTTTAAACTTTTGAAAAATTATATCTATCCCAAACCCACTCAAGTATGAGATACAACCATATACAAAAACATGGAAAAATGTTTTGGTCAACATTGATCACTTAAAATAAAGTGCCCAATTCCAGTAGGCTGCCATCTTTTGAAATTTCACTCAGGAAGTGATGTCATCAACTCTCAACTTTGCATATAGCATTGGGGTAAGGACCTATTAAGAATTACCACAATCATCTGAATATTCTTTTTCAATTTTCTCTATGATTTAGTATTTCTAAAAGTCTCATTTTATTCTAGCTGACAAGCTCTGAAAATATTTTTCCACAAAAAGTAATGACCACTTCTCTAGAAGTGATTTTGTGCTACTTTCCTATGCATTAAAGCCTGAGTTAGTCAATACATCTCTCTAGTATAAAATACCTATCAACAGTGAATGTTTTTTGAACTCCCATGCAGTGTCTCGGAATAGTAGGTTACTGTACAGTCTGTTACGCTGCTTCAAAGCAATCAGTTGAATGTAAATTATAAGAAATCTAAAGACTATTGTGCAATAATATATATAGAAAATATATTCTTACTGCACACAAATAGCATTTGAATATATCAGATTATTTAGTGTTTAGTGCAATAAACCTGTGCCCTCTAGTAATATGAGGTCTATCCCCCACGTTATTTCTTTCAAAATTACAGAGAAGCATCAAACTATAAGAGGTTACAGACTTTATATGCAAATTCACAAGCAATCCATGATATACTAATGTCATTTGTGTGCAATACGAATATATTTTCTATACATTATTGTACAATAGTCTTTAGATTTCTTATTTTTAGGTTCAACTGGTTGCTAGCAGCCTTACAGACTGAGACCATGGACTTGAGTCAACGTTACTTTTGGAACTTGCTTCCATATAATTTTACCAGGATTGGGAACAAGCAGCCAGCGCTTTGGCAGAAGGTCATGAGATCACTTCTTCATAAACAGGCATCATTGGTTAACTCTTGGAAAATGTGTGCTTGTGATTGATCACTTGATCATATCGTGCAGTTTAATTGGCCATTGTATAAATTGATGTACATAGATCTAATTCTGATCACATCATCCATTGCCAAAACTCTGACTGGATCTTACCAGTTGACAAAATACTGAGGCTGTCAACTGAGGCTAATCGATACAATTACAGTTATAATTTTGTGTGATATGATACTAGATATCTATAAGACTCATGTTAATATAGCGGCGCTGTGCAAGTTCAAGTCATCAAGATGAGCTAAGTAAGGCGGGAATCCAGAAATAAAACAGGTGACTTTTTTTGAATTCCTATTTCAAACCCTGGTAAAGTTATATGGAAGTAAGTTTCGAAAGAAATGTTGACATGTCCGGGACTGAGATGGTCACTTGACTGTGGGTCAATACAACCTACTTGACATTTTTTGTTCATGGTATAGGAAAAGTAGTACTTAAAACACTAGTTTGCTACTTTGTAGATGTATGGTATGGATATGTGTACATGTACTAACAATTAGTGTTTGGTAATAGCTAGTAGGAGTGTCAGGAACTGCTGGCAGATTATAATTTTGAGCCCAAAAATTGAATTATGTTTCTGGCGGTCTCAGTAAATCAATGGGATAATCAGGTCCTACGTGCTTTTTACAGACCCCGAAATCAATGCTCGTTATAAATGTAGCAAAATTTTTTTTCGTTTGTGGGACATTTTCCTCACCATATAACCAAACGGGAAGTTTTTGAATTGGACTACATGATCTGAATGGATACGAGGATTCGATTGGTTCAATGTCGTTAACTCAATAACGGTGTTCTTTAGGGCTGCCATCGAACTCAAATGTCAGTGTCGACAGTCGAACTCTGCTGTCGAAAATATTGTCGACAATCGAACTTTCCAGGGAAGTACGGTAAACAGGCGAAGAATTTATGTTGACATTTTTATCTGGTTCATTAACACACTTTATACACTATCGGGGAAAAGCTTCATATAACTTATATTCATATTGGTATGTAATTGCCTAATATTGTTACTAAATGCCAAGTTAATAGAATATTATAGACGAAAATGGGACAAATACCTGCAATGTTTCGACCGGGATTTATTTCGACTGCTCGGGCGAAATCTCGTACAACGTCTCGCAAGAGAGAAGAGAAGTCATGAAGGGAACTTCCGGGTGAATTTATTTTTTGAAAATGAAATGAATGTGAACAATATTTCCGCAGAATACGCGCACATAACACGTTGAAATGTGTATTGAAATGTATTGGGGCCATTTGGATATTTTCAAGTAAGTATTGATATCGTTTGCTGTCGACATGACGGGAATTTTGTCGACTTCGTTGTCGAACTTGCATTTTGACTGACAAGTCGACGTTCCGACTAATGATGGCAGCCCTAGTGTTCTTTACTATTAGGAATTCTCTTGCCAGTTATTGATCCATCAAAACAATTTTTCCGCGATAACATGTAACTAATAAAAAACACATAACATCAAGCGATTTAACACAAAATTATTGTGTTAAATGTTCATTTATACTACTAAAATTAGGCTACACTTAACAATCTTTAAAATGACATTTCCACATGTCAGTCATTGTTTCTGTTCGTCCGAGTGTCCCCGGTAAAATTAAACTATAAGCGAGCGAAAGTGTTGTCAAATAGATTGATAACTATTATCGCGGTTACTCGGGATAAAAAGATCAATTTTGAGGATAACAGGTACTTATGATTGATTTATATAGCGCATGTATACACGCAAAATAGTTATTAATTTCTGATTCTGAAATGTTTGTTCGTTCATTTTACCATGGGCTCCATGGTAGAGCCCATGATTTTACTAGAGCTAAATAAAATGTGAACATCCGAGCATCAAACAAACATTTCATTTTTACACATGTTCAGTACTTATAATGAACTTATAACTGTACTTATTGATTGGACGGAAAGATAAGCTGATGTAGTTACACTGGAGTTCGTTTACTACCATTTGGAAGGCATGTGAGGTAAGGTAACACTTATATGTCGAAGTTAAGTTCTTGCTTTTTAAACATGTAACCGACTTTACCTGTATATGAAGTATGTATCCAACAGACTGACTAGTCAGTCTGAATATAATTCATAAATAGGACCTGTAAAATGGCAAAATTGCTGGGCGATAATATGGTAGATTCGACTAAAACCTATTAAACGGAGTTATATATTCGCGTAATGTCATATAATATTTATATTTCAATGCATGTATTTATATTTTATCAAAAAGACTGAACATATAACAATACTTACATGAAAAAAGACATACAAATCTGAGAAATTGCCCGAGGTCGAGGTTTTTCGCTTTTGAGATTTTTAATTTTCCCGGGAAGTGACGTCAGGCAGGTTGTCCCATTTTCAAAGTAATCGATCAATTTCATATGAGTTTACATTTGTGTACCAGACATTAATATAAAATAATTCATTATACATCTATACTTATATATATTTAAATCATAAATGCTAAATTCCACATATATATTTACGATTTCTTCATCCCTACGTTGAAAGTTATCGATTAGTTTGACATGACATAGCAACGTTCTGGAAACCAACATGGCGGACGAAAATGACAGTAAATTTTATTTGGAGCGTATCCTTTTGTATTAACCGCTTAGTTAGGACATTAATTCATAGGTAAAGATTTTAAAACAATAAAATCTTTGCTACTCAAAGTTGGCATGCCGTAATTAATCTCTACATTTGCCGATTTTAGTTTAAACTGAAAAAGATGGCCTTCAAGTTTCAACAAAAATTAAAAATTTCTTTGCAAAATAATTTGAAATTGCAGTTCTGAGCAGTGAGTCTGTTCAGTGAATGTAATACTGACTGAGTGACTTTGATACCTGAGTCTATGGTCAGTGTTCAGATTTGCTAAAAACATTTGAGAGATTATCTTCTGTTTTTTGAATGTTTTTGATTTATTTTTCACGAAAGTATTCGATTTGACAAGATTAGGGGAGATTGGTCGAATTTCAATGTATGGGGTTATTTCGTCATGGGATTTCTTCGACCATGGGGTTGTTCTTTCGACCATGGGGTTATTTCAACTATTGCCGATAATTCAAATTTCCAGGTGTGGACACTTTGGATTAAGATCTCGTCTGTTGGAGATTTTGATTTATTTTTTTAATTTTCAAAAAACATACATGGCGCACTACGTAAATCAGAAATAAAAGCCAATGTTGAAATAGTCCCGTGGTCGAAATAGCCCCATGATGAAGTAGCCCCTTATGTGGAAGTTCGATGGATCTCCCCTAACATACCCCCCTGATTTTGAAAAATAGGGGGGCATTTATAGCCATCTACATGTATGTTAAGTATGAATTTCACATAAAAGTATAGAAAGATACACTACTCATGATTTAGTCAAATCAACATACCACCCATAGTTTGCATAAAAAAATATTTTTCAGCTCAGAACTGCCACGTGTTAATCATTTTGTCTCTCCATCATGTCTAATATCATTTTTATATTGCGTCATAGATATACCAATAAGTCTAATCTAGGCTAGGTGGATAAAGAGTTTAAGTTACCCCAATCCCTATGTCAAAGTAAAATTCATGTTTCAGCATAGGTGCACAGATGTACCTGTAACAGTAGGGACTGGAAAATCTAACATAGATCTCTGTGCTCCTACATGTATGTAAAGAATTTTCAGGGTTTGTATAAAAAACCTCCTACCTCATACCCACCTACCCACGTACGTTGGACATGATACAGTCTTTGAAGGTTTCAATTTTAAAGATTTTAGTTAATTAAATCTTAGTTTATGATGAATTATAGATGCATTTGTAATGACCTTTGATAGCAAGTTGCTACTACAGCTCAGCTGGGTTTGATTCCCACTCGGGACATTGAATTTAGCACACTTTCTTTCAATTTCTTTATCTGGCTGGTTGGCCCTATGCTCGCAGTCGTTAGTTTCAATGTAGTTATTCCCCTGGGGCACCCTCAGGTCATTTCACATTACAATGCAGCCATATGCCTTTATTTATGGATCTGTCATCCATCTAGTCATCAAATAAAGCCTGAATTGTAGAAATGTTAATAAAGAGCTATTTTGAGGTTTAAAGATCTTTAAAATTGAACCCTTCAATGACTGTATCATGTTCCACATAGGTGGGTTGGTGGGTATGAGGTAGGAGGTTTTTTATACAAAGCCAGAATTCAAAAATAAGTCTTGTTCAATACTCTAGATTTAGATTTTTTCTCAGAGCCACTTACCTTAAAGGTACACCGCAATTTATAGAGAATAAATAAATAACATTTTTCTGGCTATAGACATGATTTCCTGGTCTTATAAATGAATTGATTCAGAATAAAGAATAACACATAATACTCAGTGATTCTAAGTAAACGATTAAAATCAACTGAGTGCATTCAAAATTTTTCAACTTTTCTTTCTCAAAATTTATATAGCAGCTGCACCAGCTCTGACGTAATTCAAATCTCCAAATCTCATAGGAGCCTGCACATCACTGTCTAGTCTCAGCATAACCTCCTTTTGCCTGCATGTATGTGTCACTGGAGGGTAACTTCAACTTGGAGTTAATAATGAACAATAAGGTGTCAATGAATAAATACAAGTTACACAAAATTGAAATAAAAAAACATGTATGTCATTAAAGTTTTACCTCCTTGCTCTGTGTATATATCCCTTTACAAATTGTCATGCCCACTAAAATGAAAATACCTAATTCATTGCATATTTTATGTTCTTAATGACATCACCTTTATGAACCTTTCAGCAATAACGCAGATGCGAGTAGGTAGTTACCAGTTTCACCACCAGGTGGCTCATTCGGGTCAGATAGCATGGCGGGTATGATAGAAAGTTCCCTTAAATTTAAATTACATCTGTTTTAGTTGTTCAAATTTCATATAACCCTTATGTACGAGGGTTGTCCCAGAAGTAATGCACTATATGCTCCAACTTTATCAATAATTGATATTTTTCCATGAAATTTTCAGTAAATGTTCCTTAGAGACATTTTGATTATTCTACAAATTTTCATGTTGACTGATAAAACTATATTGATGTTATAATAAAATCAAGTTGGTGTGTTTGGGTAGGGTGGGGCAGGTGATACAGTCACGTCAAAAGGAATAAAAAATTGAAAATATGAAATAATTAATCAACAAATACCATTTTGTGTAGCTATAAGAAGTTGGCTCAAAAATACATTATAAGATACTAAATTACTATGAGTATATCCCAGATTTAATTGATGTATATTGCACAGTGTCCCATTTCACATTTTCTCAAAATATTGCCCTTTGCATGTTATGTACTTTTGATGCCTGTCAGGTCAAACACTCTTGGTAATTTCTTCCACTGTGACTTGTGAAGTTTTTGTCTCCCATGTTTGGAGTTGTCATCCAGGGTCCAATCATCTCTTTTAAATCTCTTCTGCCACCTCATAAATGTAGTTCTATCTGGTATATACTCCTTATATAATCTTTTCATGGTAACATAAGTTTTGTGTGGCTTTGAGTCCAAGTAAAGTTTGAAATTAGGCCACCAAACGCGAGGCCTTCTGTAATCAGGTGAGAATTGTAACCATTTTTGCAATTTCTTGACCGTGACTGTATTTGAATTTGTGACCATTGAACTGTGGTATTACGACATCACAGTGCTAAATGTAATTATTTGTACTTGGTTAACATCATGCTAAATAAATTCAACAATTTCCCAAACATTTTGATCATTTAAAAGAAAGAAATAATAATTAAATAACACTTTGAAACACTTCCATAATTAGAAAAATTGGTACCTGCCCCGCCCACCCCTACCCCCATGTTGCTATAGCAACCATATTAAGACTTAATACAAACGCTTGATGCTGAAACTTCAGGATATTATAGATAAAACTTCAATTGTTATATACACAAAATTTCAGCTGAATTGAAGTATACTAAAGAAAGTTAGACCATATAGTGCATTACTTCTGGGACAACCCTCGTATATAATAGTTATGCAAATCAAAATATGTCCAGTAAATGAAAATGTGATCTGACCAATGCAAGAAAAGATATTTCACTTTTTGTGATTTTGTAACATGGGCTCTATGGAGAATCAACCCGAACTAGAAGTCACACTTTCTAAAATAATTAAATTTTCAAACTTGATAAACCATTTTCCAAACCATATTTCTAGATGTACTTTTACATGTAGATTTCAAATAAAACATCGCTTTGACTGAATTTTGAATATTTAATGGCGTAAATCAAGATTTTTCTACTCGCATCTTGTCTATTGCAGGACTACATTAGTTAGGACCATCATAATTCATTACTTGTTCAAATAATTTATTTAACCCAAGATACAAAAGACAACAATTTATGAACTCAGTCTAATATTTAATCTACACTTTGTTTTGTATTGTCCTTAACTCTTGCAAGATGAAGAAATTTTAGATGACTCAGATGATGACTTTAAGTATGAAGAAGTACCTGTTGATGAGGAACTTGTTGAGCCAGGTATGTTAGAGTAGAGAATTCTTTTTTAATTTCATGTCATAATTTGGTTACATAGTGACTATGAAACCAAATTATGACATAAAATTAAAAATGATTGGAAAAATTTGCCTCATTTATAAAATACCTTTTAAAATAATATACCTGTAATCATATAATCTTTCACATTGACATGTCAAATTGGAATATCAAATGATCTGGTAAGTATTGGGTCAGTTGTATTGCATTGAATAAGGTATGTTTTTTAAATACCCTGGTAAATGGAGTTACCAAGTAACCATGGGCATTCTATGCACAACTACATCTGTTTCAGATTTTGATGAAGATTTGGATATTGCTGTAAGGACCATCCAGGAGGCTGAACAAGACATTAAAGCAAGTGTGAGTATTCATATAATGTACACTGTATGAATATAATTTTCTCACCAGAAATGAATTTTATTCTTTCTATTTTCTCTGCACTCAAATTAAAATTTCAATATAATTAATTTAGTTTAATATTAAGAATGTTTTTCTCTGTAGATGATTTTTTACTTAAACATAATTGATTCATATGCAATCCTCATTTATATGTTATATTATTCATAGTCATAGCCAGGGGGGTGCGATGGGTGCGACTGCATCCATCATTTTTATTTGAAGCTTCTAGCTCAATTTTGAAGGAAGTTGCATCAATTTTTTGTAAAATTCAACCCCCCGAATGAAAACTGAAATCTTTTGGTGATCACACCCCCCTGACTGAAAGCTGGCTACGCCCCTGTTATTTGTACCTGAAATTATGTAACCTCACCAATTTACTCTATCCAACAAATATCAATATACATGTACATGTACATAATGTACCATCTGAGAAACTTCATTGATCAATCACTAATTCATATCATTATGATTATAAACATACTGTAAAGCTGTACAATGTTAAAATATCTTTCAGCTCCAAAAAGATGGGAAGGAGAAGGCACCTGTTACTGCTAGACCAGAAGTAATTGATGATTTTGTCAGGAATTTCTTGGTGAAAATGGGCATGGGTCGAACTCTTGATTGTTTTCAAACAGAATGGTAAGATAATGTAATGCATAATTTATGTATAACAGACATTTCCTCACATGTTCAATTTGGTGTTAATTAAATCATAATACGGTAGGCCTAATCTGCATTTAATAGCTTTGGACTTGCAAAACCAACAATATGAATTATTATAAATCAGTGCAAAATGCATAGTTGAGTACACCTTTCACATCGTATCTTGTCTTTAGTCCCATTCTTTTATGACAATATCATATATTTATTTGTTATGTTCCATTTACTCTTTAACACTGTGTGTAGAGTTCAACATTGAACCAAAGTCAAAGCTCTCAGGGGAAGTGTACAATTTATCAAATCAATATACATTTTTATTCCATGATGGTAAAATTCCTTGCAATCTGATTGGTCCACGTGACTTAAATATATCCTGTATTTACACGCAAATTCCACTGAGCGTTGGATACAGAGTGAACATGACGTCAGCGTTGGGATACGGTCCAGTATCCCAACGCCCAACATTTCCATCAAGGATATGACTATTACTGAAAAAATCAACGCATGCTAATATTTGCATTTTGCTACAAATATCTGATTTGAATATCAGGAAATGATACGGTGATCATCAAACTTTATAATTTTAGGATAAAACACGCATCGGTAAACATAACAAAATATAACAAAAAATCAATATGAAGCATGAACATTGTTTTCATGAACTAGTAAAAATCCAATATGGCAGACGAAAGTCGAAAAAACGTTTCGCTACACTGCACTTCCAGCTGATGAAATTGAAGAAAAAATAAATGAAATCAAACTTATAATACAATAAAAGCAAACAACAAGGCCGAAAAGACTTTGAAGGGATTTCGATGTAAAATATATTTGAGGTGAGAAAGTTGATCTGTTTCACCGGTCCCAAGCCAAGGAAATGGACTTGATTTAGGGGAGTTTTAATTGAGTAATCAATTGAATAACTTATAATGTCAACATTGTTTTTCATAATCAAAAGAATACATTTGGTAGATATGGTATGCTCAGTCGTGTACAGTGTACCTCTGTTTGACCTCCAAGATGCAGTTTCTGACTCTGATACTAACAATAAATTTTGTGTACAGGTATGAACTACAACAAAAGGGCCAGTTGAAAGAAGAAGATGTAGGTGTTGTACCAGATATCTACACACGAAATCAGCAACTTGACACACAAGTCAAATATTTACGTCAAGATGTTGACAAATTCAGAGATGCAGCCATGTAAGTTATATCAGTAGTAAGTTACTACAAGAATTTCTCCCTAATATCCCCACTGGGCATTTATTTTGTATTGAAAGGAGAATAGAGAGAATCAAACATGATAGGGCACAATATTTTATATCAAAATACCTATTTTAACTTCCTCAAATAATTTATTCCCTATGTGGGCTAATATGTTGTATAAGACCATCTCATAACATAATGTGATAATGAAGAATGACTCACAGGTTTTCCTACCTTTTGCTTTATTGTCTGTTCCTTTGATTACATATCATTGTTTCCAGGAAAGCCAAGGATACATATGTAAAGCTGAGGAAAGAGAGGGACTACCACAGGATGCATCACAAACGAGTGGTTCAGGAGAAAAATAAACTCATCACAGACATTAAAAGGTAGAGAAACATCTGTATACTTGTGATAAGTTAAATGGTCTGAATCATTATGGCATGTTCATATATGTAATACAAACTGGATGCCTGGACATGAAGCATTTATCATGTGATGTAAGCTCTGCTGATTTGCTAGTAATTAAGCCATTCTATTGGTCCAGAGTGAAGTGTGGAGTGTAGAGGCAAACTCTATACATATACACTAGAAGTAAAAAAACTTCTAAATGAAGCAAATGAAAAAGGATTCCATGATTCTTACATTCTGTAAGGAAGATCAGCACACAAACATACTCTTAAATGAAAGCCATTATAATACATATATATATATATCTTTTATTGACTCTTTAGATGTCATATAATGACATATTAGTCACTAAGGTTGAGCAGTTCTTCCCATTGTCGAGTTGAAGAACTGGTATCTTTATCCTGGCTAGAACCATAGACAATTCTAGCCAGCGCCAGCCTTTTATCGAGTTAGCAGTACTCTAGTAATCGCCGGTACAGGTCAGCAGTCATAGGTCAAAGACAAATCACAAGAAGTGCTGTGACCTGGGTTTGAACCCAAGACCTCTACTTTTCAGCCTGAAGCCAGACTTCCTGCTTTTCAGACCAATGCCTTAACCACTAGGCCAACCCGGCGACCACATATACCTGTCTACTGGTGTAATGTTTTGACATATGGACCTTAAAACTGACTGGAACCCTCTCTTATATACAATATATTTGTCATTCACAATTCATCTGAAAATGTACTCTTACAATTTATTCCAGACTAAAGAAACATTATGCTGCATATGAGCCAACTCTAAAACAACTTAAAGTGAAGTATGAAGCAGCCATGAAGGAGAAGATGCTTACAAAGCTAGAGAGAGACAGGGCAGTAGGTCAGGTGTCTGGGCTTCAAAACACATTGAAGACCATGGGAGACTCAGCAAACTACACATCAGGAGGTAGGGGGGGGTAGTATTATTATCATTCAGATCATCTGAATAATCATCACACATAATGGTTAGAATCTCTTGGTTTTGGTTTTCTCTGTTGACCCAAACGTTGACATATAATATTGTTTTAAGATGCTAAAGGGATGTTGATATGGATTTTTACTTTGTTTATCATGGTGTGAGACCAGTTGATATCAATTTAGGATTGTTTTGTCATTTCTGTATCCTTTGATTTTTGTGAAGTTTAATATTATTTCATGAGATGGTCAAGTTGGTTTATTAGTGCCCAGGGTTTTAATAATACTATTCACATGGTCTACTTTACTTAATTGCCATGTTATACTTGTAGCTTTGAATGCATCTACCACCAGGATGTGCCAAAAGGGAAGATATGAGCTGCTGGATGAGGAAGGGAGAGGTCCTACCCAGAGGTCTATATATGAAAGCAGACAGAAAGCAATGCTTGAAAGTCAGAAAGATGTAACCCAACAACCTATGCCAAGACACCCTGATGTGAGTCTTCATTAAGTTCTTTATTTATGATAAGACTAAGTACCCTTACATGTTTTTCTGCAAAATCTTGCAATTAATACATTTAAAGCACTCCTGAATCATAATACAAACATTGCACTTGCCAAATGATTTAAATATCCCCATTTTTCATACTTTTAGGATACAGAGTTTCCACCTGATACTGGAGTTAACCCCTACCTGTCCCAAGTGAAGGCACCCCCAGGTCACCTTACTAGGACTGGAGGATTCAGACTTACACACACATTCCAGGCACACTCACAACCTGTTAGCAAGTAGGTTAATAGTTTCACTCTCTCAGTTTACTTATGTACTGTACATATATACTGTATGAATGTACCATATTCTCTCTAATAAGCGACCACTCTCTAATAAGCTCCCACCCGCTTCACAAAGTTCAAGTAATATTGAGAAATGTCCAAGTATTAACGGATTTATCAGAAAAAATCAAATTTCCAAAGTGGGCGATACTTACACTAAACTGCTGTAAATGTGACGCATTTTGTAATTCGATGCATCCTCCCAATAAATATCTATCCTTGGGTGCTTCATACATCATACTAAACTAGTATTATCTCAAAATAGTCCATAATGAATGAAGGAAATGTTCACGTTTAAGAATTTTGATCAGCATTTTACCAAGATACATGGAGTTTCTGCACAGAATTTCTGCGCACGTCAAATGATCATCACATTTCTCGTTTCCTTTTAACGTTACTTGCCATTAAAGCAGATATGAAATGGTATTTTTAACCTAAGGGAATCAATTTGATTTTTTGATAAATGTATTTGGACATGTTTTCTCATCAGTAGTGTGAAAATTATTTCACTCTATCGATCGTTATAGCTGCTTAATAAGCAATATTCGAATTGGTTGTGACGTTCTTGGCCCCCACGTGATCTCTCACTGGCCCCCATGTGGCCCGTTTTGGTCCATTAGATCATGACGTCATAATGCCAAAATGTTTTGTTATTTGTTTACACAACAATCCTATGGTTGCCGTGACGTTGTGATAACTAAGGAACCAATAAACCAAAGCTATATTTTGTTTATGACGTTACTAATCATGTGGGGGCCAATTTGATTGATCAGTTAGTTTTATTTCGTTATCTATGACCGTTAGCAGTTATCTAACATTTATTTTATAATGGCTATCGCAAGAACTCTACGTTGGGCGTACAATGAAGAAAACCGCATTTTTGTAGCTGCAAGTTGAGAAAAGCTATTTCAGTTGTCCTTTAACACGACTTTCACATGAAAAACGATGATCTATCATCAAATTAAAAAGAAATGGTATAACTTTAAATCGATATCCAGATATCAGATATCCAGATTTCAACAGAATTAAACTTAATTTGCTCTCTCTTTTGCTGACCCTTTCATATTGCATAATTAATTAGACAACCTATATTTAGAATTTTCAAATTAATTATTCAGCTTACTTATTCTACCATGCCACTAATTTCTACATATTTCTCTTTCATTTTATGAGCCTTACGAATATATTTTTATATATATTGCAGTCTTGCTTTGCATCCACGCAAGCAGATTCTTGCGACAACCAGTGATGACCATACATGGAAGATGTGGTCTATACCCAGTGGAGAAATTATCATGACAGGGGAGGGACACACAGACTGGGTAGCTGATTGTGCTTTCCATCCAACGTAAGCCCCTGGCATAATGTTTTTTAAACACCATACACATGCATACTGTAAAATAAGATTGAAATTCTAAAATCGAAATAAACCCAATGCATGTATGTAAACAACATATTTGATTTTTTATTTCAATGAATAATATTTTAAACCTTGTATTTTCCCAAGACTTTTATGTGTTTTAAATGACTGTAGGCAATCTAGCATGCATTCCTCTTCTACTCAAATGTGTGATTCAATAATAATCCCAAAAAAATGAAATCTTCACCTTTTGTTTATAAATCACCTTTTTGATCATTTGCAGAGGTTCAAGGCTGGCAACTGTAAGTGGAGACTCCACAGCTAAAATATGGGACTTCTCAAAGGCTGAATGTGTGCATACATTTGAGGACCATACTCATGCTGTATGGGGCTGCAGTTGGCATTCCTGTGGAGACTTCCTTGCTACCTGCTCCCTTGATAATACTTCAAAAGTTTGGGATCTCAACAGGTATACAGAAAAGTGCATACATGTAGTTTGTTTAAAAAAATTACTTTTAGATAGTACATGTAAAATATAGCCTTTAATGCCCCATCTAAGATATTGTGTTTTCATTGTTTAAGGTGACATGACTTTTCATCGTTCCAATTTGTTAAAAAAAGCTAATCAATAAGGAGATGATACTTATATTTTCCAATAATCCATTTCAAGCCATTATGCCATCCATTAACACCTGAAGAAATTGGATAATTACTTTATATTATTCATGTATATTGTTGTAGCTTGCGATGTCGGTATACACTGAGAGGCCATGCTGACTCTGTTAATAGTATAGAATTCCTACCTTTCTCTAACACTCTCTGTACCTGCTCAGCTGATAAAACACTTTCACTTTGGGATGCAAGAACAGTACGTATTTTTTTCATTACATTCACTGCTCTCCAGCTAGATACTTGGATTGTTCTTGTTGAAGTATTGCCTTATAAAGTGAATTATGAGAATATTAGTTTGGTTGATTATACTTTGGAGTTACAAGAGTCACCTCATGAACCTGGTGGACACCTCACTAAATAATTATTGTTCCTTGCTGCTAAAATATATATTTGAAAATTCAAATGCATTTCAGGGCTTGTGTGCGCAGACGTTCTATGGACATATGCATTCTGTTAATCATGTAACATTCAACCTCAGAGTAAGTCATTTTCATAATGTGCTACAATTTGAATAACTTGCTGTCTCAAATTTTGATTTTTATAACTGACAAAGTATGGGCCTAGTCAAAACTTGTTCACTTCATTGAAACTGAAACAAAATTATGGTGTACAAATTATTATTATTTTCTAGGGTGACACGGTTGCATCCTGTGACTCTTATGGAATCATAAAATTATGGGATGTACGCACAGTTGCTCCCATGACCAGTCTTGATGTTGGACCACATCCTGCCAACAGAGTAGCCTTTGACCCATCAGGCTCAATTGTTGCAGTAGCTAGCAATGATGGATCTGTGAAGATGTATGAGGTTGCCTCTGGACAGGTGAATTTATTTATTAATTTCTTTTTGTCCCATCGAATAGCAATATGTTTTAAAAGTAAAAATGTTATATAGGAGCCAGAAATAAATAAATGAAGATATTAAAGAAGCACATGGCAGCCACCTTGATCAGCCTACACTTATTTTATGATTTTTGCTGTAACTTGAAAAGTAGTGGAGCAATTTTGTGAATACCTATAAGCATTGGACACTGTTTTTGACACTTTCAAATTTTCTCCCTATAGTCCTTGTTGCCCCTTTAAGATTTGACCTTCGATGACCTTTTGAAGGTCAAAAAAGGTTAACAAAGGTCAAAAAGGTATTTTTTCAACTTGCTTCAAATTGACCGATTTTTTTTCAAAATCATTTACAAATTATCAGAAATTCTAATTTGACTTTATATTTGAGATTTGACCTTCAGTGACCCTTTTTAATGTCAAAAAAGGTCAAAAGGTATTTTTTCAACTTCAAATTGACCAATCTTTTTCAAAATCATCTACAAGTTCTCAAAAGTTCAAATCTGATCATAGATTTGACCTTCAGTGATACTCCAAAGGTCAAAAAAGATTTGACCTTTAATGACCTTCTCAAGGTCAAAAAGGTCTTTTTTTCAAATTGACCAATTTATTATTTCAAATTCAAACATGACCGTGCTCTATTCGAATTTCTCAACCAATCAGAATGCAGCATAGCCAATATAGAACGTTCTCTAATTCTCCATAGATGCACGACCATGCTCTATTCAATCTGCAATTTGCATTGTTTTGAGTGACGTCACATCTCAGCTGCACATCTGGGGCTCTGTCCGGGGACAGATAAATACTGAACGACTTCAGAATCTTGACAGCATGCGTATTCTTCCTTCATGCCCGTTCCACAGACACGGCTTTTATTTTTATGTTTGAATCTTCGGTTCGTGCTTTGTACAACATTCTGTCCAACTCGTGCTGAATTTCACCATATTGAATGGCCTATCATTATTTATTCCTTAAATCATCAACAAGTTCTCAGAAATTCAAAACTGACTTAAGATTGAACTATTAATAATGTGAGCAACTAGGTGGTTACATTTTGTCATGTTAATACCTTGTTTGTTATTGTAAGAGTGTGTCCTTTGTTCAATCTTTGCATTGGATTTAAAAAAAGTTTTTTTGCACTGTATAGAGTGGAATATTTGATGATTAAAAAATTGAAAAATGGTGGGAAATTTGAATATTTGAGAAATGAGAAGCCAACGACTTTGTTTTCAAAATCTCTGGGAAGCTTTGCTGTAATGTAATATTTGCATATTTTCAGGTGACATCTCTGGTAGGACACGAAGATGCAGCACAATCCACAATATTTGACAGAAATGGAGAATTCCTTGTATCTGGGGGTAGTGACTGTACAGTGAGGATTTGGTCATAGACTGTTTAGATATTACCACTACTAGAGATGGTGTATGAAAGTCCATCATTGGAGTTGTATTGAGATATTGCAGGACTCAGATTTATTAAAAATAGGAAACAAACATTGTGTGATTTGCTTACAAATTGGTAAAAGGTTAAGGATAAATTTTGGCCAATAAATTTTCAAGATTTTAGGAGTTATCTACAGATATAGCAAAGTTTTTCAGAGGAAAGCCACTTGATTTAAAAAAATAATCTGTGATTAATTTTTGGTAAAATTGTAAATCAGTAGGCACCTTAATTTCATCACTTTAGGACAGCATTGTTGAATTTTGACCCAATCATAGTCTTAGACATCTCTGGGGGCACATTATTGAATTCCACTCTTGAAATGTGTACATATTTGTGTGTATAAAATTGAAATTGTAAATAAATATCTATATGAAAATTGAATTTATTTACAGTACTTGTTTGTACACTATTCAGCTATTACTACTACGTTTGGCTGAGCCCGAACTGTACAATTTTTTGCATAACTACTAACCCTACTATCGCACCAAACTAGTTCTCACTACGTTCTCGAAAACGGGCTTAAACTGTGCACGAACGGATTTGACGTACTAAGAAGAACCCACTAAGAACCGTTTGGGATCTGTTTACAAACTTCATGAAACTACTAGAACGAGTAGGTCCTCCACCTCCAGCACTTAGAGCATGCTCAAAATTTTCTGGTTTAAACTGTGTGCGAACTGAATGAACGTAGCTACAATGTTCTACGGTCTGTTTACGAACTTCATGGACTTTCCCGGACGGGGTATGTGATTTAGAATTTTGAATCGATTCAAAATTCGATGGTGACCATACCGTTCTGTAATCAGGTCATGATGACCTTCTAGGCTAAGGGACAGTTTATACTATGTTGCACACCGACGTGGTGCGACCTGAACGAACTGCGAATGAGATGGGCGTATTGTTTATGAACGAAGTAGCTAATTATCAGATTGATCCCGTTTTACGACATTTTCGTAGGACTGGCAAGAACGGGTAAGAACTAGTTTGGTGTGATAGGGGGGTAAAGTGTTCCATCTAGCTATAACCCATTCTGATACTCATAGCATCTCTCTCTGTTGCATCGCAGAAGGATAGAGATGGAGAGGGCGTGGCTTACCACGATGGCTATAACCCTAACTTATTAGAGCACCACCAAGCATACTAACAGGTATTATTAGGAACCAATTTTGGTAGTGAAGCACCTTCATGGCATACGAGGAAACCAATGTTAAACTCCCAATTTGGGCCATTGTATATAATTTTGCATTGTGCTGAAATAACAGACTGGGTTGCGCTAGCACAATCATTACAACACAACCAATAAATATTTTTCTTTTTATAGAGATGATAGGTTTGCACTTTGCATTCAGGCCTCAAATACTGTTCTAATACCATCAAAAGGAATTCAATTGTACAAAAAAACATACTAACCGAGTATAAACTGTCTGATTGTGATGTTAGGTCAAAATGGTCCCTAATAAGCCCTTTTAGCCTAAGCTAATTCCATTTATAGATGGCAGTCATGTGATAAAAATTCAGGAAATGATAACATAGAAGGTATGGGGATTCTCTAGATTTTTCACCCTTTTCTTTGATTCTTTGAAAAAAATATTTTTATTTTAAAAAATTCTTGGGCCATATGTCATGATAAGATTGTTATCTATTTAAAGACATCAAAGACATATCTTTTCCAACTGTTATATAACTGGAAAATGACTAATTGGTCAAGGGTCACTACAGGGCCATACATTACATCTACTTTCTTCTTAGTATTTCTTCTGAAAGTACAAGATATCTAACATCTATAATTACATTTTGTAGTATTCGTTAATAAAAATGTCTGGAGAAAAAACTTTGGAAACATTTTCAATGATGTCAAATATAAGTGTAAGTTGGATCAGTTTCTGAGTCTGCGAATAATTATTTGGGATTATAAATTATGTCTGAATGTAAACTCTCAAATCCTGCATCAAATATCTGAATAGTCTCTAACTATCTAGTTAACCTTTTATCATGTATCAGTATGTGGACAATAGTAAACATTGTAATTCAAGCTGCACTTAAAACAAGCAGTATCTTACTGGTGGCTATATAAACTTATTGATCATTTTGGTGATTTAAGCTGACCAACATCAAGCCAAATATTTTAGACAAAATAGCCAATATTCATCTTTATTTTCCATTATTTATGTTGTTTTAAAAGACTAAAAAACTTCATACCAATGATATATAAGATCTTACCTAAAGATCTGATGATTTTCTGAATGAATGAGGAAACAGAAATGGTAGCATTATGATGTTAAAATCATAGTGTAAATGTTATGTTTTACATGTTGGTTCAATGGGGAACTGCTTTAGGCCTAAGATTCTTTTCCTGAAAATGGGCTAGACATCTATTGGCTGTTTATAGAGTATTTTCAACTATTTAGCAAGGCTAAACTCCTATGATATAAATCAGAGAATTTTGAACATGTGAAAGTTCAGTGATGCAATGTACGTGATACACCAAAGTTCTGAATGCTAGAAAACTCTTTTTTGGTCAGGAGTCACTTTCAAAATTTTCTTCACTAGAACTCACATTTTTGCTAATTTATTTGAAGAGCACATTGTGCAAGTAATGGAAAATAGACAATTGAATTATACAACTTTGCTATGTCTGATAATGTCCTTGAGCTATTTATTTTGGATTTATTTTTCTGACATATCCAGAAAGTGGTAAAAACATAAAATTTAAAGGGATTTTAAGAGGCCTTTGTTGAAAAAAGTTCGAGGTTTTTGCCCATAAATGTTCCAAATGAACAAAATTGGTCAAAAATTGGGATATTTCACTTGTCTTTTGCTCTTGCAATTGTTTGACAAAGGTAAAACTTTTAATTTTTAGCAAATTGGCAAAAATTAATAAATAGACAGAAATTAAGCAAATTTGGCAAAATTTAAGCAAATTTGAAGTTTTCACCAAATTCACCGTTAGGTGGCTCCGAAATAATTTTTGACGAAAAAAGTATGACTGTGCCACTGTTGCGGTTTATAATTTAGCACAAAGTTAGACAATACAGTCAAGCTTTTAGAAATGCTCTCGGTTTGGAATTTGATTTGTAAATATTAGTAAACATTAGTAAAGCTTTGATTCATGCATTTAGACCATCGCTTTTGTTACATTGACGTAAGTCGTCAAAGTAACATATATTGGTAATATAACGGACTGGCTGTTCTTTTGCATGCATATCTGGATTCTACACAAACACCTTTTGTGACATAATATTGTAAATAAGTTGCGATGATTTAATTTATGACAACTACGAGGGTTGTCCCAGAAGTAATGCACTATATGCTCTAACTTTCTTTAATATTCTTCAATTCAGCTGAAATTTTGTGTATATAACAATTGAAGTTTTATCTATTATATCCTGAAGTTCCAGCATCCAACATTAATATTAAGTCTTAATATGGTTGCTATAACAACATGGGGGTAGGGGTGGGTGGGGCAGGTACCAATTTTTCTAATTATGAAAATATCTAAAGTGTTATTTTATTAATATTTCTTTCCTTTAAATGGTCAAAATGTTTGGGAAATTGTTAAATTCATTCAGCATGATGTTAATCAAGTACGAATAATGACATTTAGCACTGTGATGTCATAATACCACATTTCAATAGTCACGAATTCAAATACAGTCACAGTCAAGAAATTGCAAAATGGCTGCAATTCTCACCTGATAACAGAAGGCCTTGCGTTTGGTGGCCTAATTTCATACTTCACTTGGACTCACAGCCACGCAAAACAATGCTACCATGATGAAAGTATATAAGGAGTATATTCCAGATAGAACTACAATTATGGGGTGACAGGAGAGATTTAAAAGAGACGATTTGACCCTGTATGACAACTCCAAACATGGGAGGCACAGTGGAAGAGTGCCTAGAGTGTTTGACCTGACAGGCATCAAAAGTACATAACATGCAAAGGGCAATATTTTGAGAAAATGTGAAATGGGACACTGTGCAATATACATCCATTAAATCTAAGATGTGCTCATAGTAATTTAGTATCTTTAAATGTATTTTTGAGCATACTTCTCATAGCTACACCAAATGGTATTTGTTGATTAATTATTTCAGATTTTCAATTTTTATTCCTTTTGACGTGACTGTATAACCTGCCCCGCCCTACCCAAACTCACCAACTTGATTTTATTATAACATCAATATAGTTTTATCAGTCAACATGAAAATTTCTAGTATAAAAGAAATGTCTCTAAGGAACATTTACTGAAAATTTCATGGAAAAATATCAATTATTGATAAAGTTAGAGCATATAGTGCATTACTTCTGGGACAACCCTCGTATGTCATTTTGTGTTTAAGTAGATGCAAGTAAAAATAATATTGATTTACGTTATTAAAAACTCGAAATCCAATCAAAGTGATATCATATTTGAAATCTAAATGTAAAATTACATCTGGAAATGTAAAACCCTAGAGTTGCAAATGCTATATAAAGCACCAAAGTATCACTTAACACATATATTTTTGATATCTACCAAAATCGTATTGGAAAGTGGCCTCAGTGGATAAAAGCAGACTTCGAAAATGTTGCACGTTTTTATTGAACCCCGTGTTATTTAATCAATTTTCAATGGACCCTTACAGAACATTCCTAAAGTAATGAACCCCATATTTCTAGTACCGAGTACTGGAGTTTGTCACATGCAGCATTAAATGATCTTCAGAATAAGAAGGTAATATTTTTCTTTTCTCTAGTTCTAAAGATGTTGGCGTTTGAATTTTGGAAAATCCCCATTGGGTGCAATTGTAAACCGCTATCAATATGGCTTTACTTAAGTGTCCTTTTGTCAAAGAGTCCTACGGTTTATATGACTTAAAAAAGCTAAACAGGCACATTTCTAAAATTTCTTATTTTTGATGTATAACTTTAAAAATCCTATTGACATGTGGTCTAAAATAACACTTTTTGAAAAGGTATGCTTCCAAGGTAAAACGTTCCTAAAAGGTAAAAAGGGCATGTAAATTTTTAACCTAATTTTACCCCTCCCATGGGCCCAAAAATTGAACAATTTAAAATAAAATGTAAAATGGCAAAAACATATATTTTTGGCAAGTACCCTACTATTCTAGTATTCTTTAAAAGGCATCGCCTGGAGTACCGACATATGTCGGTACGGGGAGGGCCTGGCTTTGTGGATCTGCTAGAGTATCGACTGGATTTTCTAAAATTGATGGGATCGTCAAATAATCATATATTGGACAATTTGGTGTATGCAAAATTGGTGTATGCTCAGTATTTCTAGGTGTTCATTTCTACAAGGAAATGTGTAAGTGTAGAGTTTCTTTACATGTAGAATTCTTGCTGAAGTGATGTAGTTCACACAAAACTGGCCTAT